GAACATTTCCAGGCTAAGGATCTTACAAGTCTGTAAATCTAACATAGGCATCCCCTTTGTTCTATGTTCATGCTTTCAACATCGCATGCCCAGGCCTACGCACACAATTGATGGTATTCATAAGAATTACATCCCATCACCAATTAATCCAGGATGTTTAAAGTAGGGCAGTAGTTATAAAAAAAAGTTGTGGTTGCTGCATTGGTCTATGGAAATATATGTTGTAAGGCAGGGGAAAACGGTTGCCCAGTTACACTTCAGCATTTTATATTTGCACGCTTTCTCCCAGGAAGACACAATAGACCTGCAGATGTTGAATCATTATGAACAATATAATAATAATAATGATAACAATAATAATAATAATAATAATAATACTGCGCTTCATCCGAAGTTCTCAGGGCTGTTTGCAGCATAAAAACACAGAGTAAAACCACAAACAACAGTACTTAAGAAAAACATTAAGAAAAACAGAACAAACCCTTAATAACTCCAGTCCTACCTCATATATCTTCCATATATCCCTCTGGGCTCTTATGGTGAAACACAAGCAAAAGCTGAAGATCATTCTCTCTTACCAACTAGTAGCCATCATGCTCTACCTTTACAACTAGTAATGCTTCTGAAGACCAGTTGTCTGAAACTGCAGAAGGGGAAGATGTTCCTGTGTTTTGGTTCCACTTGCAAGCTTCCCATAGGCACCTGGTTGGCCTCTGGACCAGATGGGCCTTTGGCCTGATCCAGCATGGCTCATATTGCGGTAAGTTCTTATTTTCTCCCTGCCCTGCCAGACAACATGGCTCCTTCATTCTTCCTTCCAGCAGAGACTCATCAAGTAAGACTTAGTAAGGAGGCTTAGTAAGCACAAACTTCGGCCAGTTTCTCCCTACCCTTTAGGCATGGTGAGTCCTACCAGTGCTGGCTGGTGCCCATTGGGGCTGGTAGGATGGAAAGCAAGGAGACCATCAACAGGTGCAGCCAGAGCCAATGACAGGCAAAGCCAACTAATTATAATTTTGTCCTCCCTGCTGAGTTTTACGAGAGGCAACACGTCCACACCATACATTTGAATGACTCCCTCCAAAGAACCCTGGGAACTGTAGCTTTGTTAAGGGTGCTGGGAATTGTGAGAAGTAAAGTACAGTTCTTGTGATTAAATGGGGGAGCCATACACTTTAAATGACCCATGGCAGAGGAAGTGACGCCCTTGGACTGGTTGTCCAAGATAAACGAGGCAGGCAAGCGAGAGCAAACTGAGGTTGATGAGGACAATGTTCCATTTGTCCAATGGGTCAACCTCCACCGACTCATTCTATACATCACCAGGAGTCTGGCTCTGTTCCCTGCTGCCGTTCTACGTCAGAATGCATGACCTAACGGCAGTGACACAGAAACTATTATGATACCTGTGGGTGGCACCCATCTCTTTGGGCTTACTCAAGATAAAGCTTTTGCAACACACTTTTTAAGGGAGATCCCAAGAACCCAAACTTACCTGTTGCTGGCCCATGGATGAGTCGGGGCGGCGGCAGGGGGGGAAGAAGGAGGAATACAGATGTATCAACAATCACTATCCCAGGATAGACAGCATATTGAGGCTGCATATCCTCCCCTCCCCCACTGAGGCATCTCTGTTTCTTCCCTCATTTGGAATGCAAATGACAGACATACTAATGCCAAAAGTCTTCCCATCCTTTTTTCTAAGGCACTGCATGAACACAGATTAAATGTGCATTCATCTATTGCTACTTGTGGGCTGTAGTCCGATATGCATTCACCTGGAAGTAAACCCCACTCAGCTGAACGGAGCCAATATCTGTGGACAGGACTGCACTTTTTAAAGGATAATGGCATTTAAAACGGTTGAAAACAATGCCTGTTTTAAGACATTGGTGATCTCTTCTATGAAACATGTCATCTCCTTCTGTGCCTTACTTTAAACTTAATTTATTTTTTGTTCTCTTGCTAGAAAGCTATGGAATGGAAAACAAAATGCTTCCTTTTAAGAGTTTGTGGGGTGTGAGGCACCCTAAATTCCTGGTTCCAATAACAGTTAGAATTAATCAAGGTTTGGGGAGTTGAACTGCAAGCAGTGATCTCCCAGATCCAATAGGGACTCAGGTTGGAAACAGCAAAGGCCAGGTTCCTGATGAGGTTCACCTGATGATGGCTGGTCCTTAATATAATAAAAGATGAGCCATCAGGGCATTCAGTACCAGGGTGACAATTCACAGGGTTAGCAGTGAGAAGGAAGAAGGAGAGGGGCAAGGAGAACTATGTTGGCTGGCTGTGACAGGCTATAACCAAGAGACAGAGAGCATGGCTGATTTCTCTGTTCTGAGAGCCAATCCTGCTGCAACTATAGAAGCCAGAGACCTTCTTGGAAAGACAATGCTCTGAACTCCCTCCATCTAGGCTCAGGTTGTATATATGTATAAATAAACCATACATCATAAAGACACCACAGTTTCTGCTGTTGGCAGTTGCAGACCCAAAATCTGGAACCAGATAAGGTATGTTTTCTTACGAATCAGTAATGCACTTAATTCCATGGGCACTTTAACTTTTCAATAAATCTAAACTTCTGCTTAGCATCCTATCTTATCCTTTCCTAGGCTTTTATTCTAGGTGTACCGGGACCATAACATTTTGGTCAGCACACGTAACATATTGGATGGGTTCCAAGTAATGACTTTCAGGTGCACCAGGGTTTTGGGTGTGACTAGCTGCTTTTTTTTTACATGTTTCATTTGAGTGGTGATACTCAAACACATATTACATAATATAGTTTCCTGTTTGCAGATTACAAGGTGAGGGGAATTTTCAGCAGACAAACAAACCATAGGGGAAGCTAGGAAGGTGCATTAGAACAGTCAGTCCATTGGTCCTTCAACTCAGTTCTGTCCACACCAGGGTCTTCAAAAGTGGTTGATATTGGTCCCCTGGGGGTGAATGAAGACTTAGGGATCCAAATGGCTTGGGGGGGGAAAGAACTTGGTGAGGTGTTGCTCCTCACCTTTGTTGTTGTTGTTGTTTAGTCGTTTAGTCATGTCCGACTCTTCGTGACCCCATGGACCAGAGCACGCCAGGCACTCCTGTCTTCCACTGCCTCCCGCAGTTTGGTCAAACTCATGCTGGTAGCTTCGAGAACACTGTCCAACCATCTCGTCCTCTGTCATTCCCTTCTCCTTGTGCCCTCAATTTTACCCAACATCAGAGTCTTTTCCAGGGAGTCTTCTCTTCTCATGAGGTGGCCAAAGTATTGGAGCCTCAGCTTCAGGATCTGTCCTTCCAGTGAGCACTCGGGGCTGATTTTTTTAAGAATGGAGAGGTTTGATCTTCTTGCAGTCCATGGGACTCTCAAGAGTCTCCTCCAGCACCATAATTCAAAAGCATCAATTCTTCGGCGATCAGCCTTCTTTATGGTCCAGCTCTCACTTCCATACATCACTACTGGGAAAACCATAGCTTTTACTATATGGACCTTTGTTGCCAAGGTGATGTCTCTGCTTTTTAAGATGCTGCCTAGGTTTGTCATTGGCACCTCACCTAAGGTAGTTCAAATATCTCAAGGGCTGACATGTTATCTTCGCTTGCTTTGGTGGCCGCTGTCCTGAAAACATGAAGCTCCTGACGCACAACACGTTCACTTCCCATGTGCGAGGAGTGAGGCCCGATGGAGGATTCCCCCTTGGTATCCAGGCCACAGAAGTGAAGGTGAACAATGTAGATTTCAACCCGGAGCTCACAGCGCGGATGGTACCCAAAGTGGAACGAGCAGCTTTGGTAGAGGCAGCAGAGAGTTTGGGTCACTGATCAGATCTGTCCCCTGAGCCCATCCCTGACTTTGAGAGCAATGAGGATGTCCTTCGAAAAGTCCATCATGTGCTGATGGAGGTGGAAGTGGTGGAAGGTGTGCTGAAATGCCCAGATACTGGGCGTGAGTTTCCCATAACTAAAGGGATACCCAACATGTTGATGAGTGAAGAGGAGACATGAGCTGGTTTGTGTCAATGGAGCTTTGAGAAGCAAGCCTTGTGGGTGAGGGGGTGGGGTGGGATATGTTCCTGTGGAAAGCCCAGCACCCTTATTTTTCTGTTGGGGGAAGGAGATGCTCTGAATATAATACTGGGTTGTTTTTTTCGTGCATGTAAATAAATGCAAGTTCCTGGGGAAAAAATATCTCAAGGGCTATCACATGGAAGATGGAGCAAGCTTGTTTTCTGCTCCTCTGGAGGGTAGGACACAAACCAAAGGCTTCAAGTTACAAGAAAGAAGATCCTGACGAAACATCAGGAAGAACTTTCTGACAGTAAGGGTTGTTTGACAGTGGAATGGACTCCCTTGGGAGGTTGTGGACTCTCCTTCATTGGAGGTTTTGAAGCAGAGGTTGGGTGGCCATCTGTCATGGATGCTTTAGTTGAGATTCCTGCATTGCAGGGGGGTGGACTAGATGGCTCTTGGGGTACCTTCCAATTCTGCAATTTTGTGATTCTATGTTGGGAAAAGCTTTACCTCTTAAAACTCCAGCAATGCAAGGAAGTGATTAAAACTGCTGGAAGATACACGCAGCACGAAAATGGGAGCCAGAGCAGTACAATGTTTGTTTCCAGCGCATTCCTTCCTCCAAAGAATCCCGGGAACTGCAGTTTGTGAATTGTATTGGGAACTGAAGCTCTGAGGGGCAGGGGTGCCAACTTGAATAAAATATGGGGGAGCAGGTAAGTTTGACCCCACAAAACCGATCACAGGACACACCGTTTGAATGGCAATGCCCATCAACTTTGGAGGGACCGGTCTCCTCAGATATTTTATGGGGTCCCTAGGAGTTGGCTCCTATGTTGAGGGGTGAAAACTACAGTTCCTGGGATTCTCTGAGAGAAGCCATTTGCTTTAAATGTATGGTTTGTACGCAGCCTAAGTGTGTCACAGAACCACAGAATTGTAGAGTTGGAAGGGACCCTGAGGATCATCTAGTCCAACCCCCTGAAATATGCAGCTGTCCCATACGGGGATTGAACCGGCAACCTTGGTGTTATCAGCACCATGCTCTTACCGACTGAGCTATCAATCCATTTAAAGTTACCCCGCAGGATGTCTGCTTATTGTCACAGAAAAACATTTCAGATTGGTTATTATTATTTAAAATACGAAATAAATAATAATAATAAAAATAATAATAATAATTTATACCCCACCCATGTTTCCCCAGCCACTGTGGGCGGCTTCCAACAAAATATGAAAAATACCATAAAACATCAGACATTAAAAACTTCCCTAAAGAAGCCTTGTTTTATTTTCAAATCTTTAATTTTCTTATTTTTTGCAATTCAGTGTTTGTGAATCAAAAGCCCCCCCCCCCCGTAAAAAAAAAGGATACCGACAACCACTTCCCACCCTCCCCCGTGTTAAAGACCGACCTTAGGTTAACGCCGCGTACTTGATCCCTATAAAAGCTTTTGCTTTGCTTTTTTTATATCGTCCTCCGGGCAGCCTGCACGGCATTCTCGCCACCTCCCCATAACCTCGCCTTCAGGGAGCGCCGGGCGGAAGGGCTGGCCGGGGGCCCTCCCTGCTGCTTTTCGTAGTGCGGGGAAACGCGGCGACAGGAAACCCGGGGAAAGGGGCGTGGTCTCCGCTCTCAGCATTCCATGCATGCCTCGAGTCAGCGCAAGAGCCTGACAGCGCTGGGAGAGCCCTTTGCAAAAATGGCTTTTGTCTGCTTCCCCTAGGGAATAAGGCGGGGTGAGGAGGAAAAGGAAGAATTTCTTTGCTCCAGCAACCCTATTTTTAAACCACCATTCTCTAGCTCGCCAGGAAAAGCAGCAGAAGAGAGAAAGTGCAAGGAAAATGTGTGTGTGTTTTAAAAATATATTTTTAACCACACTCTATTTCACTAGGAAAAGCAGCAGGAGACAGCCAGCACAAGGAATATATTTCCCCACCCGCTAAAATATTTTGAGCACTGCCTAGCGATTATAAATAGTAATAATGAGGAGCTGTCAGCATGCCACACCCTGGGAAATGGCTTGGACTTGCCAGCTAAACCAGGTGAGGGTAGCCATTGGGTCTCAACCCCTCAGTGAGTGAGGGACTTCCCTGCATGTGAAGATAGGCTTCGGTGGATTAAGTGGATGAGACCAATAGTGGGTCGAAGGGTCAAAAAGGTGCTTTCTGCATGTGCTGTAGATGGAAGCGAAGGGCAGATGAGGCTTGTCAACCTGGGAAGGTAGCCCATCTAGGAGAAGGAAAACCCTGATCCTAAACCTCCTCTGCCTTGCAGGATATCTTGGGGAGAAGAAAAGGCTCAGCAGTAAACCCTACACAAATCCGGAGTGGAGTCCCTAAGACAGTTGGATGGTGCCTTGTACACCTCCTTCCAGTAACTCCTGCAACCCAGCTGTTACAAAAAGTATTTCTCTGCTTTCCTTTGGGCCACACCTGTGAGCACACCCGCCGGGTTCCCCCTAACTTTGGGGGAGCCCAGTGTGTGTGTGTGTGTGTGTGTGTGTGTGTGATGTCACACAGTGGGAGAAGACCACCGGAGGGAGGGCCCAGTGCAGGTGGGCCTGACAGTTCAGTTTTCCTGTATCTTGGCTTATGAGTGAGCAGCTTTAGTGACCCAAAGTGGTATTGGGGCCAAAAAGTGGTATGCAAATAAACCATGCCATACCATAAGAAGGGCCAAAGGGCTCTATCAACTCCTCTCTCGCTGCTCACATCACAGCAGACGGGTTAATGAGCCTTTGTTTGTTGCAGCTTGGAAGAAAGCTGACAATACGACAATAATATTGTCTGAGAGGGTCCTCAGATAATGATCTTTTCTGCAGCAAATATGAGGCATTTTCAGGCTTAGATTTGGCCCCTGGACGTCTTCTACTTTGGGGCATGTGTTCTAGTTCATTTTATACACAACCAGAAACAGATTTCTTTCTCCTAAAGAATAAGGTGTAACCTGCAATGTGGGACACAAGAAATTCCCCTCCCTAAACAATGTCTTAAACAATGTCCTTGAGCATTATGAAGGCTCCTCAAAGGTTTCATATGCTGCCAAACTCCCAGCCAGCTTGGGCTCTATCACTCAGCTGCTCATATGCGGTTTCCTGCACCACCACATAATCCACTTCTAAAGTTTAGGCTTTCTATCAACCACTGCCAAAATCAAGGTCTATGAAAATAAGCAAATTATGCTATGCAACGGAAGGCGGAAACCACAGCGGAAACACAGACAAGCCTTTGATATATCAGGGTTGGGAGAAATAAGGAAGAACTGCAGAGGAAGTATGTATTTGATTCTAATTATGTTTATTCAAAATAAAGCCCTGCAGATCTCAATGGGGTTTACTTCCATACGAGAATCCTAAACGAAGTCAAAACAAGAGCCAAATCATAAATGTATGTGGATAAATTTTCTCTACTGGATTTCAGGCTTTGACTACCTTACATGGACAGATCTGGCCCAATTCAAAAGGCAATTCAATTCAAAAGGTGAAGGCAGAACAGAAGGGCAGAGGTGACTGGCCTTCTTTTTTGAGTTGCAAGGGGCTATGATTTATCTAAAACAGGAGGCATTGAGGTGAGTGGTAGGGGTGGGAAAACTTTCCCCCTTCTGGGTAACATGCAGGGGGCGGGGAGGGATGGCCAGAGGCAAAGGTGGCTGCAGCAATATATGTAAACACTACCTTTGTGCAGTGGACTAAATTCTACACAACACGCCCTTTTATCCTTGCAGGCAAGCAAGAGGCATGAGCAGAGTTCAAGGACACATTGTAGGCAGGCAAAAACATTCAGGGAGGATGTGAAGCAAGTGAAACTGCTGGACCCTGCTTAGGTTTGCGAATGTGCTAGAAGTTTTATTGCAACATCCACAAACTGGGGGAGAGGGGAGTAGAAAGATGTCTCTCTGCCCACGCAAAGCCACTTAATAAAACCACACATTCCACCGGGGAAAACAAATGCACCAACCCCCAAAAAATTCAACATGGAGAAGAAGGCTATCTATCAATGGCTCCAATGGCTATGCTCTGCCCTCCACAGCAATGCTTCCGAATACCAGTTGCCGCAAAACACGGGAGGGGGTGGGGAGATCTGCCCTTGCGCTTGAATCCTGCCTTTTCCCCAGGTGGCTGTTTGGGCCCCTGTGGTGTGCTGGGCGAAATGGGCCCCATATTGGATTGATTCAATTTATTATACGCATGCGCCGGAATGCCAAAGCAGATTACCAAGGGTGCAAAATCGACCACATGACGTGACACCATAGCTGTCAACTTTTCCCTTTTCTTGCGAGGAATCCTATTCGGAATAAGGGAATTTCCCTTAAACAAAGGGAGACGTTGACAGCTATGCGTGACACGCACAGAGAATTTGAATGGCAATGCCCATTGACTTGGGGGAGGGCTCTGTTATTAGATGTGGGCCCCTAGGAGTGGAATCCTATGCAATCAACAACAGTAACAAGACCGAACGCCCTAGAGTGTCACAAACACAACACAAATCACGTAGAATAATTAGCTAATCCCCATAATAATTTCAATCTGGAAAACACTGTTCACAAAGCAGGGCTGCTTCTTCTTACTGCCCAGCGGCCAGCAAGAGGCCCTAACAGGTGAGTGCGCCCGGCGGGGTGGGGCTGGAAAGCGACGGTGAGGAACAAATTGGAGGGGGGGAGAGGAAACCCCGATCGCTTGCATTTGCTCCCCCGCGCGTCACGTGGAGCACCAAATCCAGGCAGGCAGGCGCGCGCCCGCCCCGCTCGCATTCCTTGCCTCCTCCCTCCTCTCCCCCGCCCGCCGTCCTGCGCCGCGCCGCACCACGGCCAGCCCCGCCCCCTTTTCGCTCCCGCCTCGGCCAATGGGGATCCGCCGCCATTAACCCTTCCCGGGGCGGAGCAGGGCCGGAATTCTGTGTGTGTGAGTGTGGAGACTGAGGGAGGGGGAGGGGGAAAAAACCTGAGGAGAAAAAGAGGCAGCGGCAGCAGCGGCGGCGGCAGACGCGGAGGAGGCCGCGGCTTGGATTCCGACGGCGACGGGAAGGGAAGCCGCCGCCGCCGCCGCTGCGACGACTGAGGAGAAAAGGAGCCCCCCGAAGAAGGCTGGCCCTCCGTCCGGCCCGGGTGGGCAGCGCAGCCGGCAGCAGGCCTCGTCCGCGCCTCCCCACCGCCGCGCGCCCGCTTCGCCCCTTTCCCTCAGAGCGGAATCTCGGCTCGGGCCTCAGCGGCGGCGCCGGAGATGATGCCGGTGAGCGGCGGCGGGGCTGTGAGGGAGGCGGGCGGGCTTCTCTCCCTCTCTCGGGCGGGATAATCCTCCCGTCCGTCTGTCTGTCCCGGCGGAAAGGGCGGCCAAAGGCAGGCGGCTCTCGAGTAAAAGGGAAAAAACCACCTCATGTGCTCCCGCCTCCTCGCCTTTCCTTCGATCCCGAGCGGGGAGATCTCAGGAACGGCTCCCTTCCTCCCTCGCCTATCCCAGGAAACGGTACAAAACGCACGCCGGGGAGGGATCCTGTCAAGCCCTCTTTTCGCGATCGGAGCCAGGCTGAGAGGAGGATTTAAGCTGCAAAGGGGGAAACGAAAAAGCCTAATCCGTAATGATTATGGCTAGCACTGGGTTGTGGGGCCGGCGCTGTTGAAAATAACGACAGGAAGGTTGATTTGTGTTTTTTTTTTGGTCGCCCTTTTGTGGGTTGATTGACGCTGTCATTGTTGTTGGTAGAGGAGGAAGGGGGAGCGTAATCCAGGGAAAGAACTGCGAGGTGTGTTTGCTTCCTGGCCTTATGGGTCGGGCATTGTTTTGTGTCAGCCTCCTGCCTCTGAATGGGCACCGCAGAAGCACCTGGAGGTAGAAGGCAATAAAAAGAGCACGAACAGGCTGCAATCCGATGCGCACTTGTGTGTAAGATCCACTGGGTCTCGGAATACCTGCGCCTTAGTTTTCGTGCCCGCTTGCTTTTGAGTAAAGCCCCACCGAATACAGTCGGGTTTGATGATTTCCAAGGAAAGATGCATATGGCCGGGCTGCGGAGTTCCCTGTTAACCCTTCTTTGCATCACTGCTATTTCTTTATTTAAAATGTGCGATCTGCCCCCCCCCCCCGCCCGGGATATGCATCTATAGTTGCTGCTTGCGTTTTCCACTGCTCATCTCGGCATCAGTGAATATAGGCTTGCTTTGTTGCTTTGACTTTTATTGCATTGGCAGGATATTTTATTTTAAAATGGTTGTTTCTCTGATGGCTCGCTTTGTTGTAAATTTATTTCGATTCTTTGGGGAAATGCTTCATATTAATATGTGGTTTATTTATAGCTAGTTCTTAATGTTGATTAGTGAATTATTCATTTGTTCGATTTGGAAGATTATTTTGCCTCAATTGCTCCCCAGCGTTTAAAGAAAAGGAAACTTGGAGGAAATCTTCTAAATCGGAAATTCCAAAATCATTCACCCTGCTAAAACTAAATACTGCGGGGATTCCCACCCTTAACCATATGAAAGTGAGATAATGCTTGGATATGAGAAAATAAGAAAGAGTAAGAAGTGAATTAGGATTTATTATTATTATTTCTTCATGCTGAGAAGAACACAGGAAGTAGTATAAAGGGGGTTTGTCTGTTGCAGTGGTAATGTGTGGCTTAAAATGCCCCTTTTGTCATACATTGTAAGACAAGTACACATTCTCTCCCCTTTGTTGGAAATTTTTAAAAAATGGTCTGTTAAAATTGGCAAAAATAGAGTCACTGGAATGAATGGATTTACAGAATTTGCTTATGATCTAGGCCTCTGAAGTGGAACACGTATACATGCATGTAATCTTACAGACTTTAGCTGCAGTCCATTAAGCAGTTCCTTTGGAAGAGTATCTCCCATGACTTACTCGCCATATTCCAGTATCGGTGTTCTGGGGATTTCATCCCATGAGATGTAAACCATGATAGTGTGTGTAGTTCTTCTAGTATGCTCATGTAATAGCCTTTGTCAAGGCTGTAGCTTATGAATTTAAGATGATTGTATATGTTGTTAGGAGGGAACTGTAAAACAGGCACAGTCAGTTTTACAGGCATAGCATGCAACCTGAAACATGGCTTGCATTTTCTGTTTCTGGATTGTATGTATTTTAATTCATAACTCTTAAAACAGTGTTTCAGTTATTATTTTGCTTTTTGTTTTAATCTAGTGATTCATTAGTGCCTATATTTTTTATTCATTTTATTTTTTTGTCATATGAGACTGCAGTAACAGCAATGACTTTTGAATGTTACTTCATGTACCTTTCAGAAACATTTTAGTAACAATGATCCCTCTGTAAATCTGATACTTCATACAATTACTGCATTTCCAGTTACATTTTGTTCAATCTAAGTACAGTACTAGATACCACCCTGGGGTCCTTTGGGAGGATGAGTGGAATATTAAGTAAATAAAATAAATAAATAAATGAAACAGGATTTGTTTTCCTTCCATGGCATGAAGTAGTAAAGGGATTTTCTTGATTTTTGTTTGATTTTGTATCTGTCATAATGCAGAAGATTATGCATAGAAAGAGTAAAATACTTATAGTGACTCTGAGTCCTGACCTTCAGCACCAGGATGCTCCTGTTCTTGGCTTCAGCATAAATTGCATATATACAGAAGTATGTCCAATTGTCTGATACCTCGCGTTGTGAATGAGGAGCTCAGTACAAGCAGAGTTACTTTGAATTGACCACAGCAGCTTTGAGCCTATGGCAGCTATCCACAAACCACTTAAAATAATTTAATCCTACTCAAGCCACGGTGGCAAAGCTTTATTAAGTGCGTACATTTATGTTCTGTAATAAAAAGGCCAGTATCATTGGGTATTGCAGTTGTTAGGGGTAATACACATATGCACTTAGGAGCCCCCTCAAAGTTGTGTTGTACCACATAGACATTTGCATTGCTGCATTACTGGGTGGGGTGGGAGGATTAAAGGGTTGAACTGTACAGAGTATCTCCCCTCTCCTACTATTGCATCACAGACCCACAGACTCATTTCAGTGTGGTGGAGCAGCTTTTCCTTTCAAAGCTGGTTTACTACCAGCAGTCTGGCCAGCTGTAGCTTTCTCTAGCTTAGTCTCTCCCACCACCCTCAATTGCAGCATTTTCCCAGTTCCTTGCCCTTACAGACTTTAAGACTGGAGGATTCACATTGAGTGGGACAGGAAACTGGAAGAGCCTGGCAGGAGCAGAACTGTGATGTTTGAGAGCCAATGTGGTGTAATGGTTTGAGTGATGGACTATGATGTAGGAGACCAGGGTTCAAATTCCCACTCAGCCATGAAGCTCACTGGGTGACCTTGGACCAGTCACCATCTCTTAGTCTAACCTATCTCATAGGGTTGTTGTGTGGATGAAATGGAGAGGAGGAGACCCATGTACACCACCTTGGAAGCTAAAGCTCACTTGGAAGATAAAGGTGGTATATAAATGTAATAAAAATGTTGAATGAAATGAAAACCTGAACAGGAGCTGTGATGGGTATGAGATTTTCAGAAGCAGGGAGCTCAGTTAAATCGAAAGTCCAATTCTGTCCCAGTCCTTTCTCACCTATGCTGTGACTGTGGCCATGTTGGAAAGCATTGGAGCACTAAAAACAATATATGGATAAACCCAAAGAGATAAATGTAATTTTGTAGAATACTGTTTTGAAGTGATATTGGTAAAATTGATCAGAACTATATTGGTGAGGTCCTTGTGGTTGTGCCTTATTGATTTTTATTTTTTTAGCATATATGGTAGATGAAATATAATTGTCAATTGCTACTCTAGCAGCATGCCAAGAATGGAAGCTAGAAGGTGGAGTTATGCTGATGCAGGGTGGGATTGTGATCAGTAAGCTTGTGGGAGGAACTGAAGAGTCTGCAACTGGAGACACCACTGAGTGGGGAAGACCTGCCTCTGGGCACAAACACTGGAGTTGTCAGGAGAGGGGCAATATTAGTTTACATCTAGTAGGACTGTGAATGCTTTCCATTTGCTTAAATGGAGAAAATAAAGGGTTTGTTCCTATTACAGAAAAACAAAGAACTGGTGTTGGGGAAACCAGCACCTTTGGCACTATTCTCCAAAAGACTCCGCATTGCACATGCACCCACTGGTTATGTTAACAGGCATCCTAATAGAGTAAATAATTGTTTTTTTATGTATGCATATACATGTATTTTTAAAAACACTCCTCTGTTGTCATCATGCCCCAGCATTACATTTTTGTCATGCTAGATTGTGACAAAGGAGAGCTGTTGGAACTCTGTATAGAATACACAAATCCACAGTGCCTTCCTTCCCCATTCCCTTTTATTATCTCTGTTTTTGCTCATTTCCCCTTCACAATCCATCACTCCTCACTCCTCTGTCTCATTGCTTCTCCTCTTATGTGTGGGAAAGACCCTCTAAGGTAGCATCAGCTTATTTTAGGGCAAGATCCTGTATACCTGAAGGAGCGTCTCCACCCTCATCATTCAGTCCGGACACTGAGATCCAGCACCGAGGGCCTTCTGGCGGTTCCCTCATTGCGAGAAGTGAGGTTACAGGGAATCAGGCAGAGGGCCTTCTCGATAGTGGCGCCCGCCCTGTGGAACGCCTGCCCTTCAGATGTGAAGGAAATAAGCAGCTATCCTATCTTTAAAAGACATCTGAAGGCAGCCCTGTTTAGGGAAGTTTTTAATATTTAATGCTGTATTGTTTTTAATACTCTATTGGGAGCCACCCAGAGTGGCTGGGGAAACTCAGCCAGATGGGCAGGGTATAAATAATAAATTATTATTATTATTATTATTATATAAGATAAGATCCTAAACAATATGGAACCATTGAGTTGGTGCCATGTTGTCCAATATACTGTCTTGAATTTGATATTACAGTATCTTAAATCAAAATAGAATTTTGCAACTGTAGGCAAAACATATCAAGGACTTGATCATGTGATCACTGCAGTAAGTTTGTTTACTACCAGTTGCTAGGGAGCATAAGTGGGCAAGCACTGTTGCATTCATGTCTTGCTTGTGAATAACTTCCCAAAGGCTTCTGCATGGCGTCTGTGGGAACAGGATGCTGGGCTAGATGAACTATCAGGGCTCTTTTTATGTTCTTGCTATAACAGTACCTGTTGAATTTCAGAGCACTAAATGTAATTCTTTTGGCCTTTCCAATATAATATGGTGGTGTTCATGAGAAACTTTTGGAAATCGTTTTTTGTTGTTAAAATAAAATTGCTATTGACAGTCTCAGCCATTTCCCCATATGTTGAGTAGAAAGCAGAAGCAATACTATTTTGGATTAAGTTTGCATTGCTATTTTACCCAACTCTTGGGAAACCCTAAAATCTATTATTCTAACCTACTTGGTTCTAGGGGATGTCCTTGAAAACAGTCTTTAGTTTTGAGGTCCAAATTTTAACAAGAATGTTCACAAGCTAGAGAAGATTTGGAAGGCATTAATATAATGGGTTTCAAATTGAATACACACCCGTAATAGAAGGCAGTGCACTGACTTCCTTTTGAACTGAGAGGGTTGGGGGTGGGGGGAGAATTACAAGACTGGTAAAAATAAAAGACACAAACACGTTAGTCAGAAACAGTCCTTTTTGAACTGAGGGGGTTGAAAAAAGAATTACAAGGTACAAAAATGTTAGAAACAGTGGCATAATATAAGTCTAAACAAATTTGTTGCAGTAAGATAAGTAATATTTCTGAGCTATTACTTTTTCAAAATGACCCCTTTGACTGTAAGAGTGGCAGGACAATAAAAGTACGGTAATTGCTAAGGGAAGGTGTGAATGAGTATTCCTTCAAGAGGCCTGACATATTTTTTTATCAGCCATATTCTGTGGATGGTAATTGATTTATGCTTTGGGGCAGTATTGCCTATTAGGCAGTATACTATGTATTTTGCCCTACCAAAACATGGATTCAGGTATCCAAGATTCTGGGGTTGTAATTATGCAAATACCTAGTAAGCCTAAATCTACAGCAGGGTGACACTTTTATTAGGACCAACTAAAATGGCAAAAAATAATGAGCCAGCTTTCAAGTTCTGCAGAGCTCTTTGTCAGACACAATATTAAACAGTGTGTGTATGTGTGTAAGTTGGGAGTGGTATAGTTGCTCCTCAAGTCTGCAATTTATAACTATCTTAAAGAGGATCCAAGGAGGAGTGTTGTAGGCATAATTGGATTAGACTCTGGAGATACAAGACAGCATGTAATGCTTCTATTTTGGGGCTTTCAAATAATTTAACCCTTTTTTGCCATTTGTAGTTGTAGGCGGCAGCTTACTTTTTGAATTTTTTTTTTTTAAAGAAAGGTACTGATTTTTCTGTGGGTTTAGAATATTTTATGTATTACTGTTAAGTTTGTTTTATACTGTATTATCCTATTTTTTCTGCCTTTGAGAAGCTTTCTAAAAGCTTGGATATTAATTTATTACATAATAAAAATACGAAAGCAAGACAGAGACCTGTATTCATGAGGCAGAGAGTGAGATGGGGCCAGTGAAGATGTAATACAGTGTACCTCGGGTTGCATACGCTCAGTGGCGTAGCGTGAGGGGTGCAGGGGGGACCGGCCGCACCGGGCGCAACATCTGGGGGTTAGGGTTAGGGGGCGCAAATCCACGGGTTAGGGGGCGCAAATTACTTGCCTTGCCCCGGGTGCTGACAACCCACGCTACGCCACTGCATACGCTTCAGGTTACATACGCTTCAGGTTACAGACTCTGCTAACCCAGAAATATTACCTCAGGTTAAGAACTTTGCTTCAGGATGAGAACAGAAATCATGCTCCAGCGGCGTGGCGACAGTTTAAGGCCCCATTAGCTAAAGTGGCGCTTCAGGTTAAGAACAGTTTCAGGTTCAGAATGGACCTCCGGAACGAATTAAGTACTTAACCCGAGGTACCACTGTACTACCAACGTCTTAAGCCTTGTTAGTAGATTGGAAGCAGGCTTCCTTCCCAAATACCTGTCCCTTACCAGCTTTAACCACAGTTAAGTGTGGGTCAGCACTGATATTCATGGTAACTAATGCAAACTAGAGTGGAACTAAACATTTCAAGGGCGACACTACATTTCATTTTCTAACCCATGTGCTTGTCTAACCCTGTGCTTGTCACATGAGTATAGTGGTGGGGACACTACCAGGGGGAAATTGGCAGGTCCAAGAGGAGGGGGAGAAAATAGACACTTGCATGTGCATATGAGGCATATTTTTTCACATATGCAGTGGCATTTTAATATATTTTCAGTCTTCTTCCGGGAAAAAAAGAATGGGTTAGCAGCAATGCCTTCCACGAGTCATACATGGAGTTACACAGTCTTAGGAATCTTTTTGTGATATCTTCAGCCATTGAAGCATAACTGTCTGTCTATAAGAAATAAAGGTAAAGTGTTTTGCTTGTGCAACCAGACATACCTTAGTTGCCTATAAATAAATATTTCATGAGCTGTTTCAAAGGTAGCAAGACTAAGCCCAAAGTTTCTTACCTGTCCAGTTAGTTAGGCACTTCAGAATAAAGTAATGGGAGTTACCTATTCAGTTCTACAATTTACTTCATGGTTCTGAAAGAAACATGAATGCACCAATAAAATAAGATGCAGCTCCATTGTGTCCCCATCTCATAAGAGCATAAGGGTAGCTAGATTATTTATTTATTAAAAATTATATCCTGCTTTTCATCACATATGGGTCAAAAAGAAACTTAAACAATAAAATTATATAATACATTTTTGGAGTAAGAGTGGAAGTGACTAATTAGCTGTCAGAAGGCAAAAGTAGGTGCACAAACTGGAAATGGCTAATGATGGGTGTAATTACAAATGCATGAATCTTTGGCTTAATTAAGGCACCTGTTCATAACATAAATTAGGGATCCCTTCTATCGTGGGTGTATAGCAGGCTTCCTCAAACTCGGCCCTCCAGATGTTTTGAGACTACAGTTTCCATCATCCCTGACCACTGGTCCTGCTAGCTAGGGATCATGGGAGTTGTAGGCCAAAAACATCTGAAGGGCCGAGTTTGAGGAAGCCTGGTGTAGAGAGCCAATATAGAACTAAACTTGATTATGTCCAGGCTCTGGAGTTAGCATTGTTAGGCAAAGAGCCTTTGATCTGAGCTTCAGGGCATTGCACAAAAAGGGGGTTGTCCAAACTAGGTAGTTAGACAAGATATCAGTTGGAAAGGAAGCATGATGCAAGCAGGCTGGAGCCAAATGCAAGAAAGAGTAACAAGCCAGATAAGAAAGCCTAAATTGTTGTCCAGATAAAGTCCTATCATAATCTGGAAGCATTTATAGCTGGGTGGTCATAAGTCAAATCAATGCACTATCTAAGGGGTGGAGCGATACTGGAGCCTGAAGGGAATAGTACTGCCCCATAGCTTTCCACTGTGCAGGCTTCAGTGGCCAATAATAATGGACATCAGCATGCAAAATCACAAGCTCCTGTTTGATCCCATGACCCCTTTCTGACCATAATTCCCCTTTTACTTGAGCAGAGCACTTGAGACTCATTCACATGTATTTATCCTGAGATGGCAAACCCTTATCTTGCTTCACTCTATAATTTGCTTATAGTATCAAGGGATTACACAAGGACTTAAGTGAGTTGACATTGAAGTAGTGATATATAGAAGTTTTTGTCTTTTCTTAGTTTGCATAACTGACGAGGTATGCAACATGACCTCAGGTATGTAAAGGTGGATGAAATTCAGGAAGCATATATAGTTGAAAATCTCCTATTCTGGCATGCAACAATTGCTGATTCACCGTAACAATCTTGAGTTAACAATCACTGAAATAACTTCAAGTATTCCTGTTTGTGTAAATAAGCCTTTAGTGATTGTGTCCTATGGTTAATTATCTAAGAATAATAATAAAAGGAGATTCAGAATTTATATGCTGCAGATTTACTGTATGTGAATTACTTAAACGTAGTTTGAGGTGTAGCACCAATATATGAAATATTAGGTTTAAAATATCCTTCTCCATGGTTACCAGACCTCAGTTCTAATTCCATAGACTGTTTCAACCATGAGTGTGATAACTAGCGCTTGGACTCAAACCCAATAACATTTTTCATTTGGTATGATTTGCTGTCATGCTGTGCTGAAGGCACTAGTGTAAGTGTCTTGAGCCATTGCTTAAATAAACCATGAAATCCATCTCAACATGTTTCTCTGAATGACTTAGAAGATTTGCAGCTTCATTTGCTCCTTTATATATCTGCTTTGCCTTTTTATTTTATGGCTATTTTGTAAGTACAATTTTAGATTCCTTGATGCAGAAAAAGACTATAGTAGGGGATGAAATCTCTGTGGTGAGTGCATGTACATCTTTGTTAAAGAGAACTGTGTGAATACAAAGTATTTGTGCATGTATATTTTACTGGGTTGGAAACCATAGGTGCAAATCCTGCACTTATTAACTGTGTAATCTTTTCTATCTATCTATCTAGTCTGAAGTAAGCACCACTGATTTCAGTGTAACTTACTTTTAGGTAAGTATACTTGTAGTCTTAGATACACATTCAAGTGAGGATATGCAGTCTATCCATACTTCTTTGGTTTGATTCAAGTGCAGAGTCTGATGTGCATTTAAATTAAAATTGCATCCTTGTGCTGGTTTGTTTTTGTTTTTTTGTTTGCTGCATTGTGTATGACCAGAGTTGGATTAGGGCCAGTATGCTCTAAGCAAAGAAAATAAAAAAAAATACTTGGTGGCTGACTTGGGTATTTGAACCGCATCTTGTTTGCTATCATTTTGAACAGAAAGCCATTGTCTTGACTATGTTTGGGGAAAAGTTTGGGCTAGCATAAAGCCAGCTACCTTTGGTAAATATCATGTGGTTCTACTTTCGGAAGTGAGAGGAAGCATTTTGTGGTTTTGTATCTTTCAGCCATTAACAGATCAATTAGTGTATCTTTCTAGAACTGCTTTCTAAATTTTATATGTTCTTATTTCCAAAACTTAATCTTAGCTGTACATTAACAGAGTAGCCCTATACATGTTTTTCTAGAAGTCCTATTGAATTCATTGGGACTTACTCCCATATAAAATGTGTACAGGATTACATCCTAACTAAATGCCTTTGCATTTCATGTTCCAAAGTGAGGAGAGAGTAGGAAAATAAAACTTTATTGCTTGCATAAAATAAGTAGAACTTGACATGAAGTAAAATGAAAGATGTGCTGTACTAATCATTTACAGTCTTGTACTGTTTTTACTTATTTACAGTCTTGTACTGTTTTTATAAGGGTGGCGCTGTGGGTTAAACCACAGAGCCTAGGACTTGCCGATCAGAAGGTCAGCGGTTCGAATCCCCGTGACAGGGTGAGCTCCTGTTGCTCGGTCCCAGCTCCTGCCCACCTAGCAGTTTGAAAGCACGTCAAAGTGCAAGTAGATAAATAGGTACTGCTCCGGCGGGAAGGTAAACAGCATTTCCGTGTGCTGCTCTGGTTCGCCAGAAGCGGCTTAGTCATGCTGGCCACATGACCCGGAAGCTGTCTGCGGACAAACGCCGGCTCCTCGGCCTATAGAGCGAGATGAGCGCTGCAACCCCAGAGTTGGTCACAACTGGACCTAATGGCCAGGGGTCCCTTTACCTTTACCTTTACTGTTTTTATAGCACCACCCTCAGTGTAGATCTGGTTTTTGAGTGAGATCTATAGACATTGCAAGCCTATCCCACCACAAAAAACCCTACATTAAAGTGCTTCTAAATCGTTACATTTTTCAAAGCCTGCTTGAAGCTGCTTAAGAAGGAGAAATGGATTTTTTTCCTAATTAGCCCTTGGGGTGAGCTGTTTCACCTATTTCATTTATGGTACTAAATGAATAATAGTATACTAGGCTGGGCAAATGTGGCTATCAGGCTTCGTAACTAATGTTTGCATCAAGGAATGAACTTGATTTTACTTGGTCCACATTTTTCTAAACTGATAGCTAACTTTGGCTTAACGTGAACACACAGCATGCTCAAGAGTCTCTGCTTTCCTCCTACCCACATTCCTGACCATGCTACACCAAGAGAAACAAACTATAAGCCTTAGTTTGTTGTGTTGTCTGAACCTGGACTTGTGGGTTGTTTCTCTCCTAACCACAAATGGTAGTCAATATATATTCTTCTCCTTCCTGGTTGTGGTTTGTTTAGGGAAAAACAAACCATGAGTGCACAATACAACAAGGAAGGCCTTGTGGTTTGTTGCAAAGTGAGGACTTGGGCAACATGCACCAGTGTGTTGCTTATTCATACTAAACCAGAGTTAAAGATTTATGGTTTAATGTGAAATGTGGGCACAGTCTAAATCTCTTGAGCAAAAGTAATCAAAAAAGTAACTGTAATTCCTTTTATATTTTGTGTTAAAAAAACCCCTAACATCTTGAAAATCTAGCCAATTACCGTATTTTTCGCTCTATAACACGCACCAGACCATAACATGCACGTAGTTTTTAGAGGAGGAAAACAAGAAAAAAAATATTCTAAACGAAATAGTGGATATATGATTTTTGTGGTTCGTGCTGTGGCCACAGACATGTGATCTGACAGTGATCTGAGTTTGGAGTAGCCCAATGCAAAAATCCTGAGGATCCATGTGGATCCATGCTTTGTAACCACGGAGGAGGGAAGGAAGGGGAACCATGGATCTTCTGCTCATGACTGCAGCAGATCCCCCCCCGCCACCCACAGGCATTCGCTCCATAACACGCACAGACTTTATGTAGTTGTAAGCAACAATTTTCCCTTTCAGCTGATCACTTTCAATAATTCCAGTTTCCTAATAGTTTAATATTTTTGTGTTTTTTTGGCATATGTGCTGAAGTAAATTGCTGACCATTCTAAAAGTAATTACTTTGCCTATACACAGCATACATGAAGATTGCAGCTGTAAAACAAATTGTTCCTAAGTAGCTACATTGGTCAGAAGGACCATTACATATTATTATTATTATTATTATTATTATTATTATTATTAACAACAGACTAATTTCCCATTAATCCTAATCCTATGAAGTAGATTTTTAACAAGGTTTTGCAAATAGACCTCTTGGGGCAAGATATTATTAGATTGTCTTTGCCAAGTGAGTCTTTGGTTATGCTACATTTAAATGTAGGTTTCGCAATTCTGTCCTCCTCTCTTCTTTAATGCATATTTGTAACCACTTGTTGGGTAGTATAAAGTGCTTGGAATGTACTTTTAGAATCAACAAAGGAGAGGGTCGACAACCTGTGCCAGCAACTTTTAAAATTCTACAGATTATGGATATGACTAGATAAGGAAGTATACTTATTGTGCTCTTTAGGCAACTTTCTATGGTCAAGCTGGATTGTCTAAATAAATGGTAGATAGTATTTAACTTGATGTGGCAGCTTCTTCTTCTGGGTGATTAGCTCAAGAAGATTACCAGTTGCTGACATGAATTCTGCGATCTGAGGTGCTTTTTCTTCAGTATATAACAGTCCTGTAGTGATGGATCTTAATTTAGGAGCTTCTGTCCATGTTCCATAAAAAGTTTGATGCAAGTCATTTATATGGGGTTGATGTCATGCTAAAAGCAAACTGATACCATTTAATGGGTGCAGATGATGGAGGGGAGGCATTGTTTGAAATTGGAAGTAAGAAAGAGAGCTAATTTGTGCACCAAGTCACAGATTTCCTGACCCTTGTATAAATGCTTACCACTGTTGCTATTCCTTTGTCACTGCAAAAGGTTAGCATGTTTGATCATGGAGATACATTTGCACATGCTGCACAATAATGATTGCTGCTGAAAATAATTACTGCTGTTAATATCTATTGATTTTAATATATGTATATATAATTGGTAGTGGGAACTGTCTTCTATATGGCAGGTAGTAAAAAGACTAAATGCTACATTTCTAAAGAGGGGAAATTTAAGTTTCCTTACTTATGTAATAATCACTTCAAAGTTAGCCCGTCTTTTAAAATGCGACACTGCTTTAACAGAGGCAGCAGTTAGTACAACTACACACTTGATGAAGAGAGCTCCTCATGTAAGGTTACCTAATTAGGTGAAATTCAATCCACCATATCTACTTGCTGTCACAACTGTGCTCTGCCTTGTTTCATTAGGCTTTCTTATCTAGGCACGTCACTACCTCTTGTATTCATATAGCTGCACACCAGACCAGAATATCCATTTAAGTAGACTGTAGCACTGTAGCCTTTGCACAGAAACTGTTTTAGATTCCAGCTTTCACTTTTTAAGTTCATTTTTAAATCTCTCTGTGTGGATTTACACATGAGGAACATTCTAAGAATGATTGTTCAAAGCGTCTTAAACACATCAAAAGAGAACATTTGGCAACTGGGGAGGAGCGGCCTGAAACAGAGAAATGGGAAAATAGGCAAAATAATGAAAAAAAAGGTGAGAGCTTGTTAACATAACTTATAGCTATATTATTGTGTTCTTTTTTGTAGCATTATTTTATAGGAGTGAACATAATCTTGTGATTCTGAGCTTTTAAGTGAAAAACACTGCTTTCCTCTGTAGAGGTTTGCATCCATCCAATGATGCTGTCTTTGTACATGCACTTGATTGGAAAGTTGTTTTGCTTTGTTTACATTATGTGTGTTTGAATTCTTTTAAACAAAAGCAAATTTTAGAATTTGTTTTCAATCCTATTTTCTTGTTCTCCTAGCTTGTGTTATATTCATAATAATAATAATAATAATAATAATAATAATAATAACCACCAGAAGTTTGTGAGAAACAGCTGCCCTGAGCATATATCTGTATATGTTTCTTTATCCTATTGATAGTACCCTGTAAACAAAAGCATTTTGCTAATGATCAACCGCTTCAGTCAGCAGAACTGGTACTACTATAGGTGCCACATAATACCCGTTCTGCATTTGTAAGAACTCAGTTGTTGAGTGTGGCAGCACCTGCACTTTGGAACTCCCTGCCTATTGAGATCAAGCAGGCACCTTCACTGTACTCATTTTGACACCTGCTAAAAACATTCTTGTATAGACAACAAGCCTACCAAGATGCTTAGAAAGCTGAGGTAATTTTAATCTGTTTTAATATTTTAATTCGTGTATGTTTTAAAGAAGGGTTGTGAATTTTTCTCAATTTTATTGTTTTATCTTTTTGTAAATCACTTTGAGATTTTTTAATAAGCAAGTGGTGTATAAATGGTAGAGGTAGTTTAGCCTTTTGCTACTGATCATAAAAAGATACTGCTGCCATTAGTCACATTATTAATATCTGTGAATAAATGTTTTTTTGGGAATTGCAATTTCCTGGTGCAGGGATCTTTGTTTGTTGTACTGAAATTGGTGCTTATCTGGAGAATTCATAAGTGACCTGGCAGCTGTCTCCCAATCTTCTGATTTGTTTCATGCTGCTGTACGAATGACTGAAAAGACTCACGAGATCTGTATTAGCTTGGCTTGGGGGGGGGCGTATTTGTAAGTTGGAAAAGCAGTGCACCATGTTGCAGTGAACAAGAGACTGCATAGTTGTGAGATTGGAAAGGTTGGTTTGCGTAGTTTAACCTTGTAGCACTGATTTGGAAGGTCATGCCTTAGGCTGTTTTCATAAGTGACAGTTAGAACAGTTTTTGTATTTCCTGTGTCTATAAATGGAATAAAAAAACCTACGTTACCTAGAATACTCTTTCAATGTTAAAATGGCTGCCTTCATTTTTTTAATGCTTTATTAACAATCACAAGCGTTAGATTTCAAGGGGAAATACACTCTTTACATCACTTGTGAAAACACCCTTAAGGTCATTTCATTGTTTTGTGTAGTTGTTACTCATTTGCTGTGTGTGATTCATTTTACTCTCTTCATAGATTTATATAACTGAATCTTTATATCCCAAGTAGAGAAATGTGCCCCCAAATTGTGTGGGGAGACTTGCTTGGGTTTAACTGGAAATACGTTATCCTTAGATTAGCTAATTAGGGCTGCATTTGACTTGGGTCTCAAATAATTTAGCCCCATTCCAAACAAAGGACCCATTGTGTTTAGGATGGGTCCTTCATTACTTATGGCAGCATACTGGGTACAAGTACTGGAAAAGATACAGTTCTCATGGATCATGACATCCTAGGATCTACGATAACTACATCTTGTGTCTAAGATTCTGCAGTGGCACCCGGCAACTTTGCAAGGATCTTAGCATCAGCAGGATCACATGTTCCATAGATCTTGTGGCTTGGAAACTAATGTGGCAGTACTGATGGGCTAGGGTTGGGGAGGGTTTACTGATTTTATTTGTTACTATGCAAGATATTTTTGTGTTTTTATATTGTAAATTGCCTTGTAATCCTCGGATGACAGGTGGTATAGAATTTTTAATAAATAAGTAGGTAAATAAAATTAAGCTTCCCTGTTGTTTCCTGATAAGTTTGGATAGTGAAAGGAAGTGGTGACTGTCTTGAGGAGGGCTGGCACTAAGCCGAGCCTAACTTTAGAGCAGGGGTGCCCAAACTTTTTTCAAAGAGGGCCAGATTTGATGAAGTGAACATGTGTGAGGGCTGGCCAAAGGTGTTGAGCTTTTTTTAGTATTGAAGTTGCTGAGCTTTTTTAAAGATTTTACCCCAGGACATATACTGACACGGGGGCCAGATTAAATCGACTGGAGGGCCGGATTAGGCCCCCGAAACGGATTTAGGACATGCCTGCTTTAGAGGTTGGCTTTTATTTTAGCCTGGGAAAGGGGGCATTCTGCTCCATACTTAGAAACAATGGCTAGTGGAAATGTGTATGGAAATATGACCATAAAATGGACTGGGAAGTGAGCAAGTGGCTCCACTTTTCCTTCCCTCTCATGCTGCAATCCTACATATACTGACCTGGGAGTAAGCCTCATTGAATGCAGTGGGATTTACTTTGGAATAGACGTGCATAGGATCTGCTGTAAGTTCCTCTGCTGTCTCCTTTCCCTCTTCCCTTTAGCTGTAACATGTAACCATGTTAACTATATACATTTTTACACATTCCTTTTTATGGGTGCTAGGAATGTAAATAGATCTTTGCCAAAGGTGGCTATCGGTGTAATTAATTTCTGCTGGCACTAAGGTGCTGAAGCTTTCCTAAAGAGGAAGAGTAAAGCAGTACTTAGGTCCAGGATAAATTAGCTAACACTTCTGCCTCCTTCCTAGGATCTGAGGGAGAAATGGTGTTTTGTGTCTTGCCTGCCATGGAAGCATGCACGACAGACAGACAGACAGAGAGCCTTCCCAGTGGCCACACCCAGATCCTAGAATATCCTGTGAAATATGGTTGGCCCCATCCCTTGCTGTTTGTTTAAGTCCTTTTTATTCCAATAGACTTTTCGTTCTGTGGGGGACAGTGCATTTTATCATTCAGTTGCTGGTCCTCTTCTTCAATGGATCATAGAATGATTTTTTTAATGGAATTTGCAAGGGCAGAATGTAAGTACTGTATCTATAAACAGTCCCACCCCCCCCTCAAGTTAGATATTGCATGTTCCACAAGCTCTAGTCTATTACTGTCCCTTCTCTCAGTTTTCCTGCAGTACATAATTCAGGTGGAGAAGATGAGCAGGCAGACGTGCAGAACTGTGGAGAATATATACCGTAAATTGTTGTGGACCTTTTATAACTACTTCAAGTATCTTCTATTTTTGTAGCACTGCATTGGCTTCTGAGGCTTCTTAATGTGTCCATAGCAACATGTAATTGTATCTTGCTGACAAAATGTTTAATATGTTAGGAATCAGTACATACTCATGAAGACTTGCATAAATTTTAAAATGCACACCGCATGAGATCTATAATCATTTATCCTTTCTGTCTGCTGTTGGAGGTAGGGAAGTGCCACTCCAGAGAATATAATTCATTGTTCACAGCTATGTAAAACTTAAACTTGCATAAAATAGATAAGTTGTCTATTTAAAATAAAATAAAATACTCCTATCTATAGACATGTTGAAAGGGACTGGTTTGATAGGCCAAGTCAGCCAGGCAGTGTTTCTGTAAGTTGTTAGACTTTGTAGAATAAGTGTAGCAGAGTGGAGGTAGAGATGGGCTTCATAGTCCATATTCTGCAAAGCAACTTAACTGCTGTTATGAGCAGAGGTTGTTAGATAGCTGAATGTTCCTGCCTCCATCACACACCTCACCCTGGCATGGTCTTTCTATATAGTGGAGTAGTGTTGTTACTAATTTGTTTCTTGGAATCCTTGCCTGCCTTTTGCACAGGTGAAAACTTTGTTAACCATGAACCTTTATTTTATTTATATATTTAACAAAATAAATTAAGGAAGGGGTTTCAAAACTTTTAAAATTTGGTTATGTCTTGTTTATATTATCATCAAAAAAAGTCAATAAAATTTATTACATAATATTCTAAAATGGAGGAGAAAAGTAAAATAAATCCTTTATATTCCAACTAGGAAAATGCCCACCAAATTGGATTTGTTTTGGAATGTATCCATGCAACCAGAACATAGGGTCAAACTCTGGATTCTTACATTTGATGTTGAATCTCCCTACATTTGGGGCTCCCCATCAGCAAACCTGCACTGCCAGCAGCAGCCTTCTAGACTGCAGAAGTCACAGAGTGGGAAGAGGCACCTTGAATATGGTTCAGTTTCATAGTGAGGAGCAAGGCTAGTGGGGAGGAGCCTGTTAAAAGAAACCACACACATATCCCAGCTCAGCACCAGTAGGCTAATGAATGCTGTATCCAGTGCCTCATACAGTAAAATCCACACACTCCTTCTATCCTTCATTTTGTGGACAAAATGCAACAATTACTTTTTTTTTTTGCAATCTAAATTAGAAAAATTCACCATGGCAATGAGAGCTGGCACAGGAGAGCCCAGGCTCCCTCTCTTGTCCTAGACTCTCAGCTAGCAAGACTTTACCCCAAAGATTGAAGCAAGTGATTTTGTAGGCAACATCAGAAAATCATTTTATTTAAAATGCAGCTAGCTTAAATAATCAGAGATGGTTTCTGTGATCAGAAATATATAAAGTTACAGTAGCTTTATTGTTCTATAAAAGGAAGCCTGGTTTTCATGTTTTTTTCCTGGAAACATGAAGTCCATACACAATGTCTCATTTGCAAGCAATCCCGATAACCAGGAAATCTCTTAAAAGTTAACTGCTGAGTTGATTAAGCATTGTTTTTTAAAAGGTTCTTTCAGAATATGCAGGTTCAATTTTGATAGTTTGTTCATAGGGAATTCATTTTTCTGTTAACAGGATATTATAAAGAGTCTATTTGGATTGCAATGCACTGAAACATGAAAACCTAATTCTTTCCTATGTGAAGTCAGATAGGAAATAGGGAGGGAAATCATGTACTAAAGTTGAAGATAAAACAAAGTTTTTCTTTCCTCAAGTTCTAGAGGAATGCAGTGCTGTGGGTTTGAGGTTTTTTTTCCTTTTTAGATAAAGATGTGTTTTTCTTTGAAAATCTTAATGAAAATGGCAATCCCACTGAAACGTCTGAAGTATTGCTTGGGAACTTGTCTCTGATCCAAAGAAGTTAGTTTGGTATGCCTGAGGGCTTAGACACACCCAGGGGTATTTTCTACTCCCTCCACCCCCAGAGCAGCAAGGCCCCCTCCCCCTCCCTTGCTAGATCAGACTGCTTTTGAAAGGTTTCAGTGTTTGAAAGAAGCTTGTTATGTGACACAAGGAGGCTGATATTCAATAAACATCATCCCAAAGCTGCCTTGGACATGCAGAAGTAGTTCTGTGACTCTCTGGATTTTGGTCACTGTTTCCTTTTTTCTTCTTGGCAATAAAGCAGTTAATTATCATTTCATTACTACTGGGAGAGTTACAAGAGAGAAGGTTTTCCTTCTGAAGCCAAGGTTTGTGTTCACTCTTTATTATGTGAGGAAAGCATATCATCCCTCAACAGCACTTTCCTTCCTGCTGCTTCTACAATTCCAATAGGCAAAGTTCTACTGGATTGTATTATGTGACACACATTAAAAGATGTAACTTTAACTTGTGCTTGATTACACCTTGTGTAGGTAAGACATGTTTTATTGTGTTAATTAGCTGAGGCCCAGTATAGTGTTGCATATATGAGCTGGAAGTTCAAGTTCAGCCATCAGGTGGCTTGGTAGCCTAAGTTTGCTGCCCCACAGTCTCAGAACTCCATCTGTAATAAGGGGAGAAAGTTGTCTTACCTTATAGGCTGTTCTAAATATTATTGATGACTGAGTCAAATGTACAGACATTAGTCTCTGCATAATGCAGCCCTTCCAGAACTGTACAGCTTCACATTGCAGGATTGTGTGTGTGCGGAGGATGGGGGATCATATTTGAATGCTCCCCTTTGTAGTATTGTATTTATATGGTAAGCCATCACGTCAAAGAGATGGTAAGGCTGAATGTTGGCTTTTGCCTTCCAGTTGACCCTGAGATGGTGAATGTGAAACAGTTTTACTTTAAAAAAGTGTTACATAACTATCAAAAGGGCCATGTGTGGTGTTCATGTGTTCACCAGGGCTCTTCTGCCAGTTCTTTCCTACTTCAATTCTTTGTACTCCATCAAAATCTGCTCTCGAAGCATCATTTGATATGGAGTGATGTGATACAGCAAAAAGGAAAAGGCCAGCATAGTGTAGTAGTTAGAGTACTGAACGAAGACCTGGGAAACCAGAATTCAAATCCCACTCAGCCATGAAGCTTATGGGTGACCTTGGGCCAAGTCATTATCTCTCAGCCTAACGTATCTCAAAGAGTTGTTGTGAGGATAAAATCGAGAGCGATAGAAGTGTGTATGCCACTTTGAGCTAAATAGAGAAAAGATGTGATGTACCGTACATGCATTACAGACAACTCCCTGTTTGCTGGGGGAGAAATAAACTTAAATAAACATAAGACTGTATGGATCTCAGTCTAATATACTGCATGCAATGAATATATATTTGCAACACCTTTAACATGCCTTTTGTTACTGTTTTATAAGCATGTCTTCCAAAAACATTTTCTGTAGGTATTGTATACCATTCATGATTGCATAATTTTACTTAAGAAAATAAAATCAATGGACAATTCTGAAGAATCCAAGCAAATGGTTTGGCACAGGATAACACAGTCCTTTTCTCCAGTTGTCCTGTGATCCTACCCCATGTACCATGGGAACTGCTGCGCCAAAGTCTTGTCGAGAGCCAGTGTGCTGTAGTGGTTAAGAGCGGTGGACTCGTAATCTGGGGAACCAGGTTCGCGTCTCCGCTGCTCCACATGCAGCTGCTGGGTGACCTTGGGCCAGTCACACTTCTTTGAAGTCTCTCAGCCCCACTCACCTCACAGAGTGTTTGTTGTGGGGGAGGAAGGGAAAGGAGAATGTTAGCCGCTTTGAGACTCCTGAAAGGGAGTGAAAGGCGGGATATCAAATCCAAACTCTTCTTCTTGTTGTTTAACATTCTTGCATGGTGCAACTGTAGGCTTCTCGTGCTCATTTAGGAAAAATAAAAGTATCTTAGGCTGTGCACACATTACTGTTTATTCTGGCTCCAGTGTGCTCTCACTGCTGTTGTTTGAAGCCATGTGCACATGATGTGAGCCACAATCCATATCTATCCTGTAGTTTCTTGAGAAATATTGCTGTTTGATGCATTTCCCCTCAAACCAGCTTTCATCCAATTTGAAAACACAAGACACATTCACTTTGCAGTTAAGCTGAGGTGTGTACATTTGAGAGAGCCATTATACTTATGCAGATGGCAGCTTTGTGAATGTGAGTTTAGGATGGGGTGGGGGGCTTGCAGACATTGGGAAACCAAGCAGGAAATGCACATTGGGTGAAGACATTCCCATTGCTTATCTGGTGTGTACAGCAATGTTCAAATGCAACTTGAAGCACAGCAGGGAAAAATGACCTTACTGTGTTTTAAACAACTAATGGAGACATAGCCTTATTTATGCATTCAAATAAATTTGCCACTGTGAGAATATGTACTGGAATTAATAGCTTCTCAATGTCCGACTTCGCTGCTAAGTAGATTTTTCATTAAGATCTAAAATTAGCTGTGGGCCTTAGCTCTGCTATTCTAACAACAAAAATTTAATTATTCACTTTGAAAGCAGTAGTTTTGACAAGGCAGAAGCTTTCTTCCTAGTGAATCATCTGCATAAAAACATGTTTGCCTAACATTTTTATGCTGCAGTAGCCTTAGTAGTATTTTTATCAATATGTTAAAACAAGAATTCTGCTGCTGGAATTACGTGATAAAAGTAGCTCTTAGATATTGGTTTACTTTTAGACTTGCCCAGCCTGGTGTTCTTCATATGTTGTTGGACTCCCAACTCTCTTTGGTCCCAGCCAGCATGTACAATGGTGAGCTATCATGGATGCTTTATTCCAGAGCATTTGGGGCCACCAGGTTGGGGAAGACTGGTGTAGACCATGCCAACACAGCTCTGATATTTGTGGGGGAAAGAATGCACATCTCTTCCACAAAGTAAGTATGCCCCCAAGAGCATCATTGAAGCTATCAAAGTGTCTGCTGATGCCTGCCCACATAAATTTGTGAAGCACAGTGACTCAGGTGGCACCCCTCATTAGCATGATCTGTGTTCAGGGGTTATTGGAGTTTCATTCCAAAACATCTGGAGGGCACAGAGTTCTGGAAAGCTGTTTAGCCCAAGTGGTACAACTTGTTAACTTTCTAATCTAGTGCAACTCACCAAGGGATTCATAAGTCTGTTTTTGCTCATTGCCAGACACTACAAAAATGGGAGTTATCAATCACTTGGCAGGCAGGTGATGGGATCACTTGGCATGGTGGATCCCAAGAGGTGGCACTGTTTTACACTACACTGGTTCCGATCCTATCTCCAGGATCTATTTCAGAGTATGACATTGGGTGATTATCTTTTGCTCCCCTGGCAGTTGTGTTGTGGGGTGCTGCAGGGTACTGTCTTGTCTCCAGTGCTATTTAACATCTACATGAAGCTGTTGGGAACCATTGGGAGTAATCTTTAGGAGATTTGGGGTGAGATGTCATCAGTATGCTGTATCAGGAGAGGCCACACAAGTCCTACACCAGTACCTGGACTTGGTGGTGGGCTGAAGGAGGGCCCAGAAATGGAGTCTGAATCCTGGCAGGATTCAAGAGCAGGGTTCATAGTCTGAGGCTACTCCTGGGTCCATCTCTAGCTCTCGAGGCCCAAGTAATCTCAGTGGCTAGAAGTACCGTACCTTTTACCAACTCCAGCTGTTTCTAAATCAGGATAGACTGACCACTGTTGGCCACATTGCTGCTGTGCACTTTGATGATACTGCCCCTGAGGTTGCCCAGAAGCTGCAGCCAGTGCAAGATGCAGCTGCTCAACTGCTCACTGTGGTAGAATATTGCCATAATCATTTAGTTAGTTCAGCATTTATTGATTGATCATGTTTTGCCATTGGTGAAAGCGTGGCACCTTTAAGACTAATTAATTCAGCCTCTAATCCTATCTGGGAGCCATCCCCATAGACTTTAGTGAGGGTTAGTTCTGAGTAATATATGGTTATTGTGACATTAACCTCTCCTAAACCAAAGTTAGGCACTTTTTAGTTTATTTAGGGACTAAGTACTTCCACAACGACAATGTTTTTATGTCCACACTTTTGCAAGTGAGGAGGCAATGTTTTATATAAGTTTAAAGTTTAGCATGTTCAGCTATTGGGAGCTGGAAATCCTTGCAGATCTATGGCAAATCACTTGGAGATTTGTCAGTAGTTTCAACCCATCTGCCTGGTGTGTTTATGATATTTTATGCAAATCAAAATCTGTGCCACTTTGAAAGATTGACTCTATATGGTGCCTTTGTTTTTCTTTTCCCCAGATGATATTAACTGTGTTCCTGAGTAACAATGAACAGATTCTGACTGAAGTGCCAATTACACCTGAAACAACCTGCCGAGATGTGGTGGAATTTTGCAAAGAACCTGGGGAAGGTAGTTGCCATCTTTCTGAAGTCTGGCGTGGAAATGGTAAGCAATCACTTGGTGTCCTGAACTAGTGATTTTATGCTGAATTTTTACTTTTGAGAGGGCAGTAGCTCAATATTATGCCAGGCTTTATAATTTCATTCTTGTTTGAGACAATTGCAGTCTTTCTAATCTTCAACAGCTCTAGCACTATCAACCTTAGGGAAACATACTTACACACACAGTTCCCCCTTAGGCTCAAAATGAGAAGGTATTTTCAGAATGCAGGGAGATGGCTGATAATATGAAAATGGTTAATTAATAAAAATAGGATTGTCAGACATGTCAATGTTGTGTTTTAATGCTGTGCTCCCCCACCCCACCCCACCCCACCCCGCCCAGCCATTATATTATCACTTGCCCTCTAAATTATCATTAGAAGAGGCATGATATTCAAAATTAATTTAGTAGCACCTTTTGTAGCACCTTTAATTTAGTTGCATCTTTGTGAAGGTGGTTTGTATATAATATGGACTTGCATGTACAGTAACTAAATGTACGCATTTAGCCTTAAACCTATGGCTAACAAAATAGATGTGATGAGTTCCTCGGAATGGGAGAAGTTGCCCACCCAGCTAATTCTGGCAGAAGATGAAAGTCTCATATAATTGCCTTAATTACTATAAATTAGCTCTGTATGGCATAATCCCAGAAAATGGGTAAAGAGCAAATTAAAAATCAGTATACCTGGAGAGAGATTAGAGCAGACACTGAAGCAGTCAGAGAGCCAATGTTACAAAGAGACTTACTTAACTAAGGTCCATTTAATATTGTTAAGGTGTGGGGAGAGGAAGGAATACATCAGGAGCATGGAGGAGCTTAAAAGAGTCTTCTCCCCATTTGTTACATCAGCAGCCCAGAATGATGTTTAGCAATCCTCATGAATTGTAAAGAAGCACTTCTGTCAAACCCGCTTAGTTGCCTTCTTTGGAAAAAGTGATTGGCAAAAGGTCTGTTAACCCAATGTACTTTGACTTTAGCAAACTTTTGACCTAATGGTATATTATACCCCTTTTCTTTTTGAAAGCTTAAGAAATGAAGTAGAAGGGTCACCTTCCAGATGTTATCAGCCTCAGCCAGTATGGCCAGTAGTTGGGGATGATGGGAATTGTAGTCCAGCAATATCTGGAGAGCACCACAATGGCTACCTCTTCAGATGGCAATGGAGTGAAGGAGAGATCATGCTCATTGGGACAGTAATAAATGGACTGGTATCATTCTGCAAAAGTCATTATTTGGCGTTGTTTAGTATCCTCAGGGACGCGGTGGCGCTGTGGGTAAAACCTCAGCGCCTAGGCCTTGCCGATCGCATGGTCGGCGGTTCAAATCCCCGCGGCGGGGTGAGCTCCCGTCCTTCGGTCCCAGCTCCTGCCCACCTAGCAGTTCGAAAGCACCGCTAAGTGCAAGTAGATAAATAGGTACCGCTTTCTAGTGGGAAGGTAAACGGCGTTTCCGTGTGCTGCGCTGGTGCCAGCTCGCCAGAGCAGCTTCGTCACGCTGGCCACGTGACCCGGAAGTGTCTCCGGACAGCGCTGGCCCCCGGCCTCTTAAGTGAGATGGGCGCACAACCCTAGAGTCGGACACGACTGGCCCGTACGGGCAGGGGTACCTTTACCTTTAGTATCTTCAGCAGCTTATTTATTTCAGCAATTTATATACTGCTTCACACCTTAGTTTACATAAATGTCTTGTATGAAGTAGTAATACAATATTATCTAGGCTAGTAGAACTTGTGATCTGTCATGGCAAACACCTGCCATGTACTGTAGCCTTGCCAAGAACATGATATCCTCCTGAGTTTTTTGGCTCACAAGTTGTTCAAGGCCTTGGCTTAGAACAATGGCGATCTCCTTATATTCTGTTGGACTGTAACAGGGATAGCCAATGTGAAGCCTGCCTGATGTTATGGACTACAGCTCCCATCAGTCCCAGCCTGCATGGTCAATGGTCAGGGATGATGAGCATTAGAGTACAACAACCAACATATGAGGGGCACCATATTGGCTATCCCAGACAACAGAATTAGTTATATGCAAATGGCTTGGTGGTATGAAAACTATGCCCTTTAAAAACTCAGCTTTTGTAAGAAGTGCAACTTTCTGAAAATTTTTTCAAAACAATCTTATTCCTTGAAGATTCCCCACTCAAAAAAGTTGGAAAAGCAAATGTTTGAGAAACTGAAATAAATTATTTGGACCCTACTAACGGGATTTAGAAAAAGTTATTAGGTGAGAGAAAAGTAAAATAAACTGTTAACATTTCATTTTATTTTCTTACTGCAAACAAATGTCCAAGAAGTTGCTTTGATAAGAAACATTAGATTTTTCTATATTTAGAACGACACATCCCCTTTGATCACATGATGTATGACCATCTACAGAAGTGGGGACCCCGTAGGGAGGAGGTCAAGTTTTTTCTTCGACATGAAGAATCCCCAACAGAAAGTAGTGAACAAGGTGGGTATATTTTAAATTGTCCATTGGTGCCTCAGCAGCTCATCTTTATGTGACTCAGTTTTGTAAAGACAAGTAAAACTTGTCAATATGATGACAAAATACTTGTGCTGTACTGTTGACTCTATAGTACAGATGGTTGAAGCTAAATAAAAGAATTTCTATAGGGCAAAGCGTCCCCTGCTCCCCACCCATAGGCCTTTACCACAGCTGCCCAACTCTACCCAGCATTATTTTGCTCATTCTTACTGGTGTCTGGTCGTTATGCCAGCCCCCACTCTCCCCTTGTTTCTTCTTTTTCCTCTTCATTACTTACCTCTCAAGTCCTTAGACATTTCTGTTTTGCTTTCGCTTCCTTCCACCTATCCACCCATTAAGCTCATGAATTGTAAGAACCTTTTGCCTCCAGACACCACAGCCATTCTTCCTTCTCCCCTTTCTGTTCCCAAGATGTGCCCCCAATAATAATCTTAGCTTTAATTCTTACAAGTAAGCTGCTAATTATCATGGCTACAGAGAAAATTTCAGAAACTGTTGGAGCAGGTATTTGGAAGACTAAATTTTAAAAACCCAACCTACATGAATGACTTCAGAAATAATGTCAGGATTTTGTTGGAGCCTGACAAGGATGTGTAAAGTATTTGGGTTTGCAGACACCCAAAACCAATGTGCTTAATCTGTCTTTCTTTTGCTAGCTGAGTATGTTTCCTTACATATTTTCAAAAAACATACATTTTAAAATTAGGCAAAAAATGGGGTTTGGGCTCAGAAAAAGGCTTTTAAGTATAATGACATTATAGTAGGGACACATCAGGAATGGTTGACAAAAACAACAACATTTTTTTTTTAAAAATGGGCTGTTTGGGGAAGGCACAAAATCCTCAGGGACTGGGGGCTGGATGCTGCATACAGGATGCAGGCTATGTGTTAGCCATTTCTGACCCTCCAGAGAAGATGCAAACATTCTCCCTTTGGGCATTACTTCCGGTGAAAAAAACTATCACTCTTACGTACATGCTTGCCAGCACTGCTAACATTCAGAGCCACCTTTGGGCTCCTTCCTAAGGCTAATACCTGCTTCTTCCAAGTTCTACATGTATGTATTTTTGCTTTTACAAGCATGTTGTACTTGGACTTTTCTGCAGTTGAGCTTTTAATCCCTATGTTCTCTTGCTACTTGCTCTTCTCTAAATTCCACATTCCTTCCACCCACCCCACCTCTTCTTCCAAAGTCATTACTAGGTCAGTCACTCCCAGTATTATTATAGAGTGAGAGCCTGTAGCTGCATCCCCAAGCAGCTTAGCTGCCAGTATGTAGCAGCAGCAGCCAATCAAGCCAGGCTTCGTTCACATTCATAGTGGTGATAAAATTGTGTTCTGCCAAGCTTCACTATAAACAGGTTACACAAGCTAAGGTCGGTAGAAAATATATCAAATATATAAAGTTACCACTGAGCCTAATGCTTAGTGTACATTTGCTCAAATGTCTAAGCAGCCTGCCTCCTGAGCTTATATAAAACATACCAACTATGTTCCTAAGTGCATAACATCTACTAAAAGAGACAATCCAAACATTCTAATTTGGAAGAGGATTCCTTTAGAAATCCATTTCAGATAATGGGTTTGTGATGATGGCTGTGTTCAGATGCAGTCCTAAACTCTGGTTTGTTTCACTCGACTATGGTATGTTTGTACATCTGCCTCAACCAACTAACTATGGCTTGATCTGAAATCAGGGGAGCCAACTTGAATAAAATATGGGGGGAGGGCAGGTCCCACCCTGCATAATCAAGCACAAGATGTGGTGCATGCACACCACTTGAATGGCAATGCCCATTAATGGGGGGGGCTGGCCCCCAAATGTTTTATTGGGGGGGGGCTGAAGGGACCTCAGTCCCTAGGAGTTGGAACCTATGTCTGAAACTACGATTTGAAGTTGGCTTATGAACCTTGACTTGGATTAACTGGTGGGCAGGGCCAGAGGCAAAAGCAAATGGAGCAGTGGGTGTAAATCTTACCTTTGTACAGTAGGCTAGTTTCTACACACACTCATACACTCCTCTGTCCTCAATCCAAACAGGCAAGGGACATTTTCAGAGTTCATTGACACATTCCAAACAGGAAAAAAACACCCCAAATAAAAGCAAGGACTGCGAGAAGTATAACCCGGGGGGGAGGGTGTAGTGCAGGAAAGTTCAGAGTGCCAAATGAGCTGCATTGGGTTCACCACTGCTACACTAGTTTCCCAGGAAAACATTGGTAAAATTGTCAAACCTCGCATCAGATACCCCAGATTTGCTTTCTTCCTTCATGGAGCAATACCAAGAGTGGTTGGCTGAGTTCTTACAAGTGAAGGGATGGGCAGACAATTCTTGGTGGGAACTAGTTAAAAGAGAGGAATGACTTTACCCTCCCTGGAACAGTAGCAGTGACAGTGGCAAGTGCTCATTACACAAAATGGAATGTTGTTTCCTCCAGCAAAAGTGATGGTGAGTTTTCAAGGGGCAGGAACAGTGTTTGAAGTTTCCCAATCCTGTCTATCCCTTCTAAATTTCTCCACAAAGAAAGAGGATAATTACCTGATGGTTACACCACAGAAAAACTAATCTGATTATGTTGGTTTCAGTGGTCATTGTGTAGCTCTGAACTGAGCTTCAAATAGGGCTAGAAAAACAAACACCTGTCCCACCAGTAAGTTGGAAAACATTTACTCATAAATTGTTCTCATCAAATCAAAATAGGAGTTCTTGTTTTGAAAGAATGTTCTTTTTAAAAAGTTGACTAAGATTTAGGAAGCTGTTTCAGTAGAAGCAATGCATTTAAATGTTCTAACTGTATTCTTCCCAGGCCGTCAGACTCAAAACCAAAGGAACGGAATCAGTATACCTGGGGAGAAGCGTTCTGAAAATGGGGTATGTGGCCAATTGCAAAAACAAGATATTTTATGGGGTTTTTTCATTTTATTTGCATCTCCAAAATATTTATTTATACATTTTCAAATACTGCTATGTATTTCTGGCCGTAAATCTTTTATAACACTTAATGGTAATGGGGAGAACTTTATATTAGGAAATTGTACAAAGAACTGTATTAGGACTGTTTGGCATCTGCTTATATTGAATTCCCTGTAGCCTTCAGTTTATAATACCTTGGAAATACTACATGTTTCTGCTGTATACCCAGAATGAAAAGACATGTAGCTGTCTCACACATTTACTCAGGAAGGTTTGCTGGATCAGACCAAAAGCCAGTCTAGTCTAGTTTAAGTAGTTTTGGCGGTGTGTGTGTGTGTGTGTGTGTGTGTGAAAAGGTCTCTCACTCCCTCCTCCAAAGATTCTTTTAATCTTTGTGAGACATGTGAAATTTAAGAATATTAGAGGTGGTGGTCTTACTTTAAAATGTGGGCAGTTTACCCCCTCCCTTTTCTTGTGTCCCCTCCCCGCAACACTTGTTTGCTCCATCACATTCAAGGCCCACAGCTTGGAAGTAAGTACCACTGAACAAAGTGGTAAGAGTTGGGTTGTTAATCTTTAGTGGATTCTAGTGCAATATGGAAAGTAGCCCATTTGTATGGTTGGGCTAAATTGCTAAATTGCACTGAAAAATAGGCAGACTAACATTGAATTATTTGAACAATGCCTGTCTAATACGCCTGTTCTCATTTTCTGGCGGGAAGGCAAAAGTGGATTTATAGGCTTAAGTAATTAATCATCTTACCATTTAGTAATTCATTAGGATTATTTATTGTTTTTGGAATGCTGAATATTTTGCTAGCACAAGAATACATATAAAAAAGCCAGCCTGTGTAAATGTTTCCCCCCCACCGTAAAACCTATTCATGCATATAATCGATCTAAAAAATATTTTACTGATCCATGTAAGAATGTGTTAGTATATACATACCTGCTTTTATTCAACATGGATTTAAGACTAGATTATGAAGCTTCTCCATTCCAGTGGTTGTAAAGTTCTTAAAGAATGGCTCAGTCTGGGTTTCCAACCTTTTTAGGCCTGTAGGCACATTTGCATAGTTGAGTGAGTTCTGTGGCCGCCCCCGCTCCTAGATCACGCACACCCTGGAGCAAAAGAAAGTGTATGCACACAGTTTCTCTTTTCTAATGGATCTAGGTAGAAGCCAGATCCAGAGGAAATAATCTGAGCCTTTAAAAGCACATCGAGCTGAAATAGAAAGTGGAAAAAAGTCATTCTTCCAACTTTCTCCTTCAGCTTTATGCACATTTCAAGGAAGAAGAAGGTAACCGCCACCACAACCTCCTGACTTAGGGAAGGGTGTCCAAACTTTTTTCAAAGAGGGCCAGATTTGCTGAAGTGAACATGCATGAGGGCCAACCAGAGTTGCTGAGCTTTCAATTTTACCTCAAAGTTGTTGAGCTTTTTTTAGGATTTTACCTCAGGACATATACTGCCACAGGGGCCAGATTAAATCGACCAGCACGCCAGATTATGCCCCTGAAACAGACTGTGGACATGCCTGATTTGGGGAAAGTAAAGGGGTAGGCAGGGGAATTCATGAGCAGCATGAGAAAACTTCAAGATTACCATTGTGCCCATGAGCGCCACAGTGTAATAAAATTGTCTTCCCAGCCTGAAGGCCGGTAAAGATGGAGGCCTGCCTTTGAAGGGTGTTCCAAATAGTCAGTGCATCGACTTAGAGAGCCCTCCTTTTATGTCCACCCACAGCACTGCTGATGTTGGAAGAAAGCTGAACAGGGCCTTAGATATGGATCTCAGGAGACAAGCAGAATATGTTTCTTCATTTAGCCTAATCCTAGACCACAGAGGGTTTTAATATGTTAAAACAAAAAATAAAAAACCTCACACTTTGAGTTATATACCAAACAGTTTGATTTTAGTTATTGTAGTTATTTGAATTGCTAGCCTGAAATAGCATTCTGGTTACCACGCTTTGAACAGCTGAAATTTCTGGACCATTTTCAAAGGGAAGCTCATATAGTATGCATTATAGTTATCTGCTATATATATAAAACACAAGAATGATTGAGGCCATCATATCGTAAAGTGTCAGAAGGTCAAGGCTCAATGATATAACAAGGAGTATTTTCAATATTTACATGCCAGGCTTGTAAGTGATGATTGGGATGGCTTTGTATACATTTTTTGGTGGTTTTTTATCATGGTTTTGCTTTACTGTTCCATTTTATTTTAACTAAACTGCTTTCATCACTTTAGAAAGGCAGCCTATTAATTTCCACACCACTGTTTATTTAAAAATAAATTCCAAGGTGGCTTGCATAAGTAAGAATAAGCCCATAAATATTTTTAATTAAATGGGATTTCCCACCTTGAAAGGAGTTTGCATTGTGTTTAACTCATAGCTGCATGGATAAGTACTCCTTTAGGTGGTAACACTAATACAGAAAAGTGATGCATCATAAGAACAGGAATATGACAGTCTTTCCTAATAATCTTCCTTTATTTAATAAACAGAGGCAGTGGTCTACTGAAAGAGACAGAGAAGAAACACAGTAGCTTTTTGTCATTGCTGTTTGCAATGAATAACATTTATGAATAACATTCTTTACTTACGGCAATTAAATACAAATACTGGCAGTATCCAGGTTTAGGAGAGAATATATAATAATTGCCTGAAGAATTTGCACCCCGATAACTATACTGATACGATCACAGAAACCAACATCTATCTATACCCACTTCTCACTATAGGTAACAGAAAACAGTAGAAAATAAGGTGAATTGGGAGGTATAATTGTGAACAGAGAGAAAGTGAAGGATGAGATTGAAGTGGTGGATGGTGATTGAGAGACTGATTCATTAAATGCAAAGCATTCTAAGAAGGGCCCTCTTAATTCTTTTAATGAATCACTGGCCTTGTAGGCTTTCTGTAGGAAGAAATAGTTACGCTGATGTTGTTTTGATTTGTATCTACAGAGAACAATGACAAGAGTAATCCATAATTGTATCATCATTATTAGGATACGAATTCCTTCTGTAAAAATATAATTAGGTTCATGTACTAATAAAATCAAAAGGCTACATTTTCTGAGAGTGTTTGTGTCTTGATCATCCATTTTCTTTCATTGCTACAGCACAGGCTGATTAATCTTTATTTTGTTTCATTGTTTACTGAACCATTAGCATAAATTGTGGAATATGTGCAGTGCTGGAGGCCTTTCACAGAGCAATGACGCTCAGGTCAATTAACCATTAGTAAAAACATGCATAATCCTTTGAGTATTACATCTACATTGAACAGTGCAGTATAACATTTGCACAAAAAGTATCTTCCAAGAATTGAATTATGCATGCAATGTTAACAGTAAAGTGAAAAATGCTTTAAATATTATAGGTCGTTGCCTTCTACTGGGGACTGATCTTATAAGACCATTTTTATGGGAGCATGATGCAAGTTGAGTGAATATGATTTGAGGTTCCTATTTTTCCCCTTCCCCTATCCCCTAGCACATGCTCATGCAATTGCCTTGCTTTGCTCCTGGATTCCAATTTATTGCACTACTGCAAAGCTTTGGAACTGGTATGGAAAAGTGTGGCCATATAATGAAAACCGAATCTGACTCACACTTGCAAATGTCTAGATGTGTGGGAGAGAGAGAACTTGGACTGTATTTGTGCAAGTCACATCTCACCTAAGTATGGATAAATCAACCTATTTCTGGTCTATGTCACTTTTGTGCATTAGGTCTGTTCTGTCCTGTTTACTCATTAATCTGCAAATTTTAAAAATCTCCATGTAAGACACATTTTAGCAAGTATTTTTGGAAGTGTTTTCTCTCAGAATAGCATATTCTTTTCTCGAAATATAGATTTTAATTCATTTTTATGATTATGTTTTTGCCAAAAGTTGCATCATAATACTTGTAGCAGCATGGAATCCAATGGATAGCTGTTTTCCAGTGTGTTAGTCCAAGTGGTGCAGACCCCACCAGCTAAAAATGGTCCAGTTTGCCTAGTAGTGTCAAAGTTCTCTCCAGCTCTTAGGCCAGATTTCTTAGCTTAAAAAAAGAAAAGAAAAAAGGCAAAAGATGGAGAACCCATGGCTTTTGCATATCATACCGGACTTCGGTTCCCAGCTGCCGCAGCAGCATAACCAGCAGTTGGAGACGATGGGAGTTGGAGCCCAAACAACATCTGGAGGACCACAAGTCCTATCCTTGTTTATATGCTCAGAAGAGCTCAAGGTTTCTAACAAGAGAGATAAAACCAGAAATTGACTTTTAAAAGCATGTCATAAACCAGCACTGAAACAGCAGCAAGAAAGTAATAGACAGTAACCAAGGTGGCTCCAACCAATTCAATAAAACAACTATTTACAAAACAATATCCTTCCTTAAAAAAGGTTATTCTTCAGGGGTTTTTTGTCCATTTTCTGCAATCATCAGAATCAAGTGAAAAAGCTTTTCCTGGACTGTTGTTGCTGAAGGCTGTGGGGGGAGGGGCTTCAGGCAGAGGGAGGCATAAATGCTCCTCTGCAAAAAGAAAAAGAAAATACCTTGATGTAGGAAAACAGTGCATTAGGGAGAAGGATAAGCCCTTCTCCTTCACATTCTTATTTTCTGTGTGCAAGGATTCCCCCTTCCCAACCCGATGAACAATGTAACCATGTCACCCCTCATCCTAAAGCCATGAGGTCCAAGCAAAACATTTCCACTTGATTCTGCTGTTTGCATAAACTAGCTCTCAAGAGAGATTCTGGGGATTGAACCTTTTGCCCCGTACATAACAAAGCATGTTATGTACTGCCCATCCCTGTTCGGATGACATAAGCCTGCAAACAATATGCCTGTAACCCATCATTCAGATGGAAATGGTATAAACAGATGAAGTGTTTGTTTAAAAGCAGTGTGGAGGCATGGGGGAAGCGGTTTCTATTTTTAACATGTTGAAATGAAAGTATAGCTTCGGCTTCAGCGTTTGACACTCTGGGGACTTTGCAGACTACAAAACCTGATGTTTTCCTTTTCGTGTTGTATTCTTGCTAGTACTGAAGCCAGGTTCTGTATCGTGATACCATGTCACTGCTGCATAGTGGAACGGGGGATAACAGCATTCCTTTTCACTTAGTAGCAGGAATTCACAGTGTTCAAACAATATAAAACAAAACAATCATCCCTCTGCTTCCACTGTTTAAGCCATGAGTGTTGGTCTTCTGTAGCCAAAAGAGTGCCAATCCATGCACAAAAGGAAGGTATCTTCAGGCTTTAGGGAACAGAATGGAGTATCTGGCATCCTGAACAGGAGTACTCCACACTGTACCTTTTTTGTTGTATATCCCACTTGCATAAATGTAAAATAAATAAATAAGCAATTGCTGTGTAGATATGTGTAGATCAGTAATTGCCATCCAAGTCAGTAGCAAACCTAGCAGATAGCAAAGTCTGCCACTGAACTCAACAAGGTTTGCATCTGTTGAAGCATGCATAGGACTGGGGTGTTGAACAGATGCCCTATATCTCCCTTGTTCCCAAGGGTTTCCCAGTCCTCAGTAGTGGATTTCAGGCCCTGTATACCCGAAGGAGTGTCTCCACCCCCATCATTCAGCCCAGACACTGAAGTCCAGCTCTGAGGGCCTTCTGGAAGTGCCCTCATTGTGAGGAGTGAAGTTGCAGGAAACTAGGCGGAGAACTTTCTTGGTAGTGGCTGTGGAACACCCTCTTGTCAGATGTCAAAGAGAGAAATAATTATATAACCTTCCATAGGCATCTGAAGGCGGCCCTGTATCAGAAAGGATTATGTCAGATGTTCCATTGTGTTTCATATACCGTATTTTTCGGACCATAGGACGCACTTTTTCCCCTCCAAAAATGAAGGGGAAATGTGTGTGCGTCCTATGGAGCGAATGCAGACTCCTCGGCTTCAGCGATAGCAATGTGAGCCTCCGAGCCTGCGCTCCGGAGGCTTCGCGTTAGCTCCGCTGAAGCCAGGAGAGTCTGCTCTTTGAGGCTGGCGGTGGGGAAGCAGCGCTTCCCCATCGCCAGCCCCAGAGGATGGGGGCAGCGAGAGGCGCGCGACGCCTTGCCGCTACCCTCCAACCCGGCTGAGGCTGGCGGTGGGGAAGCAGCGCTTCCCCATCGCCAGCCCCAGAGGATGGGGGCAGCGGGAAGGCGCGCGACGCCTGCCGCTACCCTCCAACCCGGCCGAGGCTGGCGGTGGGGAGCAGCGCTTCCCCATCGCCAGCCCCAGAGGATGGGGGCAGCGGGAAGGCGCGCGACGCCTTGCCGCTACCCTCCAACCCGGCTCGAGGCTGGCGGTGGGGAAGCAGCGCTTCCCCATCGCCAGCCCCAGAGGATGGGGGGCAGCGGGAAGGCGCGCGACGCCTTGCCGCTACCCTCCAACCCGGCTTCGAGGATGGCGGTGGGGAAGCAGCGCTTCCCCATCGCCAGCCCCAGAGGATGGGGGCAGCGGAAGGCGCGCGACGCCTTGCCGCTACCCTCCAACCCGGCCGAGGCTGGCGGTGGGGAAGCAGCGCTTCCCCATCGCCAGCCCCAGAGGATGGGGGCAGCGGGAGGCGCGCGACGCCTTGCCGCTACCCTCCAACCCGGCTCGAGGCTGGCGGTGGGGAAGCAGCGCTTCCCCATCGCCAGCCCCAGAGGATGGGGGCAGCAGGAAGGCGCGCGACGCCCTCCCGCTACTCTCCACCCCTCCTTTGGGCTTTTGCGGGAGATGGGGGAATTCCCCCACCTCCCGCAAAAGCAGGCAAAAGCCGCGCGCTCTTTAAAGGGGCTCCGCGGCTTTTCTAGGAGGTGGGGGAATTCCCCCACCTCCTAGAAAAGCCCGCAGGAGCCGCACACCCTTTAAAGAGCGAGCGGCTCTTGGGGGCTTTTCCCCAAGGAGGGAGAAGGGACTGACTGGCCGAGTCAGTCCCTTCTCCCTCCTGTGGGCTTTTGGGGAGATGGGGGAATTCCCCCACGTCGCGCAAAAGCCCGCAAAAGCCTCGTGCTCTTTAAAGGAGCTCCGCGGCTTCTGCTGGCTTTTCTACGAGGGGGGGAATTCCCCCACCTCCCGCAAAAGCCCACAGGAGCCCCGCGCGACTCCTGCGGGCTTTTCCTCAAGAAGGAGAAGGGACTGACTGGCCGAGTCAGTCCCTTCTCCCTCCTGCGTGAGCTTTTGGGGGAGATGGGGAATTCCCCACCTCCCGCAAAGCCTCGTGCTCTTTAAAGGGCTCCGCGGCTCCTGCGGGCTCTTCAAGGAGGTGGGGGAATTTCCCCCCTCGTAGAAAAGCCCGCAGGAGCCGCGCACCCTTTAAAGAGCGCGCCGCTCTTGGGGGCTTTTTCCCGAGGAGGGAGAAGGGACTGACTGGCCGTTTCAGTCCCTTCTCCCTCCTGGTCGAAAAGCCCGCAGGAGTCGCGCGGGGCTCCGGTGGGCTTTTGTGGGAGGTGGGGGAATTCCGCCACCTCCCGCAAAAGCAGGGAGAAGGTCTTGGAGCAGCGGACAGGCTGCACGCAGCCTGTCCGCTGCTCCCAGAGCTGCGGGGGGGAAATCATATTTTTTTCCTTGATTTCCCCCCCTGAAAACTAGGTGCGTCCTATGGGCCGGTGCGTCCTATAGTCCGAAAAATACGGTATTCTGTTGGAAGCCAGCCAGAGAGGCTGGTACAACTCAGTCAGATGGGTGAGGTACAAGTTGTTGTTGTTGTTGCTGCTGCTGCTGTTGTTACTACTACTACTACTACAACAATTTATTATTTCAGAGGGCTACAGAGAGGGAGGGTGAGGTGGGAAAGCCCCATTTTATAAACACAACTCTTTTCAGGGAAGTTAATATCAAAGCCGTTGGTTGTAACTGATGCAAGAATAGAAAACGCTTATCCAAATGATAATCACTTATAATTTTTATGTCCTTGAGATTAATTGGTAGTTAGTATGTGTAGTTGTTTAAGCAGATAAATTACTGAGATTCTTCCTGGCAATTTTAGTTTCATTTCTCTTTTGAAAACCTGTTAGACCTTTTATTGCTTTGCTATGTTGCTGGAGGGGAAGACAGTCTCTTGAAAAAAATAAAATATACATCCATTCTTGTGGTCCAGAACTACCGGTAAATGAGCTTTAACTACTAATCTAGCCATCTTTCAGTACTATTCCAGTTGCATATTTTTTTGCTAACAACACCGCCCCCCACGCATACATATACACCCTCCGCTTACAAGTACAGCTACAAAATATCTATGTGGAGCTCCATTTTGCTAGTTTGTAATCATTATTATCCTGCTTGTTTTATTTTGTTTGCTTTTTTTAGAGGACTAAAAGCATTCAACTATGAGTCATTCTGGGTGCTATAAAATCTACCAAAGCCTTTAAATTTGTTTTTCTCTTGTCTTTTAAAAGCATGAGCAAGTGAATTTTATTATTTTGATTCAGGGTTGGGATGGGTGGGAAATTAATTTATTGAAACTGACTGATGCTTTTGGCTCATTGCATCCCCTTGACTTTAATATTTTTGCTTGTGTGCTATGTTGTTAGCTGGTTCATGTGTTGTTCCATTTCCATTCTGAAAAAAGTAGCACAGAGTATGTTATATTTATCTTGTACATCCTGCTTTGCCCGATAAGAGAGCAGGTGTCAGTGCACGCCAGTCAACATGGTACCCTGTTATCCTGAACAGCAAAAACTGGTGTAGCATGTGCAGGGGGGGCAGTCATGGCCTCCTACTTTGTTTTGACAAGCAGATTCACACAGTTAGTTAATATGACCAAAGAAAGACAGAGTTAAACCATTCTCTTCCAGACTAAATGCAAAGTGTTTGTATTTTGAATTTAAGTCCAGAGTCAGCTGCAAAAGGAGAACCTATTCAACATTCTTCAATGAATATGAAAAGTGCAATGCATCAAGCTGATTCGACCTGACAGCTGGCTTGATCTTGTCGTGATTAAGTCTTTCACTGCTGGCAAAATCCACTAGCCTTTTCTGTTTGCTGATTGCTGATGACTGCAGAGAGACAGCTTTTCCTATTGATAAAGGATTGTGGGGGCAGGGGCAGGGCAGGTTCTGTGCATGACAGAAAAAGCTACAAAACTTACCTGATAATGATTAATTTTTCACAAATTGAGAATGAGGGTTTACCTCCTGTAAGATTTGTGCCAAGTTAGCTTATAGACAGCAGTTATTGTGTTTGGGAAATCCGAGGTAGGTATGGATGGGGAGATGGAGTTGAAGCATGTTGAAAAAATGCAAGAGTTCACAGCTGATGGGCAATGCAGCAAAATAAAAGTTTGCTCTTTTGACATTACATGGGGAAGTTGCCAGCAGGTAATTACTCTTCCTATTTTTTCCCTTTTTTAAGAAACTATTTCTTTTTCATGCTTGACACACTCTGATGTTTCCCACTGAATTTTAATGGTATAGAAACAAATTGTTTTAATAACCACAGTTAACTCTGAAAATGTTTGTTGAATTACAGAAGCTGGGGCATATTAGTTCCATGCAAGATGCAAATTATAAAGTTTTGTGTCATTATTTGCTGAATTTCAGCTAAACTGTTGAAAAAGAGGATGGAGGAGAGGATGCAAGAGGGACATAGCAATGTTATGGTGTCTCATGGTAACATATTCAGTCGTAAGGCTGTTTTCATGTCTTTGTTTTCCGAAATACCTTTATGGTTTTGATGTTTTGCATCCTCTCCATAAATATTTCCTTAACACAACTGTGTCAGGAAAACAAATTATAAAGTAGTAACTATGTTATTTAAGAATCATGTAATGAGTCTTAACATTAGTGGGTTAGAGCATATCAAAATAAGATGGCATTTTCTCTCACTTAATATCCAGAAAAATCCAGTTTCAGACGTTTCTATTTATAGAAATTGTGCCTGTTTGTATTGCTTGATGAGGCATTTCTATTACTCATATACTGCTTTTGAGTAAAGAATTATGGTAAACAAGTCATAACATTTTGCCCTGCGTTTTTCAAGTTAGATAAATGGAGAATGAAAACCACATCTTTATTTACCAGTTTTAATTCTCAGTAGCTTTGTAAGTATCACTTTACACAGTGCTATAAACAACCCACCCCACTTTCTCTCTATAGCTGCTTTAGAATTAATTTGTAGAAACTGCTTTTAGCTGTTGGAACTGATTACTAGTGATACTTATTTGCTTGTGCAGTAGACAGTTGTCAGAGAGAGTTGTAGGGTATTTGTGTGTTGTATTGTATATGTTCCAGTGCCCCAGTAGCTATAGTTCCCCCCTAAAGAAGAGGAAAGACACTGCATTTACAGTTTGTAAATTTATTTATTTATATATTTTATGAAAGCTTCTTGATTGTAGAAAAAAACTCAAAGCATTTTACAAAAATAAAATAAAAGAATCACTAAAAGAATTACAACCATAATTGAAAGCATATGAAAAGTTAAAACCAAAAAAGAAGAGACTAAAACATATTGAAACACATCCAAACTTTCTAAGCATCTGGGTAAGCTTGTCTAAATAAGAATGTCTTCAGCAGGCACTGAAAAGAATACAGTGAAGGCACCTGCCTGATATCAACAGGCAGGGAGTTCAAAAGTGTCAGTGCTGCCACACTGAACAATCAAGTTCTTGCAGATGTGGTTGAATTAGAAGTTGTAAATGATAGGATATCTGAAAGCTGGCATCTGAAGTCTTCTCAGTAGTCCTAAGCCTTGTTTCAGGAAGCTTTTAGGTTTTTTGTATGCTTGTTGGAAGCTGCCCAGAGTGACTGGGGCAACTCAGCTAGATGGGTGGGGTATGAGAAAGAAAAAAATTTATTAATGTAGACTGAGCTAAATGTGTCAGCGTTTGGTGGTGGGTGATGCTAATAGCGTAGCAGCTCTATTAATTTCTGGGACTTACTTTATATGGGAAAATGTATATTTTACAGATAAAATCTGATAGACACAGAAATAGGATGATGATTTTCTGAAGAGTAAAGAGTCCCACTTTACTAGTACAAGTTAAATGATTGCATACTTTTTATAATATCATAGTAATGTTAAAAAAGTTTCCAATCTAGATATAAAGGGTTAACCTGTGTCAATAGTTCACTGGGTATATTATTTTTATTTTTAATTCCAAAAACTGTGCTTGATTTATCTGAATTTGATCAGCCTGTTTCTTTCTATGAAGTTAAGCAAGAGGCACTGGTGTTATCATCGGTTTTCCAAATGGATTGTGCTGCTGGCATTTTCTGACCTAATTAAAAAGACAGAGCTGTGGATGAAACCATCAAGTGAACAATAACGCCATGTACATTGTGAGCAGATAGTGTTCTAGTTCAAGCAGAACTAGATATTCCTTCCATCTGAGTCAAACATTGATAGCACAGTCTGCTTGCTATAGGAACTGGCAGCTAGGTGATTACAAAATATGAAATTCTAGTTTTGACCTTGAAAAGGAATTCTTGCCCTGGTAGGGATCACCTTCTATCACTCTAAAGAGCAAGGCTTAGTTTATGCTAGGGTACAGTCTGTTTTGAGTGTTGGTATGTAGCCCCAGGAGCCAACTGATAAGTCATAGCAGAGCACAGTCAAAGTAAACATTGCGCAAAACACAGGGACTATGCAAATAGCTTCCATACTTTGGAGAGGAATACACTCCCATTTCCCCAAGCTTGAGACCCAGCAAATGTCTTGCCTTTTTAGTGGCTTAGATTTCATGAAGCCTTGATTCATTAGAGGAGGGGAAAGTGTTTCTCATTTCTGTAGAGGGGTTGGGGGCCTCCGTACAGTCCTTGGACTTCACCCTGGCCTAAGCCCCTCCATAGCTCTGATCTGTGCCCTCCTAAAGTGCTTTTGCTTGGCTGGCATGTGTCTTTGAACTGTGATAATGCCTTTTGCTTGCCTGGATGAATAATGGAGAGATGTGCGTGTAGAAACCTCTGACGTTTGTGTGGCTGGAATGTAACCTACTGTACAAACGTAAAAGGAACACCTACTGCTCTGCCCACTTTTGGCTCTGGCCTTGCCCACCACCGTCATGCAACCGCTGAAAGATTGCACATCAGGCAGTGTAGTCATTGGACTAAAAAAAAGAGGCTCTTACCACCTATTAAACAGTCTGGAACTTGGGAGCTGCCTTAATACTGAGGCAGATGATTTGGTCCACTTAACTTGGTATTGCCTGCGCTGACAACAGTGGCTCTCCAATGTTTCAGGAAGAAGCTTTTTCCATCCCTGCCTTGAGATGCCAAGGATTGAACCTGGTTCCTTTTGCATGCAAAGGTCTGCATCTCTAGCTCCTCTGAGCAGCATCAACCTTCAGGAACATTTTTTTGAGGTGTTTCAGAGATATCATTTTGGATCCAAGCCAGACATTATTTTCTGCTGCTAGTAGAGCAGAAGCATAAAGAATTGAAAATGTTGGTGTAGGATGAAGCATCTCCACCATGAATCTTTGAGGGTAGTCATGTGTTCTGTGTCTTTGAGGGTAGATTTATCTTTTCAGAAGTATGGGCTGGCATTTTGGTGCCTATGGCATTGTGTGGACATGCATAGATTCCCCATTAAACTGTCATCTGAAAGTATACTTAAACTGCTTCCTTTTCCTTAGCGTAAGTTCACAAGGAAAATGTTTGGCAAATCCTTCCTCTTAAAGGCTGTGTGAGTAGCCATTATTTTCTTCCCTGTTCCTGAATTGATAAATAAGGAAGGATGATTCCCATTGTCTCAGGTACTGACTGTTCTCCTACAGTTCTGGAGAACTGTGACACATTGTTTGTGCAAGGACATGCATCTAGTGTGTGGGCCAGGTGAATTCCCCCACATGGTATGCACTGTAGAAGGGTATTATTTCAGTATTTGTAGCTGTACTTTATCAGGAGGGGTGCTGTAACTTGGCTTGCTGATATGAAATTATTCCTCTCGGAATGGTCACGTCCTGTCATACTGTACATCAACACCAACAAAGCTGCAGGGGAAAATGCAATCTGAAAGCTCTAAATGAGGGACTAAGAGTTAGCTCAGATTCACACTTTTTGTGGTACAGGTGTTTGCTGCATGTTCAGCAGTGTCTGGGAAGGCAAATGTTACAAAGTATGAAGTTGGATTATGTATTTACAAACCACATGGGTGCATGCCAGGGAATGCCTTTTTTGAACCCACTTCATTGTTATGTTGCTTGCTGCTCTAAACACTGACACCTGTTTGGCAAACATCTTTGACAAATAAAGTGTAAATCAGCCCTTAATGGTTGTTTTAGAAAATAAAGGTAATAAGATGAGTCAACACTCAGAAGCTTAGCAGACCCTTCCTCAACCTTGGGCCCCCAGATGTTGGTCCCCAGATGTCAGTCCCCCTCTTCCCAAGCCAGTATGGCCAGTGGTCAGAAATGGTAGATATTGTAGTGCAACAGCTCTGAGGAAAGCTGGGCTAAGCTGGGGCTAAGATACTAGGCTTAGTGACTGCATTATTATTTTAATAATATATTCAGTGGCTGTATTCTGAGCAGCCTTAGGAATTTTGTCTATGTGCAACAGTGGGGCAGGCATAAACACCAAATACTATTTTTACAAAAGGTTTTTGTTCATTGCTACCAAACTAGTGCCATTTTAGGTGCTCTGTTGCAGAGCGAGATTCCTCAGATTTCAACAAAGAAGAAATGTGTATAAGTCATCAGAATGTTAAGCCCGGAGTGAATTTATGGAATCTGTGGGAGTATATATCTTTTGCCGAAGGTCTTGTGTTTATTTTAAGTATATGTTTAAAAGTAGGAGGTGCATTTTTCCATTGGTGGGAGCAAGAAGGTTTTATGTCTTACATATGATAGGCTCGGGTTTGTTGTGAAAGGTGAGTGATGTCATTTTGAGATCTACTAATAGCTAGCGTGAGCACAGCAGGAAGTTAGTTACCAGAGAGAGCTCTGAAAAGCTAACGTCTAGAAACGTTTGGCTCTCTTCTCACGGAACTTGATCTAACAAGAGAACTTCATATGGATTAGCAGGATTGCAAACTTTCCTGAACTTCATCTGCAATTTTGTTTGAACTTTAGCTGTGAATTATAATGAGTGAGATTAAAAGCAGGAACTTCAGTGATTAAGTAGAGCTTTCAAAAAAGAGCTGCTTGCTGGAGGGTTCTTCTATAACAGTTCTCCGATGTTCAGAGGCTTATCTGTCCTTCTTTGGAGGCCTAAAATACTGGTTCTAACGGTACAGTTCTGTGGCTGAAGAGGAATCTGGCTTGTTCTCCCTCAACCATCTTTTGCCATGTGGATGGAAAGGAAGCAGCTGAGAGTAAAACTACAGGTTTAAATCTTTGTATGTTTTTCCTTTCCCCTTCTCTTCCCCAGTGCTAAATAGTTACTGTGAAAGACACAGATGGTAAAGATTTGTGTCCAAAGTAAACACAGTAATGTTACAGAAAGTATGCTTGTAACTAATAGCCACTGTCCTGGTTTGTTATTTTGTTATCTTTTGTCAAGGGTGTGAAATTGCATTCTTTGGAATTAGTTTCGTTGTCTGTAGCCACTTTCTATTGCGGACTATTTTACAGGATAAAGTTAATTCCATAGACGTATACTGTGAAGTTACGTTTAGTCAAATGCTAATGAGTTTAACGTACTATCATTTTATATATAATGCAGGTTATATAATATTAATATGACATTGATTAACATGATATAACTTTTATTATATAACTTATTATGAAGAACACTAGAGCAGTACTATAAGAATTTAAGATAATAACCTGATTGATTGAGTTCATTGTGAAAAATATACTTTGAAATGAGTCTAGCACTTAGATTATTCTTTTAAAAAATAGGATTGTGTTGATTTTGAAAGCCAACATTCTTAGCTTTCAGCGTACATAACCTGATGCTCTTCTGTGTCTCATTTTTGTAAAATCCCATCAGTGCTTCCTAAAGTGACAGTAACTGATGATCCTTACCAAAACCATAGTTTGTAGTCAGATGACATCAGGGCTCCACCAAGGCAAACAATGGAGCTCTGAGTGCGTCAGAGACCTGTGGGTAGCGAAGCAGACCCTGCAGTGGAATGTGAATGTCAAATTTTGATAGCCTTCACAACCTGCTAGGAACAGTTTGTTCTTTTGGCATCTCTCATAAGAATATCTTGATTTTTTATTTTTGTTGTTGGAATTTGTAAATGCTCCATGGGTTGCTTTTAGGAAAAAAACCCGCAGCAATGCACATTTCAAGTTCTGCTTATAACATAAATTTATATGTTACATGTAGTATTGAGGATCAACTGTGTGAGCTCTGTGTAAAATGATAACTGTAGGAATAATTGAAGGTAGAAAGCCTTCATTATACACAACTTAAAAATTGAATCAGACTGCAAGTGAGGTTTTCCTCACAATTTTTTCTGATTCTTACTGTTCTTGTGTTTCATCTTTTTGTGGGGGAGAAATGTTTACTTCAGTTTTTAACCTTTATTTTGTTGCAGAATGGTTGCCTAAAGTTAGTCAACCACCAGTTTTTCAAACCATCTGCTGCTTATTTTTGTGCGAGGACTGTGTGTGTCCAGCTTTGTTAATTAGCTCACAATAGTTGCTAGCCTTCAAAAATGTTCTCTAGCCTGCTGAGAGCCAGCAGAAGAGGGATGGAGGGGTCCATTTCTCTTGCAATAGCCTGCTGCATTTCTGTGCTGAGAGAAGAGGAAAGGGCTTCTCTACTCTGGCAGTCCACTTGGTTTCTGTGTTCAGCGCAGTGGAGTGCAGTTTCATGCACTCCATGCCTGTGGAACTATGCCTTGGGGCAACCAGGGGGAGGGCCTCCTCTGTCATGGTACCCAGTTTATGGAACCATATCACCTGGCTTTAAAGCAGGCACCAACCTTGTTGAGTTTTTTTGCACCTCCTGAAAACACATTTATTCACCTTTGGAATTTACCCTGAGAACTATTTGAACTGAATAGTTGCATTTTAGTATGTATTTATTATACAGTTGTACCTTGGTTTTCAAACTTAATCAGTTCAGGAGTCCGTTCGACTCCTGGAACCATTCGAAAACCAAGGCGCAGCTTCCGATTGGCTGCAGGAGCTTCCTGCACTCAATCGGAAGCCGCATTGGATGTTCGACTTCCAAAAAATGTTCGCAAACCAGAACACGTACTTCTGGGGTTGCTGTGTTTGGGAGCTGATTTGTTCGGGAGCCAAGCCGTTCGACAACCAAGGTGCTTTTGTACGGTTTTAAATTTTTGTTTAATGCACTGACCTTTAAGGTTGTAAGCTGCCTTGGGATTGATTTGGAAGATGGTATATAAACATTTTAAGAAGTAAAGTAAAAATAAAGCTACTAATTTTGATTTGGGTATCAAGGCTGGATGAAATTTGTAAACTACTGCATAAGGTTTCATCTAAAATAGTGTTTCCCAAACTTGGGTCTCTGGCTGTTTTTGGACTACAGTTCCCATCATCCGTGACCACTGGTCCTGCTAGCTAAGGGTTATGGAATTGTAGTCCTAAGCAGCTGGAGATCCAGGTTTGGGAAACACTGATCTAAAGACTAAGACAGCAATCCTAACCCCTACATCTGCTGATTGGAAGTGGTGTTAAGATGGGGCAGAAGTGCCATTCGTCCAGTACAGATGAACCACACAGGCGAAGGAGAGCCACAGTTATGATTATGTAAAATTTTGCAAACATAGATCTACCGCTGGCACTCTTTTCATATGCAGTAAGCCCTAAATCAGAGCATTCCGAAGGCAGGATGGAGGCAGCTGAATCCAAAGCCCTTCCTTCATTCCCATGTGATCAGGCCCTCATTTATTTATCACATTTATATCCCACCTTTCCTCCAAGGAATTCAGGGTGGTATACATGGTTTTCACCTCTCTATTATATAGTCACAACAACCATCCAAAACAAGATTTGAAACTTTTTTGAATTGCTTGAGAATTGATATAGGAAAAACAGTAAAAATAAAAACACTCCCAATGCAAGACACACAAAAAAATGGTTCAGTTAATAAGCATAATATCCCACAGTGATCCCTCCAACAAAGAGCCAAAGAACCCATTGGCTCCAACCTCTGGCAACAGAAGCATCTGAGCAGAAGGAGCAAGTAGCCAGCTTAGTGGAAAGAGCAAGTAGCCAGCTCAACTACCTTTGCAGTTACTTTCTCTCTGCATTTTGTGCTGCTTTTATGAAATGTGAAAGTCATTTCAGCAGACAGCAGCATGCCCTAAGCATAAGCTTCTATGCTGTAGTTGTAAAACATGAAGCAACCATATATTTATGTGTACATGATTATGGGATACTAGTAGATTAAGGAGTTTTGAAAGTGATGGTTTGGGACTCCATTGATTCATGTAAGTGTTCCTCCCTCTCAGGGAACATTTTGTTTTTCTGCTTCAGTATCTCCATTTGAAAACTCTGCTCCTGGGTTACTGCTCGGAGGCATTTAAACTCCTGGGACCAAGCACTGCTTTACTCTTGCTGCTTTACACTGCTTTACACAGGTGGACCGTGATGGCACATTATTTTGGTCTCTGCTCCTCAGTCTTTGTTTCGTTTTATCGTGCTGCCTTAGTCTCTTACATGCAAAGCAGTGCTCCACGTTCAATAGTCAAACCATCTTGTATTTTATAGAAAGCATATAGGAATGCAAACAGAATTCCATAATGTCATGTATTGTTCATGTATGTAATTATATTTGTTTTAATTAACACCACGTTTGTACTTTCATTTTTACTTTATCCACTCACTGTTTTCTTCCTTTTACATAGTTGAACTTTCATTTCCTTTTAGTGGGGATTTCTAGGAGGACGTTGGGGAACCAGTAAATAAGTTACTAGCTTTTTATTGAAGAATGAGCTTTGTTTTGGTCCTCATTAGAAATTGCTTTTGAAGTCCTGTTAAGTAGCAAAATGCTGCTTAAAGAACAGCTTGCAAGGAAGCTCTTAGTAGCTGGGATGCTATTTGTGAAGGCCTCACTGGTCCTCTGGCAGAATTTGTTGACTAAGATTTCCCACCTGAGCAGCTTTTGCTATTAAGTGTAAGAGTTTCTGTGTCCTTTCTAGGACTCTTAGAAGTGGAGTAGAGGAATTCTGGGATGGCAAAGACAGTATATATTGAACATTAATCTCTGGAGGACAAAATAGTTAATAAGAAGAGGAAATAACCTCTTAACATAAAGGAGAAAAAAGCACACACATTTAGGAACAAAAACTGAGAAGCTGAATAGAGTCTGAAACAAATTATCCATTGGGAAATTTTAATATTTTCAGTACTTCCTAATGGCATCTTTTTTTCTCTTTATAAAGCCAGTTCCTTAGCTGTTGTAGCCTGATCACATTGGGCTACCTTGGAAGTGTGTTTACCTGCCCTCTAGATTTGTAAACACAGTTCTGCTATTCATCTCCCCCCTCCACACACACATTGAAGTAAATGGTAGCCTTTCATGTCGGTGGGGGAAAGGAAAGCATTGGACAGTGGTGGTTTTGTATCTTATTTGGATTACATTGCTTTATTATTTATTGTAAACCACCCAGAGAACTTTTTGTTATAGGGTGACTTACAAATCCTACAAATAAAACAAAATCTATGATTCCCACTCACCTCTACCCCCACCACCCATCAGCTGTAGTGTGGGCTGCATGAAGGAATTCCAGTGTTTCCTTCCCCTTATCCCTCAAGGTGATGCCTATCATCATGTATTGGCAGAAAAGGTGGGATCAGTCCTTCATGAGATTTTCCTGTTTCAAGGGTGGTAGGTTCATCATCTATGAAGGCATGCTTCAGTCTCTGCTGCAGCCCTGTAGTGCGCCACACCATGCTTGTCATACAAACTTATATTTTCAATAATATGAAAGAGCGCAAAGGGCAGGCTGCTTTCAAAATTGTGTTAAGGACAGTTTATTGCAGAAAATGGTCAACTGTTAATGTGTGGCAACTAAAATGTGGAAAAAAATTATGAGCATGCACATAGCGTAATGACAGAATAATGTTGCTTCTCTTTATTCTCTGCAGGTTGGAAACCCACGTGTTGAACTCACACTTTCAGAACTTCAGGATATGGCTGCCAGGCAACAGCAGCAGATTGAAAATCAGCAGCAAATGCTGGTTGCCAAGGTAAACTGCACTTCCAGTAACAAGGGGAAGGAAAGAACAGAAAATGTGCTGTTTTCACAGAAGGCTCTAAATCCCAGTAGTACAGAAAATTTGCAAATTGAGAACAGAAATGGCATTAATCCTGTGTGTGATGACATGTTGCCTTAGTTGTAGGTCTCAGGTCTAGGGTCACCTAGTCCATCGGTGATTGAGGCTTTATGGTTATCAACAGAGGTCCACCTACTGACTTGAGCAGAGACAAAATTTCAGTGCTAGTGTTCTTAACCCTTCTGAAATAAAGTCCTGTTCAGCGTTTTGTTCAGTACAGTGATTTGCCACCATAATCATGTTATAATATCACTGTCACTTTGCTTTTAAATGGAAGAAACAATATCTACAAGGTGAAGTCTCTGTTGAGTTAGAGGACAGAAGTGAATTGAGAAGAGTTTAGTAGTTTAGTGTTGGGGTTTTTTTGTTTTTTGTTTTTAAAAAACCTCAGGAGAAAAAGGAAGCATTTCCCGTATTTGTTTAGTCCATAGGCTGTCATTCTAAAGAAGTGGCATTTATCTTGCTCCAGATCTCCTTATCTTTGTCTGTTTGTAGTTTTCTGCTAGTCATTATTTCCTCTGGGAAATTATGTAATGGGGGGTTGGGGAGCCATTTTGCTGCAGGAGGAAGCGTGTTTGAGGAACAGGAAGTACAAGTTGCAGGAAACTTCACAGATGTGTTGGAATGAATGTTTCAGCTGGAGCTTGTTTTTGTGTAGATGAGAGATTTGATTTTGTAGCTTCAGAAATGAAGGGCCTGGTATCTCTTGGAGGATACAACTGGGAGGCCCATAAAAACTTTACATTAATAGGTTCTTAAAAGATTAGTTCATGCTTAATATATGTTTAATATATTTGTTTCTAGACTGAAGAAGTATGCAGGTAAGATTTTCCTAATTTAAACACTGGCTGACTCACACTGGGGTTTTGTTTTGTTTAGAAGTAATAGGCAAGTGACTGGTAATGCTTTTCTAAAAATAAGACAGCATGATTACATGTTCTACTTGTTTTGATAGGAACAACGTTTACGTTATCTCAAGCAGCAAGAACGCCGTCAACAGCAGTCTGTGTCTGAGAGTGAAAAGCTTCAGAAACTTAAAGAACGAATGGAAACCCAGGAGACAAAGCTGAAAAAAATCCGTGCCATGAGAGGGCAGGTGGATTACAGCAAGATTATGAACGGCAATTTGTGTACGAGTGGCTTCTTCCCATTTTTTTAAGCTCTTAGGTTCTTGGCCCAGAGGTTGATTGGGGGCCAGGGCTAACAATATAGTTGAGCTACTGCTGTCGGCCAGTTGTATGGGGAAACATTAACACGAGTCATTCAGAACATGGAGTCCTCTGGAAGCCATTTTCACTATTTTGAGTGCACTTTTCCAGTTGCCATAATGAAGGGAACATGTTTCAGCCTAGTAAGCATCCTGCATTAGGCACACGAGCAGAAACATGCCGTTCTGTAGCATTTCAGAATGTCTTTTCAGCATTCTCAGACTCTCACATTTGCTATTTATTTATTTCATAAAGTTTATACACTGCTTGGTTGTAAAAAACCTCCAAGCAGTTTGCAAAAGGTAAAACAGCCCTACTTAAAAAAAAAACATACAAAAGTTGAAATACTAAAACAGATTAATATCAGTCTGAAATCTTATTAATGTGAATTGCTTATATAATGTGCTGATTGTAAGGAACAGAAATTAATGGACCTCACATATCTTAATGTTTCAGGGACTCTGGAATATTAACCAGGAAACCCATAGCATGAGGCATTCAATTGTGTCCCTGCAATTGGCTTGTGCTAGATCTGATCAGCAGAGCATTGCCTTCTGCTTGCTGCACCTCAAACTCCAGCAGCTGATTCGGGGGGTTGTGGACTGGGGAACATAATAATTTAAAGTCCAATTTAGGCATGACCACTTAATAGCCTTATCCAGACAGAATCAACCACAGCACTTTCCTTGGCCCCCACCAGGGGTGCCAACTCGAATAAAATATGGGGGGCAGATAAGTCCCACCCCGCATAATCGATCAAATGATGTTGTGCATGCACATTTCAATGGCAGTGCCCATCAACCTGGGGGAACATCCCCCTCAAGTATTTTATTGTGGGGGCCGAAGCCCCCACGGCTCCTAGGAGTTGGTTCCTATGGCCCCCACCCCCAAATTATTTTGCTTATAAGCTTCATTCTGCAGCAGCCCAGAGAAAATATTTGAACAGCGTTGCTTATGGCCTCATGCTCATTTCTCTTTCTGTGTGTTTGCATTCATTCTGCATTTTAATTGCAGCCACTGAAATTGAACATATCAGTGCCATCTTCCAGGAAAAGCAACAAGAGTTACAAGCTGCAGTGTTAAAGGTGGACCAGCTTACTCAACAGCTAGAGGACCTGAGAAAAGGGAAGCCGAACGGGTTCCAGTCTTACAATGGACAGATGACAGGGCCTGCCGCTGTAGAATTAAAAAAATTGTACCAAGAGCTACAGGTAAACAATCAAGACATTCACTTTACATAGTGCCAATGAACAAAACTGGGGCTTTCTTCTATTTAGTGTCAGTTAAAATGCATCTCAATTAAAACATAGCAGTTACAAGGCACCAAGTAAAATTGTTTTAGGGCCATATCCAGGCTCCCAGTTGGTCATGCCTCCCCATTACCATTGTAAGCAATTGAATAAATATTTTCCTTTCATCCCTCTTCTAAGAAAGAAAAGCAGTATTACAATCGGGCATTTCAGCTGGTGTTTCATTCACATATTAAGCACTATATCTTCTTAGAAGTAAGTCTTTGTGAGTTCAGTGGGGCTTACTCCCAGCTAAATGTCTATAAGATGACTGTCAGGGAAGAGTTAGAAGTTTCCAGTTTCTCAGAGGGAGAAAGCATTCGCCAAGGGGGGAAGGAGAGCAGTGAATCTAATAGAAGAGAGCAAGAGGAACAACAGGGAGGGAATGGCTGTTCACAGGAAAGGCATGGGTTAAGTTCTAGCTCAGATTCGGACGAGGGGTACAGGCCAGCTCTAGCCAGGAGGTTAGAAAAAAGAGCGGGAAAGCGAAGGGAAGGGCGCCTTCGCCATCTTGAGAGTGGCTGGTCATGGAGAAGCAGAGCTCAGAAGGTATCTGAAATAAGTGACTCTGAGGAATAATAGTTAAGAACTGTTTATAAGATTGTTTTGTTAATACGCAATAAAAAGTTTTATAAAAGAACAAGAAGCGTTTGTGTGGTGATCTGAAGAGGACAACGACCAGTCCTGACAATGACATCCTTTATTTGGAAATGGACAAAATCCAGCAGCACGACTTTTATACTGGAAATCATATCCTAATCAAATTCCTTATAAATTAAGGAAGGTTTTATATTACTGCTTTTCTTTTCAGTGTTCTTTATATAGTTTTGATGTTTTACTTAGGTGCTTTTAATTGATTGCACGCCGTATTTATTCATGACTGAACAGGTGCTTTCTGGGAAATGAAAGTATTTCAGAAGGGGTTACAAAGAAGTATATAGATTTTAGTTTCTGCCCCTGAGCACAATCCTTAGAAATCTATCTGAAAGAAATAAATTGGACTTACAAGCAAGTAGATGTATTTAGTCTTTAGGCATGTGTTAAACTACCTAGGCTTGACTCCAAAGAACTATACAATTAATATTGTATGCCCAATAGAGCTCTGGACTTGTTTTTTCTTATACAGCAGTTCCCCACTAAACCTCTTAAGCTTCAAAAGGCAGTTTGTTGTCTAGCATAACTATTCTGCTATTTAAATGAAAAATAATTCCAGAGGGCACACACAGGACATAGCTGTTTTTTCTACAGATTATTGAGTTTTTTTACCTTTAAAAACAACCCAAACTGAAGTAGTGATAATCACTCTGTTTATTTATAGATTCGTAACAGGCTTAATCAGGAACAGAACACCAAGCTTCAGCAGCAGAAAGAACTTCTGAATAAGCGTAACATGGAGGTTGCCATGATGGACAAGCGTATCAATGAGCTACGTGAGCGCCTATACAAGAAAAAAGTTGAGGCACGTCAAAAAGAAAACATCCCTGTAAGATAAACTATTAAAAGGGCCACATTTCAATACTTCTACAAAGCTCATCAAGCTTCATCAAGTTTCCATTTCCTCTAGCCCCATAGAAGTGAATAATGCATTACTTGTGTTTTGCCAAAATCTGCTGCGGTAATATGAGAGTATAAATTGAATGTGGGGTCATGTAGACATGAGTTGAAATTTAGTGATAAAATATTAGTTCCTGCACAGGAGTACTTTGGTGGCCAGGATAGGAATGGTAGACTCTTTATTAACTTTTTCAAAATTGAGTTTGCTGAATTACATAGGCAGTAGAAACTTAATTTCCTAATAATCTCATGAGTTCCATATTATGCAGACTTTGCAGCTCTATGGCATGGAACCAAAAGGGAGAAGGGGATATATTATATTATGCTTTTTGGTGCCTTCTGAGATGAAATGCTTTCCACATTCCCAGTAGTTGGGAAAGAGAGATAATAAAACGGAAGCGGAACCGTTATTAACGTTGTTTATGAACGTAAAAGAGAAAATGCCCCAGGGGTGAGGGAGGAGAGGAGGAAGGGCTAATGGGTTTGAACCCCAGAGAGAAGCACACTGTAATTCTTCTATAACTCTTCCTTTTAAAAAGATTCTGCAGATATGTAGACACATGCTGATATTGATGTTAACACACCTTTTGATTTGCCATTTTTTAGTTAAACCGGATAAATGGAACATCCTCTCCTCAATCGTCGTTGAATGCTTCGGGCAGAGTTGCAGCCGTGGGGCCATACATTCAAGTTCCTAGCTCCAGCAGCTATGCTGTGCCAGTTGACCCAGTGAAACCACAGTCCCTCACTATTACTACTAGTGCAACTCACGGAAGATCGAAATCTGGTAAGCAGTTCACAAAAACAAGTACATTGTTTTGTACAGTAGAAGGTGACAAAGGAGTTGCCTTTGGGGATGATCATCAGTCCCTTCCATAAGGTGGAAGGGATTAGGACCCCCAGAGCTCACTTTCATATTGAACAAACTCGTTTGTTCAGTCATTTGACAAAAACATGAGTCGAGCTGCTTTCTGCTTTGTCCCAAAGTTACTATTAAATGCCTCTGTGGTTTGCCAATATGATGTTGTACCATATGCAACTCCTACATTAAGTATGGCTGTGATTAAAAGTTCATATTTAATTGCAAGAAGAACAATTCTGATGTGAGTATTGTGACAGAAGGGGAGTGTTCAGGAGAGCCTCTCATGTCCTTCCTTGCAGAACTACCTTGCGGAGTAGGGCAGTAACCAACCAGTAGCAGCTGCCACCTTTGAACTCACAGCTATCCCCGCCAGGTGGGAAGAAATCTGGAGTGCTCAAGGAAGTTCTAAGAGTCCTGAGATCCTAGGAGCAGAGCCTCTTGTGTTTCCCACCCAGATCCCTCACAGTTTACCCAAGGCATAAAGTGAGCTGAAAAGTTCTCCATCTCTCCCAGAGATCAGAGCAACTTACTGATCCTTAACAACCCCAGTTCTGTTCTTATTTAGCATGAGCCCAAATGATCCGGGGTTGTGGGGGATGATTAGAATCCTTGAGCTTGGCAAACGCACCCACTCCAGATCTGCAACAGTCAAATTATATGAAGTTTTATTTCTAGTAGAAAAAGGAAAGAAGAAGGCAGTTGGACAAAACAAAATACTGAAAAAAAGGAACTCTGTGGCTCAAACCTGATTGATCCTAAACGACCTCACTTGCAACACAGTGCTCTGGCCCTAAAAGGGAATTTTCAGAGTGAGGGTATGCTAGAAACCTCACAAGGGTCAGAGGAAGCTACTTTTTGCTGGTATAAATAGTCCCTAGGGTCCCCCATCTCATTGCTAGACAGCCTGTAATTTGTGGATTCAGAGGTTTGGCAGGGATTATTTTTCTCACGTAGAAAATAGAGGGCAGGCCAGTTCTTGCTCAGGCTTAATGGAGGGCGAGAATTGCCCTGCCTCATGAAAACGGAGAGGCAAGAGAACAGACTTTTAACAGCATTTCAGGAGATGTAAAAACAGCATAACATGCATCTTCACACACATTTATGTAGATGGTTTCTGCAACTTGCAGATTCCTTTTCAGTAGGTTATCTTTGAAAACAAACAGTTGATACCTAACTAGTCAAAACAAGTCCTGCTTGCAGTTTCTGAACACAGAATGCCTCCAGATATGTCATTGGCTTTAGCCTTGTACAATATTTTGGATATCTGGCTAATTGGTTTTGTTTGGTTATGAGCCCTTGTCTCTAGCAGCCAAGTACAATATATGCAGAATGCACTTTAGTCATATAAATTACATATGCACTTCTTTTAAAAAAACTGACTTTTTCTTCCCTGCAGCTTAAGTTGAAAATCGTTTTCTACCCAGATTTTGTTTGAGACACAATGTGAGGGCTCTTTCTTAATATGTTGAGTGTCATACTTTTATCTGTACATTTTCCTGTTCTCTTTTACGTTTTAATCTCTCTCTTGTCATTTATGTTGTAATTATTTTCCACATCCTATTTTCCCCCCTTTTTCTTTTATTGTGTGACTGGATCTGGTCGTCTCCAGTAGATACAGACTATGGGTGTGTGAAAAAATCTCCAGGTCCCTGGAAGATTTCTGATTTAGACATTATAGTGGATCCTATTCTGTCACCTCCCTCTCTTCAGTCTGCTGTTCACAATATCATCCATTCAGCTTCTACTCTTTCTGAGATCCTGCACTGTGAGTCTGTAGAAGATCTTTGGCAAGCTAAGAAATCCCATTTTTAATATGGTCATCTGAGCTTTGGCACACAGATGCATATTAAACAGGAATTTTTAGAACTGTGTCTATATATTGTCAATAGAAGCATGTTTGTGTGTTTCATTGTTTTCTGGGTATTTCGCAAGTGAACAAATCTAAAATGCTCTCCTTCCTGTATCTAGAAAAAGCAGAATACTCAGCTAGCAAATAATTAACTATGCTGGTACCTTGAGTCAAGAAAGTTCACATAGGGTCACATTGTATATATTTTGACATAAGCAGGTACTGTTTTTTGTGTTCTCTAGTCTTGTTCTTAGGTGGTTTACTTTGTGGCTGTGGACAGGTTACTTAGGTTGTGATCCTGTACTCATGTACCTGAAAGTAAGTCCCATTGAACTCAGTGGGGCTTTTTTGAGTAAACATATATAGGCTCACAGGACGCGGGTGGCGCTGTGGTCTAAACCACTGAGCCTAGGGCTTGCTGAATCCCCGTGATGGGGTGAGCTCGGTCCTAGCTTCTGCCTACCTAGCAGTTTGAAAGCACGTCAAAGTGCAAGTAGATATATAGGTACCACTCCGACGAGAAGGTAAATGGCGTTTTCGTGCGCTGCTCTGGTTTTGCCAGAAGTGGCATAGTCATGCTGGCTACATGACCTGGAAAAACTGTCTGCAGACAAACGTCAGCTCCCTCGGCCAGTAAAGCGAGATGAGTGCTGCAACCCCAGAGTTGCGACTGGACTTAACTGTCAGGGGTCCTTTTTATACAGGCTCACATCATCAGTCTGCAATCCTAAACACACCTACTAATGAATAAATTCCATGGAACACAGTGGAACTTATTTATAAGTGCACAGATTCCACTGAAATTGAACTTCACTACCACTTAGTTTTCATCTTCTTAATGCAGGGGTGGGGGGGGAAAGAAGGTCACTTTAACCGCCAGTCAACTGATGGGTAGTTACAGGAACTGACACTGGTAGTTACAAAAACTGCTGATTGTCACTGGGAGCGGACCATCAAAGGGACTCTCTTTGATTTTCAGTCAGCTGTTGAATTCTGAATAGTTTAACGAGCGAGTTGGTGGGGCAGTTTTGAAACAGAAACAGAAATAAAATGAAGTGTGCATGTTCCGCTGTGGACCCCAGGGTTCCAAGAATCATACAAATAATTCTGCATGCTCAAGGTGGCTTTGGTATTGTTTTCTTGAACAGCAGACCCCCCCCCCCATGCCATGCAGCAAGGCATGTTTTAAACCAAAGGCAATTTCAAAAGCAGTTTGTTATTTAGCACTGGGCAGTGTGTGTGTGTGTGTGTGTGTGTGTGTGTGTGTGTGAGAGAGAGAGAGAGAGAGAGAGAGAGAGAGAGATTATGGGGGGTGGGGACCAGACCTCTCAGGCACACTATTTCATGAAATAGCCTCTTAGAAAAAAATAGAGCGAGTTTTGTGCCAAATGTTTATTTTCAGATTAAATGCTTTATTTCTGCTTGCTACTAACTGTACCAAGTGTTTCAAATCAGGCCTCTTATCTCTGGTTACAACTTTTATATAATACTGGGTTCTTGCTGTTCTTGAAATTATGAAAATTGAGATGCACAAATTGGAAACCTTGTTACAAAAGAAGGTTTTCACGGCATGTATGAGAAAGAGCATTTTTTTGTTCTAAGAGTAACCATTACTATATACAAATTTCATTAAAAGTTAATTCAGAAAGTTGGCATCCTCTTCAGGTGCTGTTTTGCTTCAAAAAATTTTTAAAAAAACATTGTTTTAGCTTCTGGGTTTGTGTCAAAGTATTCTGATATTCAAAGTCAATTTCTCGCTTGAAGAGGATACATGAAATGCATGGATACAAACCAGTACTTCCATAGCCACCATACTAGTTTCTCCTATCCCCATACAAAACTGGGAAAATAACACATGAGCAGCAGATCCATCTGGTTCCCAGTGCATTTGCTTGACTGCTGTGCTTATGAATATGGCATGCATTTGCTCAACTGGGTTGGGTTTTTTCATATAATCTATATCAAAGTTCACATTTAGAAAGTTTCTTCTTATTTTCCAGGTGGGCATGATGTCGGGGTGTGTTGGGGAGATAATATCTTCACTTGACTTTCTGATTCTTTGTACTACCCCAGATGATGATAATAGAAGGTCATGGACAGTGTCAGATCTTGATGTTGGCCCTGAAGGCAGCTCTTCGTGGCATTCAGGAAACAAAAAACAGCAGTTTATGAACTGTATGTTGCAAACCACAATGCATTCTCAGTGATCTTAATTCTAATCAGAAATCAAAAGGCATCTTTACATTAAGATAATGAATTATCTTTCAGCACAATACATCTGTAGAATTCAGTTTGAATTGAAATGGAATGTTTAGTGTTAATGTATTTTATTATAATTTTCCCATCCTGTGGGCTCAGACCAACTTACAGAAATGCATGGGTGATATCCAGTTGTGAGAATGTTTATTGTGCGGCCTTTTCTAGAGCCAGCAGAAATCTATGAATGTATCCCTAAAATAATGAAATCTCACTAAACTCAAAACAGTACTCAGAGCTCTAAACAGGTTACCAGTCACTTCTTTGGCCTTATGTATAAGCTTGTGATTTAATATGCTTTATTGCATATATGCTTTATCGGTCTTGGCCACCTTCGGGACCTAGTACAGATAGGCTGGGTAGAAATTTAATAATAAAATACATTAATAAACATTATTTTAGATTAAACACATTTAACTGATTGTTGGCATCTCTAATCGTACTCTGATTTTCTTAATCTGAATTATTCTGCACTATCTTCCATTCACAATTTCATATTCTCTTTATACAAATGTGTGGGCATCAGTAACCATTTAATAAACATTTTCCTTTGTTGCCAGCTAACGAGGGAACCTGGTCAGCAGTTAAGCAGAGTCCTGTTCCTGTGGTGAAGCCGCCCCAAATCTCCAATGCAGACTGGAAGGAATCAAGCATGGATGCTGGTTTAAAACAAGGAACGATATCAAGTCAGCCTTTGTCTTCTTCATTAGGAAGTACTGATAAGCTGGTGAGTTTTTATCACTTCTACCCCCATCCCCTTGCTGCATACAGTATCAAAAATTCATGGTGTTTTGCATGTTTGTGTACAACATTTCTGTATGTGCTATGGGCCTCTCTGGCAAGATTTTGTGTACTTCATCCATGAGATATGTGTTAAAAAGGGATTTGTTTTCTATACAGGATAGAAGAACAGCCTTCTCAGCTTTTCAGACACTTCTTCTGTTTTCCCCTCCACAGGGTCTTGATATAGGGAAAGTACCACCTACGATCCCTGGCGCAAGTAAGCAGTTGCCCCAGAACTATGGGACCTACCCAAGCTCCATTCCATTGGGAACAGGTTCTACCAATTCCCTTGAAAGGCGAAAAGATGGCAGCCTCCCAAGACCAGGCTCTACAGCAGCAAGCCGGCAAAGACCTGTTCCGTTACCACCAGCAAGCAGCGTTCATCAGCCAAGCTCCTCGCAACAAATACAGCAGAGAATATCTGTGCCTCCAAGCCCCACATATCAACCTTCTGGCGCCCCATTATTTCCAGGTGGCGATGGCAGGCCTGATCTCCCCTTAACTGTGGCCATCAGGCCTTTCTTAGCTGACAAAGGCTCAAGGCCCCAGTCTCCCAGGAAAGGGCCCCAAACCGTGAACTCCAGTTCCATCTATTCCATGTACCTTCAGCAAGCGACGCCACCAAAGAACTATCAACAGGCTGTATACAATACCCTGAACAAGTCCGTTAAAGCAGGTAGAATAATTTGATGTTGCATATCTCTTCTGTTTAAGAGCTGCTCGATACTTACAGGAGTTAAATTAGGTTTGATGTAAATTAGATCTTTGCTTTAAAAAAGTGCTGTTTCTTTCAAATGGCAGAAAAGAGCTTGGGCATTCTGCTAACCCAGGATTTCTTTACAAATGACTGTACATTACAGGTTTGCAGCATTGCATCTAATTGGGAGGCAGTAGCTTTCAGAAGTGGGTTATGCTTTGCTACAAATCTAAAATTGGGGCTTGTGCTCTCCCTCTCTCTACATCGTGACTAGTCTGAGGTGCTGAACAATATTTGCTTCACTTTAAAGACAGTTGTTAAGGGGACTTATTTGAACTGGTTGGGGTGGAGCTGCAAAGCTAGATTCTCAGCATGTTTGTCACTGCTGCTTACCAAGAAGGAGAGGGGTGAGGCGTTAAAGTCAGTGCAGTGCATACACACTGGAGAGCTAATTCATTGTTCCCGCCAGTGCACCCATATTGCGCAGACCTCTCCCCTTTCCTTCTCTCTAATTGGCAGTGACATACCTGCTGGGGAAATAGTGATGTGATTCTGTCACACCTGATGAGCCACTTCTGCAGCCATCTCAAGGATTACTTTAGGGGCCTGTTTTATTGAATGAGTTGTTTCCAACTAATCTCAACTCACTGAAATTAGTGAACCTGAGATAGCCCTGTTCATTAATTTCAGTGGGTCTACTCTGAGTAGGACTAACATCGACTACAACCCAATATTTACATGAGTGATTGTAAGTTAACACTAGGTTTATTAGCATTTCCAGAAGAGACAAGGAGGTATTAATATAATGCTAAAAGACATAATAATAATAATAATAATAATAATAATAATAATAATAATAATAATTTATTATTTGTACCCCGCCCATCTGGCTGGGTTTCCCCAGCCACTCTGGACGGCTTCCAACAAAGATAAAAAATACACTAAAATGTCACATATTAAAAACTTCCCTGAACAGGGCTGCCTTCAGATGTCTTCTGAATATCAGGTAGTTGTTTATCGCTTTGACATCTGATGGGAGGGCGTTCCACAGGGCGGGCACCACTACCGAGAAGGCCCTCTGCCTGGTTCCCTGTAACTTGGCCTCTCGCAGTGAGGGAACCGCCAGAAGGCCCTCGGAGCTGGACCTCAGTGTCCGGGCAGAACTATGGGGGTGGAGATGCTCCTTCAGATATACTGGACCCAGGCCGTTTAGGGCTTTAAAGGTCAGCACCAACACTTTGAATTGTGCTTGGAAACGTACTGGGAGCCAATGTAGGTCTTTCAAGACCGGTGTTATATGGTCTCGGCGTCCGCTCCCAGTCACCAGTCTAGCTGCCGCATTCTGGATTAGTTGTAGTTTCTGGGTCACCTTCAAAGGTAGCCCCATGTAGAGCGCATTGCAGTAGTCCAAGCGGGAGATAACCAGAGCATGCACAACTCTGGCGAGACAGTCTGCAGGCAGATAGGGTCTCAGCCTACGTACCAGATGGAGCTGGTAAACAGCTGCCCTGGATACAGATTTGACCTGTGCCTCCATGGACAGCTGTGAGTCCAAAATGACTCCCAGGCTGCGCACCTGGTCCTTCAGGGGCACAGTTACCCCATTCAGGACCAGGGAATCCTCCACACCTGCCCGCCTCCTGTCCCCCAAAAACAGTACTTCTGTCTTGTCAGGATTCAACCTCAATCTGTTAGCCGCCATCCATCCTCCAACCGCCTCCAGACACTCACACAGGACCTTCACCGCCTTCACTGGTTCTGATTTAAAAGAGAGGTAGAGCTGGGTATCATCCGCATACTGATGAACACCCAGCCCAAACCTCCTGATGATCTCTCCCAGTGGCTGCATGTAAATGTTGAAAAGCATGGGGAGAGGACGGAACCCTGAGGCACCCCACAGAGTGAGAGCCCAGGGGTCTGAACACTCATCCCCAGCACCACTTTCTGAACACGGCCCAGGAGGAAGGAGCGGAACCACTGTATGACAGTGCCCCCAGCTCCCAGCCCCTCAAGACGGTCCAGAAGGATGTTATGGTCGATGGTATCAAACGCCGCTGAGAGATCCAGCAGAACTAGGAAACAGCTCTCACCTTTGTCCCTAGCCCGCCGGAGATCATCAACCAGTGCGACCAAGGCAGTTTCAGTCCCATGATGAGGCCTGAATCCCGACTGGAAGGGATCCAAATGGTCCGCTTCTTCCAGGCGTGCCTGGAGTTGTTCAGCAACCACTCGCTCAATCACCTTGCCCAAGAATGGAAGATTTGAGACTGGGCGATAATTGGCCATTGTGGCCGCATCTAAAAATGGTTTTTTAAGAAGCGGTTTAATAACCGCCTCTTTCAGCGGGTCTGGGAAGGCTCCCTCACGGAGGGAAGCATTCACCACCCCACGAAGCCCATCGCCCAGTCCTTCCCGGCTAGCTTTTATAAGCCAGGATGGGCAAGGATCCAGGAGACAGGTGGTTGGCTTCACTCGTCCAAGCAGCCTGTCCACATCCTCGGAGGTAACAGATTGGAATTGATCCCACGCAACTTGACTAGACAGGACTCTAGCACTCTCCCGCCCTGGCCCTGCTCCCACGGTGAAGTCTACTTCTTACCGAATCTGAGCGATTTTATCTGCAAAAAACTTTGCAAAATCATTGCAGGAGATCATATGGCCCGTACTGGGCCCTGATGTCGCAGGTGGTTCTGCTAAATTGTGAACCACCTGAAAAAGTCTCCTGCTGCTGTTTTCTGCAGATGCAATAGAGGCATCTCTCTGGAAACCATTTGGATCCATTAAGTGGCGGGGGCGGACCATCCGAATTGGTCCCACCTCCCTGCAGAGGGGATGGGTCGCAGAGAAGTCCAGTTGCACCAGGAAGTGATCTGACCATGGCACTTCTTTCGTTTCGCTTTTACTTAGTGTCAGATCACCAACATCCATAGAGGTAAACACCAGGTCCAAGGCATGTCCGCGGCTATGGGTTGGGCCAGACTTATTCAGGGACAGCCCCATGGAGGCCATGCTTTCCACGAAGTCCCGAGCGGCCCCTTGTAAGGTCGTGTCGGCATGGATGTTAAAATCCCCTAGGACAACCAAGCTAGGTGTCTCCAGGAGAACATCCGCCACAACCTGAAGCAGCTTGGGCAGGGAATCCTTGGTGCAGCGGGGAGGTTGGTACACCAAAAGGAATCCTGTACTGCCCCTATTGCCCAACTTCCAGGACATAGGATTAAAACCCACTTGACCTGTCTAGTCACAATGTGAGAGGGAATATGATTGACCTCTGCAAACATTAGAGGGGACTAGTGAGGGATTTACATTCTATGCATTTATGTTGAAAATTACTGTTGATAAGAGAACTAAGAACTGTCAACTCGCCACTAATAACTTCATGTTGGAAATGGATAAAGGCAACAAAATGGTGAAATATCTTGTATTCTTTCTTGAAGCCATGGATGTCCTCAACTGTATTTGAGATATCATAACAGAAGGTTGTTTTTCATTTCACAGCAGTTTGATGTCACTGTATCTGTAGCTTAGTGGGCACCTTTGGTGTGCTACTCCTTGTTCTCTTTTGCTTGCTATTTAAAGCACATCATATCTATATTTCATAAAGGGGCTGACTTGCAAGGAATGCTACACATTAGAGATGTTTAGGCTTTTTAGTGCTGTATGTCCTTCCTTTTTTAGATATCTATACCCAAGAACCATGACCTCCCTTCCAAATCTTCCCCACTTTTATGACTGCTTTATAACTGCATGAAAATGTCCATAATTGTTAGAAAGATGAGTTGCTTTTAAGTAGTTTCCTTATGCATTTGAAGCTACAAAATTGACAACTGTCACCATTAATTTTTATATGATTTTTAAAACAACAAACAACACTTCTGAGAAGTTATTCCATGTTGATTTAGACCCATCCCTAACTGCTACTTTTTCTTCTCAGTTTATGGGAAGCCTGTTGTACAGTCCGGTTCGACTTCCCCTTCGCCGTTGCCATTCCTTCACAGCTCTTTGCCTGCCAATCCATCACAGCCTCAACCTCCCAACGAGTATAGTGAAAAAGATCAAGAACTGGAAAACACCCCACCCTCTGGTGATAACAGCAACGTAGAAAATATCCCTCGCCCCCTCAGCCCCACCAAGCTCACGCCCATCGTGCATTCGCCCCTTCGCTACCAAAGTGATGCCGATTTGGAAGCCCTTCGCAGGAAACTCGCCAATGCTCCCAGGCCCTTGAAGAAGCGGAGTTCCATCACTGAACCAGAAGGCCCCAGTGGGCCAAACATTCAGAAGCTATTGTACCAGCGCTTTAATACCCTGGCCGGAGGAATAGAAGGTGCCCCTTTTTATCAGCCAAGCAACTCACAGGACTTCATAGGCACCTTGGCAGATGTTGACAATGGGAACACAAACACCAATGGCAATATTGAGGAGCCCGTAGCTGTGCCCCCGACAGCTCCTCTTCCTGATGAGCCTTCATCAGATGCCAATGATAACGAACTACCTTCTCCTGCAACTGAGGAGTTGATCAGCGAAGAGAACACAAATCAAATGCCCGAGACAACGGAGGATGATAACAACAACAACAACCCTGCTATAGCCCCTTCTATTGAGCGGCCACCTAGTCCAACCCCCGAGGCAGAATCCCCAGAAGAAGAGGAAATGCAGCCGCCACCTGCTCTTCCTCCTCCTCCACTTCCTGCGGTAAGATACTGTGCCAAAACCAGTGTGATCTGGGGGAGGGGGGGCATAAGCAGTGCTATGCCACATCGTGGAATCTGCAAAACTTTGAATCCAATTTAGGTTGAGTGTGTACAGTGAGTCCAACCCCCCCCCCCCATAAAACTTTCTTAGTATTTTCTAAATTTTTCCCAAACAAATGGCCAATAAGTCTAACCTATGTCTTGGATGTAGGACAAAAGTGTTACTTAGGGCAAGTCAGGCAAGTACAGAAGTGAGATTTGACTGTGCTGCAATGTGTATTTTGGTGAAGTGCACTTTGATCCAGGTCTGAACAATTTGTGACCCACCAAGCTGAAAGCAGTGTAACAGTCACAGTGTGATCTGCCAAGTTCTTGATAACCTTGGTTTTGAATTCCCAGGCAGGCAGACAAAACAAAAGGTTCATCAAGCTGCCGGTGGCTCCATTTAGCTTAAAGTTGTGCAGGTCTGTCTTTTAAGGCCTTGGTCCTCAGTCAGTGGGTTAGGATCATGCCACCTGCACCAAACATTTTTAAGTAAAAGGGAGAGAGCAGGACATGTACAGTTAAAAGCCGGATCTTGGGTCTGAAAATATTAAAGACTGTTGTCCTATGGGAATACACCAAGCGGGCTCCCTTTCAGTTACATTAGGAAAACAAGTGGTGGTGATTATCTAGATATTATGTGCATTAAAGAAAAGCTAGAGACAAAGTTGGGGTAGTTCTCCTGTTTCTACTAGTTCCAGAAAACAAAAGTTTAAAACAGGATAAATTTCTCTATGATAGAATGCAGTTCAAAGTGTTCTGATACTGATGCAGTTTGAAACTCAGGGTTGCCTTTTTACTCAGACCAAAAGGACCAACCTGAAGAAACCCAATTCGGAGAGAACTGGCCACAGCTTGAGGGTCAAGTTCAATCCCTTGGCTTTGCTGCTGGATGCCTCTTTGGAGGGAGAGTTTGACCTGGTGCAAAGGATCATATATGAGGTAAACTTGGAAATATTGTTACTCACCTATGTTATGTTTTGATGGTGGAAAATATTTAAGTTCATGCAGTCAGTCCTTGTTTTCCCCCAACTTAGGTGGATGACCCCAGCAAACCTAATGATGAAGGAATCACTCCTCTGCACAATGCAGTGTGTGCTGGCCATCATCACATAGTTAAGTTCCTGTTGGATTTTGGTGTCAATGTGAATGCAGCAGACAGTGATGGATGGTAAGAGACCAAGTGGAGCACACACAAAAGCTAGAAACCGGTTACTAGTGCAAATCCATCTTCACAGGAATGAGGGCACGTTTTGTCTCACCTGACATTGAGTCTTTTGCTTTGTTTTCAGGACTCCTTTGCACTGTGCTGCCTCTTGCAACAGCGTTCATCTCTGCAAGCTACTTGTTGAATCTGGAGCTGCAATTTTTGCTTCAACCATAAGTGACATAGAAACTGCGGCAGACAAGTGTGAGGAAATGGAAGAAGGTTATATTCAGTGTTCCCAGTTTCTGTATGGTAAGTTTCAGGTTTTGTAACTTGAGATTTCAGAACTTTGCTTGAATTTGTCATTCCTCACTTGTTCCAGGATCTAGAAGTATGGCATTGCTTATTTTACAATGAAAAGTGTGTATTCGATTTCGTGTGAAGATTTATGCAGCACCTTTCAGCCAGCTGATCCTCAAGGCAGCTTACAGCAGATTCCAAGTACACCAAAACAACAATAATGTTAGAATACCGACTGTTGTTGTGGAGAGGCAAATGAGGTATCAAATTAAGAATGTGTGACATACACCGTGTGGCCAGTTTGCTCACTAAATCAGATGATAAAGGGGTGGAAACTAAGGTAATACAGGTTGTATTCTTCATTGATTTGAGGAATTCTGTGTGCTGTTAGTGGGAACACTGTGTATGTGAGTGGGTAGAAGAGGAGAAGGCGTTAGACACAAACACATCTTCAAATGTTCCCATGTCTGGCTTTAGGAAATGACTGCCTTTCTCACCATGAGCTGTGACTCATATTTAGCCTGCTTTGGAGCAGAAACAGCTGTGCCACAAAAGGACAGTTAGAGCAGTTCTAGTAGGATCCAGAATGTAGCAGCCTACCTACGAAGGCCTTTCCCGGCTACAGAATGTCCAGAAACATGCACTTGCCATACTGAATAATAAAGGAAGGGATAATTATTTCCTGTTGACTGTGCTTAAGTGAGTGCAATGTAAATTACTGCTTGAGCTGCTGTAGCTTAAGCCAAGTCATAAAATTCAGCCACCAAAACATGTTCACAACCATTCAGAGCTTTGTGCCTATTGGCTTTGCCAGTTTCCATTTCCCATGGGACATGTGTTTCTACAAACCTCGGACAAAATGGCCAACCTCATATTAGTGCTAGTAGAGTGAGGTACTCAGAACAGATATATAATGGGGCATAATAGGGATGCAAGTGGTGCTGTGGTCTAAACCATTGAACCTCTTGGGCCTCCCAACCTTTATTACCTTATAATGGAGTATAACACTTACTGGTGTAATCTCCTAGAACTAGTTGCAGGGTGCTTCTTTTGCCTTTCCCCATGACAAAACCACCTGTCTCTAGAAATCAGGCCTTATGACTGTGGTGGGATTTGATAAGAACCCTACACCGCCTCTGGTCCATGTCAATTTCACATGTGTGTATTTATGTCTGGTCCATCTTGTTTTCATAACTCTTCATATTTTATCCTGGTGTACACATTTTAAGTGTTTTATCCAAAAATATGCACTTAAAAATGACTGTTGGTACTTTCATTGAGTTGCGGATTGCATCACAGAATCTGGAGAAGTGTGAAATCTATCCATACATTAATCTGGAAGGTGCAAATTAGGTCAGTTTGCACAAAAATGCAGACCAAACAGAATTCTCCTCCCTCACTACAATTGTATTACACATTGTATTACATTTCCATGCTGCATGAGAGCCAGGGGCGCCATGATTGCAGTATCCATTTTCCAAATAGTGGTTATTGCTTATTCATGTTAGGTTAATGTAGTTGTTTCTTGGTCATAGGCGTGCAGGAGAAACTGGGAGTAATGAACAAAGGCATTGTGTATGCGTTGTGGGATTATGAAGCTCAGAACAACGATGAGTTGTCATTCCATGAAGGAGATGCAATTACCATTTTGAGGCGCAAAGATGACAATGAGACAGACTGGTGGTGGGCTCGTCTCAATGACAAGGAAGGCTACGTGCCTAAAAATCTCTTGGGGGTAAGTCTTGCACGCTCTTCCTAATTCCAGCACAATACAGTGCTTTTCAGAAATCCTCCAGATTGCTCAATTATGAATGATTAAGGCAGGGGTACTGGTTTATTTGGAAGAAAGTTCTTCCTGAACTGTACCACTGCAGGTTCAAGTACAGACCAAGAACAGTAAAAAAAAAAGGGGGGGAGGAGCTGGTCATTTTAATCTCCACAGGTAGAGTTGCAGACCTCAGAATAACTCTTTTTAAGGTGGTGAATCACGTGGAATGTATAGAATATGGGATAGTCAAACAGGGTTCATAGAGAAATTTAACTAATAAACTGGGGCTCAACAGAAATTATCATACTTTTCTGCATATAGGACTGTTTTTTTACTCTAAAATAATGTTCAAAATCTGGGCTCTTCTTATACACAGATAGTATCTCTCCCCATTTTCTCCCCAAAAATATACATGGGGGCATCTTGTAGATGGAAAAATACTGTAGTTTTCTTTGTTGAATTCCTCCCAGATTATTTATAATGTACATTGTGCTGTTACAAACTTTCTGTCAGCACAGCATTTCTGCTTGCTTGATGGAACAATCTCCCCTCCCCTGCTGTTCTGGTAACTCCTACACACCCCAATATTCTGTGTTGCTTCTGACACCCATAATTTCCAGTTACTAGTACAGTTCTCAAGAGTGCAGCTTTGTCTTCTTAAACACAATACTAAGCTGCAAGCCTCTATGAAAGGAGACAGGATGTTGAACAGGATGCTGTTTGGGCCTTCCCTATACATGCCAAAGACTTACTTGTGGTGGGCCCAAGCACTCAACAAGCAAAAAGCAAGAAACCTCCACAGAGTGGGTATGGATCTGAATTGGAAGACAGTGGGCTTTTGGCCCTAAACAAATCTGAAAGCAAACTCAAATGATGGCAGTGGAATTTGCTTCCAAATTTGTGTGTTAAGTTCAGAATGCTACTATTAGTCCAAAGCTTGAAACAATGTGGAACAACCAGTCTTCAAGAGAATCATTTTCTAATACAAGGGTTTGAACAGTTAAAATTACTAATGTTCCCATTTAGAACTGATTATTGCTATTGTTGTAAATTGTGAAGCATCAGCCTAAAGCACCTTTTCAACAGCTCAGTTGAAAAGATTCTAGCAGAAATAAAGGGAAATGGAACTAATATGTATGATGCTGTCGAATTGTTCTGCTTAAAAGTTGCTTTTAATGCAGTGGTAGAGTTGTAAAAACTAATATGCTTTATAATTTGCTAAATAATAATTTTAAATCTTGTTTTATTGCAGTTATATCCAAGAATAAAACCTAGGCAACGAACTCTTGCCTGAAAACCATCATTTGGCAATACAGTATCTTGCTGGCAACTGGAAGTATACACTGGAAACATTTTCAATCACATTTCACCAGAAGTAAAGCTATACTTGTTTTAATTGGTGCTCTTGTTAAATTGATGGACAGCATTTGAGATTTCCAATCTGAAGTTTGTATGTGAGATCTGTTCCATGTTCACCCACCCAGTCATTGGGAGAGGTACTCAACACAGCCTACAGTATTTTGCCAATTGAATTAAAAGAACAAAACTTGTGCTAGATGTTAAAAACCTTTGCAAAACACAGGTATGCTGTCTGATCCATTCTAGTCCACAGTAACTGTCAAGGTCTTTATTAAAATTGTCAACTGATTGTTGAGTTTACTGTGTAAATCCTTGAAGAGCTTGGTAAGTTGGCATCTGGGAATTACCAACAGTCCTCTGGTATAAAAGGTGTTATTAACTAACAGTGAAGCATCAATGCTGAATGGATTTTTGCACATTTCTCAAAACCACGTTCCTTCACTTGATGTTTTTTCATGATATTCTGCTTACAGCACCACTTTAAACTTTCTCAAACACACCCACACTGAATTCCATCTTCTGGACAAACCTGCATTCATATTTAAGGGATCTGTATGTCTATATGAAAGAAAAGTGCAATAGTTGAGAAGGTAAGAGTCAGGTTATAAAAAAGCTAATAGGTTCCCTTTAAGGACCTTTAAATCTTATCTGTGAAAGTAGGGAGGGGGTCTGAAGGACTGAATAAAGGCTGAGCTGGCTATGTAGAGAGTGAAGGGAGAAAGAAGAGGACGTCTTGCTGTTTTGGCTGGGGCAGCATCTGTGGTTCTTGGCAGCCTGGCATCTTGTGCCAGGGTGAGTTATGCAATAACTTTATCCACTATCTAGTTTCGAGCAAAAAAAAGCACTTCACTGGAATATTAGTTGTACATTATTTTATATACAGAAGTCTATTTTGAACTTCCCATTATGTTGTAGCCATACGTGTTTTATAATTTCCTCCCTGTAAACTGTAGGCCATTTGGCTTTATTCATGTACACGGTGTGCATAATTTATATATCCATTGATGCAGTGCTGTAACTTGCTTTTACCACTGTTTAGCATTAATTGTATATATTGTGGTGATGAGAAGTGGAAGGGTATTGTAAAAGAATATTTGCTAAATGAATGTGAGTTAAAAGCCTATGATACACTGCTAATCCAGTGTGCACAATAAAACTACTGCTAAGGTATAGTTGTGTTTGTAGGTGTTTCTTAACCCAAAACATTTTTTAAAGAACATAATTTGTTACGAAGCCCCCTGACCCATTTATTGCACCTATCTGAATGTACCTGCCTCTGCTTTCATGTCTACACAGTAACCAGTTTGAGCCCGGCCTGAAACCTTGTGCAATAGTCAACAGCAATACTACCACAGACAAGCTCATAGTGTTTAATCAGGCTTTATTAGCCAATGCTAGAATTACCACAAAAAGCATGAATATAAAACTTCAAAAATCAGTCTTGCTAGTAGCTTCATTCAAAAAGATTACACAGGACAAATTGTGGTATTTGGTAAATTGTATTTTACAAAAAAGAAAGTTTTTATCTCATGATACAAATCCCCCACAAGAAAGAGTAGCTTCTATAAAATGACATCTAAGGCAAATTTCCATAGATCATTTGGATATGAGGAGAAAAAGAACCTGAGAGCTACACACCTGAAAAGCTATTATTCTCTGGAGCATCAAATAAAGTTTGTTTCCTTGTTTAAAAATGAATTACACTGTATACATAATTTGTACTACAAAAAAGTTGTGCTATATACTTAGCAGTAGTGCAGGTCACACTTCATTTTACATATTAAGTGCAGACAAGATTTAACAAAATATAAAGTCATAGATGCAAGGCTATATTTAAAGCATTAATAATCTGTTTACATATTGCACACTAAAGTGAATACTTATAGGTCAAATACTCACATTGTAATTGGCCAGTGCTCACATGATGAACCACGTCTGGGATAGGAAAGGGTGGGTGGGGGATCCCTATTACCAAATACTTATTACCGTGTTTCAACTAGCAAGTAGTAAGAAGCTTTTTCTTAGAGCTGATCTTTTCCCTCAAGTTGGAGAAGCTGTTATTGGTCCCGAGATTCATAAAGAAGTTTTGCTGCCTGCAATGAAAGGGAAAAAAAAGGAAAATGCTGATAGCAAAGCAGTACTACTCAGCTTTAACTAGATGCTCATGTCTTTCTGGAACATCTACACGGGCTGAATTGAGTATTTATCAATGCATTAGAAAATGCAAAGATCAAGACAATCAGAAATAAGGGTATGTTATAACAGATTTCACAGTTGGGCAAAGGAACAATGAGCAGTTCTAGAATATTTCTCCTAAGAGAAATGGTTTGAAGTTGTTTCGCTATTACATTCCTTTTAACAAAAACACACACCCTGCACCTTAAACACTCATTCACCTTTTGCTTTCAAGCACACGAACCAGTTTCCTACTGTTCTGTGTTGATTCCTCTACATCTATCCACATAGAGCAAGGGGGGGGGGATCTGATGGGCAGGAGGACAGGTTTAATCCTGCAATAGCTACACACCCTGTTTCATGCAGCAAACAGGATTGTGCAGCCAATGCAGCAGGGTCTAAATCTCCACTCATCAGCTGAGGGGCAAAGGGTAAAAGCCCTCTGTTCTTTGAAGCTGGAAGTGATGTTAAAAGAAGGGTGGGAGGAGCTTCAGAGAAGTTTGGCAAACTGCCCTCTGAAATGTCTCTCCCCCCCCCCCACCCCCAATTATTTTAACATTGCTCCAAGCAAGGGATTTCGACATCATGCAACATAATGCCGCCATGTGATTGTCAGGTTGAATGCCCCACTCCCTGATACTTGGACCACATGGAGCCAAAAAAATTCCCTGCTCATGACACACGAGGACAATGATCCAGCAGTTCAACTAGTTACCTTATGCATGGCTGCTAGCCAAGTAGCCGATAGCTTTTTGTTGGAATTGAAGTCTTCACCAGCGGTAAATCTAAACTGCCTCAGTTCCTCCAACCCTGGTACCTTGTACTGAAGGAGCATACCTGTAGCGCGAGTATTGCCTCCTAAGGGAAAAAAGTAACCACTGAAAAGAAGGTTTAATCATTTTTCTAGTTCAAACAGAGTGGAGTGACTCCACTCTGCTGTAACGAAGGGGTGCTACAACCCATACAACTTTTGTCTAAAAGCCTTGGTAAGGTAGCCAGGCTGAGTAGTGACATGGTAAACACCACAAGCAAAAAAGTATGCCAATCTCCTAGCTCTGAGTTACATACACTGTTATGTGGGTTCTTGTTAACATGCTTAATGCTGAACAGAGAGGAATTGTGTATTTCCAATACCCCGTGTACACACTATACAGAACATTAGTTTGAGGAATGTGTGTTTGGTGAGTCTAAGAGTTTTGTACTAAACTGTGTTAGGCAAACAAACAGCCATCCTACCCCACAGCACCAACTGAAGTGCTGTATTTGCATACTAGGTGTCAGCAGTGGAATGTTATTTGCCAAAGGTGACCAGAAGGAAGAAGGGCTGACTCCTGCTATATTAGAAGGAATGGAGGTTTGTAAGCATGGATGGAGATGGTCACAGAGTAAAACAGTCCCATCCATGGACCACTGAATGCTTTCCCCAAAATTTCTGGCTTCAGAGGATTGGGATTCAAACAATCAAACGAGACAGTTCAGAAATGAAATTCCAGATTCACACCATCTTTCGTCCTGCAGATTAGCAGACCTTCTGCAAATGGCACTAAAATGCAGAGCTGACGCTGTACATAACAGACTAGGCCTAGTCTGCTCTGTATTTTGTATTCCAAAGGCAGTGCTACTTGAAAAAAGGAATTGGTGTGTGTGTGTGTGTGTGTAAAGGCTCTGGATTATAAAACACTGGCATCACCACCCTCTTCGCTCCCACTCTGTCAATTCTGCAATAAGTATTATACAAGTTGATCAAATGTATTAATGTACGTATTTGGAATCCTGAGGTCTGATTTGTTTGTTTGTTTGCAAGCAAGCCTGGGGCTTAAATCAGGATTCAGCTGAAGCTGGTGAATTCTTCCATCCACAGTATCATTCTATGGCTTGCTTTGTACCAGAAGAATTTCCACAAAGCAAAGGTCCTGTCCCAATGTAGGTATAGGGCAGAATAAATAGTATTAGTAATAATAATAATAATAATAATAATAATAATAATAATGTCATGCTTCTTTGAATTTTGCTTGGATTAATTTATTCAGTTTCTGGGGTGGGGGGTGGGGCGACATGCACAGTGCCGAGGCCTTGACTTGTTTAATATTGTTGCAAAAGGCAGAGAGAGTTTGACCTGATTCAACAGCAAGCAAGCAAGCAAGCAAGCTCAGCAGCAGGTTACATAAGTCACATTGAACCAGAAAAGACAAAAGAGAGGGATGGGAGCAGCGAGCAGGGAGCAGATGGTCTTGCCACTGCCTGATTAACTCAGCAATGAGCAATGATGTAGCAAGGAAACTTTTCCCATTCTGGAAAGTTATCAGTTGCTGTATTTTTCTGTGAAAAACTTTCCAGTTTCCATAAATGCTGTGTTTCATAACAAAAGTAGCAGCATCATACAATAGCAGTCAAGGACAAGTTTTTAAATTCTAATTAACTTTCTTTTCACATGGCTACACCGAAGAAATAGCTACAGAGCCAATGCACAGCTTGATCATGCTAAGATGAATATACCTTGCAACTTTTTCCACTTAAAATTTAAACCGACTAGTATCCAATGTTGTTCAAACCCATCAAAGCCTATTTAGGAGGAGATGGGAGAGAACTGCCAAAAATTGCCTCCCTCTACCATTCTGTTGATGGATTCCTTCCAGGAGCAGACAGTATACCCATAGTAAGCCAAGTACATGCTACTGAATCATGATGTCTTTAAATATTTTAAGTATTCCAATAAAAATAAGTTCTTAAACAAAACTAAGTTTGAATCATTCTAAGTGTGCTTTATTGGATTACCCCCCCCCTCAAAAAAAGTTCAAAAAAGCTTTGAAATATTTGTGGAACAGTAGTTTAGTTTACATTTGGAGAAGACGCACAATCATCCATGGATCAGAGTTCACTGCTTACTGTGCTTTCTGAATGACAGCAAGGAAGCTCTGCTGGTCTCAAGACTATTTTTCAAATAATATGAAACTGCAGCATTTTAAAACTTATTTGACACTTACTAGGGTGGGTACACGCAACCAGCTTCTAAATACCCCTGCATAAAAAACACAGCTATACTGATTCACTGCATTAAAAGTGATGCCTCTTAAACCAGCCTTCTTCAACCTGCTGCCCTCCAGATTTTTCTGGACTCCAACTTCCATTAGCCTCAGCCAGCATGGCCAATGGTCAGGGATGATGGAAGCTGTAGTCCAGAAACATCTAGAAGGCACCATGTTGGGGAAGGCGGGCCTAGAATATCCACTCCATTTGCTACTTCTCACATGCGCGGTGGCAGCCATATGCAACAGGGCAACCATAATGGAGGCTTAGCTAAGGAGCCCACCACATCGCTCTCCTCCCCGCCCAACCAACAGAAGACCATTGTTGAAACTATCTACAAGGCTTACAGTTGCAATGAATGTGTCCTTTGCAGGACTGTTGACATTTATCCAGGCCAGGCATGTTGCGTGAAAGCGTTCCCCAGTATTCCTGCTTCTTTCCATCTCACTTGTAATTAAAGGACCCCTGACCATTAGGTCGAGTCGTGGCCAACTCTGGGGTTGCGGCGCTCATCTCGCTTTACTGGCCGAGGGAGCCGGCATACAGCTTCCGGGTCATGTGGCCAGCATGACTAAGTCGCTTCTGGCAAACCAGAGCAGCGCACGGAAATGCCGTTTACCTTCCCGCTGGAGCGGTACCTATTTATCTACTTGCACTTTGACATGCTTTCGTACTGCTAGGTTGGCAGGAGCAGGGACCGAGCAACGGGAGCTCACCCCGTTGCGGGGATTTGAACCGCCGACCTTCTGATCGGCAAGTCCTAGGCTCTGTGGTTTAACCCACAGCACCACCCGCTGTAATTAGAGTTGTAATTACACAACTCTAAAACCTCCTTTCAGAGAGGTGTCATGGCCCCTTTAAAAAACAACAACAGGAAAAACAAATCTCTCCAATGGAGATGAATAAGCAGGTACACACACAGCACTGGAAGAAAACCCTGCAAAAGGCACCTATTCCTAGTCATCTGGGAGGTCCAATGTGTGCTGATATACGAAGTACAGCCTCTGTGGTCCATTCCAGTGAGATTACAGAGGCAGTACCCTCTGTTTGTACCCTATTCCATCATGTTCAAGTCAAGGCTGTTCCCATTTCTCTACCTTTCATTTCTTTGATGGAATATCTCTCAGTCCAAACCTGGCTGTCAAAGGAGGAGGAGAATATGAACAGGTTGGCTGATAGCTGAGCCAGACAGTTTTTTTTAAGAACAGGTTCAAGCTGGATATAAAAAGGGGACTTAACCTTCTCCAGAACATCAGACAATAGATGGATTTTAAATCGAGCACTAATCCCCCACCCTACCCAAGTACATTTGCCCTAAAGCCTGCAGCAGAAAACATGCATTGAACGGGAGCTACAAAAAGCATGCTTAGAAGAAACTGAGCTCCAGTGCTGACCTTCCATAATGTGTTCATTTTCCAAGAGGCTGGTGTAAGTATGAATGTCTTTTTCTACATCAAGGAGGCAGGCAAGCAGTGAGGAGAAAGATCAATCAAGAAAAATGAGTAAGAAAGTGTTCAGTTTTAAAAGGAAGATTTCATACACAGCCAAAGTATTAAAGGATTTGATTGCAGTTGGATTAAAGCATTTGGAAGAAACATACAGGCCAGAGGTGTGCATAAATACAATCAATGTTACTGAAAGAAATACCGCTTGAATCACTAGTCCTTAATCTTAATATACTTTTGCTCCTTTGTCCCACACCTTCTGTTCTTTTTTCTGTGACTAAAACTACAAGAATGTAAAAGTTCAGCCAGGTCCCAAATGAATTTGACATGTCTCTGGGATAGTGATATTTTTCAGAGTTTGCCCTAACATAGCCATCTCATCACACACATTTAACAGATGGAGACAATGATGAGCATCCTATTGTTTAGAGCAGCTGTGGACAACCTGTTTAGAGCAATATTCCCCAAGGAGTAATCTGCTAGGGGCATATTGGCAAGGAATTGGGCAACAGCCAAAAGTGAGCAGGTCCAACCCTCTCTCTCTTTCTCCCTGCCTCTTCCTTCATGCTAAGCAGGCTATACCATCTCCAATTTAAAGCTTATCAGAAAGCATTCATTTTTGTTACTAATGTTTACTCACTACATTAGCCCAAGATCCACCAAAACAGAAATATTTCATGAATAGCAGCACCATGAAATTTAGGTGCATTATGACCCACATATTTTTCATTAACATTGTCAGCACTGCTTTTTAGCAAGTTACCCAGTTGCTATTGGCAACTGGAAGCAGTTTCTAGGCATCCAAATGGTGACTCAGAGTTCCAAATTTGCAGCATATTCTTTTTAAAAACCCACTGGGCATGCTCAGTGCATTGTTTACTGAATAATCTTAAACCAGAAGTTTCACAACAAATTGCCTGCTTTGCATTTTGCAAAGCATTCCACTGTTTGTATCTCTTTTTAAAAAACACAGAGGAAGACCTAATAAAGTAAGATTTAAAATCATCAGACTGTCTGTGCTTTGTGAAATGTGGGCTTGCATTTTTCTTCGTCTGGGGCCAAATGACGGGAAGCTTTGAAATGAATTCTAATTGGTTGTTTGAATTCTATGAGAGCTATATAAGGGTGCTTTTATATATTTGGCAAATAAAAACAAGAAGGCTTTACTAATGCTAAGAAATGATCTCTACTGTCACATGGTGGGGGGGAGAGGGGAGAGAGAGAGAAGAGGAGAAGGTTATGATGTTCACTTCCAAGACCCTGCACAGTCTTGTAAACAGCTGTCAGTTTTGGCAAAAAGGTGGTTATGTCATGTCTTTGGACAGTAAGAATCCAAGAATCAGATTCAGCAATGAAACAAAACGATACAACTGTGGCTGCATTTTTTTAAATATGCTCTGCTCTTGTTCTTCATTAAGCAATTGAAAGGAAAAGAGATGATTCTAAAATTCATGTATGCATAAACAGACAGGGTACTAAAACATTTATAGGACAATAACTTTAGTGAACTTATCTAGCATGACAAATATCAGATCCTACACCTGGCAAACAATGCATGCATTTTAATACGCTCATTACTCACAAATGGGAAAACCCAAAAGCTAACAGTTGAATATATCTTGATGTGCAGGCAACTCACAAAGGTTGAAGAAAAGATCATCACCTCCAATCCTTCAGCATCTGTTGGCATTATATTAATCTGCAGTCATGAGGGCTAGAAACTTTTTTCCAGATTACATGGAAACTAAGTTGCTAGCAGCCTGTCACAAACTGTGAACAAATGCCCTATACAGTCATACATCGGGTTACAGCTGCTTCAGGTTGCGGACCACCGAAACCCGGAAGTACCGGAATGGGTTACTTCTGGTTTTCAGTGGTCACGCATGCGCAGAAGCACTAAACCGTGCTTTGCGCATAAGTGCCAAATCGCAACCCGCGGGTTGCGAATGCTGCGGGTTGCGAACGTGCATCCTGCATGGATCACATTCGCAACCAGAGCATCCACTGTAGTCAACATGCTCTCTGTGATGCTATAACTGCCTGCCATTGTGTTAACCATTGCCAGTCAGTTATACCTCATACTTTTTGCAGTAGGTGCTTCAAGATTATGATCTCCATTTACAACCTCGTCACAACACAGAGGTAAGTGCCTTCTGAAAAGAAGCAGTCAGTTCTTCTCCAGGCAGTGAAGCATCTAGAACTGGTGTGATGGCTCTAATTGCTTGGGGAACAAGAAAGCTGTTTCCTGTTCAGCTTATATGGGGGAAAGGTGAGTTAAAGGTTTTTTGGAATTTACATTTCATATAGAGGACTGGGGAAAGTCCCAGAAGGTACAAAAAGTGAGGGAATGGAACTCAAAAGCAAGGGAGTTAAAGGAAAGTCGAGAACTAGGCAAGGGAAGGATCCATTTAGAAGGTTAAAAATAGAAATAGGCTAGAGGAACTGAAAGCAAGAATGAGCTATGCAGAAACCTCACTGAAGTCTATTGTGGGTAGAGAAAATGTGGAATTCTAGGAAGGTTTGTAAAGAGAAGGATGGCAAAAAGGAAGTGGGACAAAGTAGGCAGTAGCTTGAAAAATAAAGGGAGGAAAAAAATGGGTAATGGAGACATCTAGCCAATGAGAAAGGACTGCTTCTCTCCATATGGACCTACCAGCTCCCTGCAATCATCGTCTGAGGCCTTTCTTTTTGTGCCTTCCCCATGAGAGGTCAGGAGGGTGGCAACATAAAAACAGCAGTAGCTCCCCATTTGTGGAACGCTCCCCCCCGGGAGGTTTGGCTGGCACCTTCATAATACCCCTTTAGGTGCCAATGAAAACACTCCTCTTCAACCAGGCCTTTAAAATATGTTTGTGGGAGGGGGTGTGAGGAGATGAGGGTTTATTGGTTTGTGGTTTTGTTGTTCTTGTTCTTGTTTTTATCTTGTATTTTTATGTTGTGAACCACCCTGAGATCTATGGATAACGGGCAGTATACAAATTTAATAAATAAAAATAAATTAAGAAAAGAGAAAGTACGACTGAGACATGTACTGTTAACAAGAACAAAGCAACGGAGGGAGCCAACAGTAAGCAGGGCTACTAGGTCTGGAATACAGACCTGGATAGGGGGATTCTGCTACTTGTAGCTTCTGCTGTCAATGGAGCATTATGACCTGGCAACCCTAAGACAACAAAGGAAGTTAAAAAGCAGTGAACTATAGGGATTGACCCAAAATTCATACACTGATTTGGAATAAATAGCCAACTGTTTTTTGTCTGCACTTAAGTTAAGCCAGAATTCTACTGAATTGGACATCGGTAAAAGGACTGAGTTCCAAATGTACAAAAAGCACTGGGCTAGGCTTCCTGAATCAAGGTAACAGAGCAACATCCCTGTCTTCAGGGTAGGCCGAAACACTACCAGCTGCTGGTTAAACATCAGTTAATTCTGTACAAGATTTACCTCCAGGAGTAAATCCCTCAGTAAGTATCTGGACTGTGGAAATCTGTGCAATTTCAATTTCATAATGGCTCTCTCCATCCAGAAATAGGTATCTACACACAAAAGAGGAGAACACCACCATATGTCAATCTGCAGGGCTCACAATACATACCAGTCACACTGGTAAGAAGCACACGTTCTACTAATATAGATCCGTTGATTTTTTAGATAGGCAAAGCATGGCAAAGATCATTAGATTTAGGTACAACTGTTACTTAGGTGGTTATCCTGCACTACTTCAGTCTGCAAGTAGGGGGTCATGACTGAATGCTCCTTCATTTAAAAACTGCCTTGACACAAACACCCCCAAATATAGGAACTAGATGTCACTGAGAACAGCTCTAGTTTAGTAAACCAGCATGCCAGCAGAAGGCTATGTGCAGGAAATTTGTTTATATAGAACAGCAGTGAATTTTGCTGTCCCTTCCACCAGATTCCTTCCATCTCGTGTCCAGGTCCCTCTTGAAATGGTAGATAGTGCAGGAGGTGATTCTTCACATTCTATGAATTTAGGCTATTGAGGCAGTGAATTCTGCAGAGTAATTCTCAGAGTTCTACTGCATTCATGGTGCCCAAACAAGACATGTCTTGGAGGGACATTTTGAAATTCCTAAACCTATTATAAAAAATTCAAGCTGGAGTCCCTCTTTACCATCAAGGATTACCATCAGATCCTACCCTGGTTGTGTGGGTAGGGTAGCTGTCTAAGGTTGGTTTGCTGATTGCACTATTACCTTGTCTCTGACTGGCAAAAGAAGCACAGGACAGGCAAATTGCTATTTGGTTTTACATGGATATTTGCATTGCTGTGTTCCTCCTGCATTTTTCTGTGTGTCTTTGACCTACCAGAGCAACTTCTGGCCTGGAGTCTGCACAATGCAAGGCAATCTACTTCCTCAACACTGCAATCCTATGGGTGATAGATGGCAGTATCTACCCATCTGGTAGATTGTCCTCCAGTAGAAATTACTTTCGGGTTAGGCCAACAACAGTGGGACTGTCCATGAGCTATAAAATTTTGGTTAATGGTCACTTCTGAAATGTTTGCTCCTCTAGTTCACGGATAAGAGTAAAAATAGTGAGCGATCCATTAAAGCAGTGGTTCCCAACTGGCGGTTCATATAACCCACCCAGGGGATCCGTAGCACCATTTGCATAACAAAAACTACCATAGAGTTATCAAAGAGGGGGTCCATGGCTTGGCTTTTGCAAACAGGGGGCCCACAGTACTTACGTAACTGGGAACCACTGCATTAGAGTATTAGGATATGGTACTGCACCCAGAATCTACAGCAAGAATGATGCATGGGAGTCACCAGAAAGATGCAGCCAAATACACAAAAAGAAAGAATGGATGCTGTAGATATGTGGGAGATTGTGAAACTGCTTAGATTTTTTGTAATGAAAAGAGCTTGTAGATATCAATTAATCAGGTTGAATTACCAGATGGAGTTTCCCTCCCACCTCACTCCAAGGTTACTTTTGTACATTCAAAACTTTACACTGAAACTTATTTATCAGTGCCATACTGGTTCAAAACCAGTTTTTACTGATGCTTTCGGTTATGTGATGCATTACTTTGAAAACAATTTAAATGCCTACATTAGTTGCCCAGAGACAGCTGTTATTTGGATGGATTCAGAGATCACAGATTTACTGCTACTCAATATCAAATCAAACCAAACTGAAGTGTGCTGCAAGTTTCAGCAGCCCAAACTACTGGTTGTTATAACAGCTGGAATAGAGACTGGCAAAATCAATTCTTGGGAAGCAATAAGGATCTAGAATTGCAGCTTATGCAACAGCACTATGAAGAATAAGACTAACTGCTGAGCAAGTCCTAGTAGCCAATGAAGAACACTTCTCACCTCTGGTTGTTGGAAAGTCGACAAACCATCATCTCTGACTTTTCTGATGTCCCTGGAGTTACAAAGAATGTAGCACCTAGATATCCAGGAAACAGGGAGGGGAAAAAGGAAAATATGCACTTAATATGCCTAGAATTTATAATTAAGATAATGACCTTGAAAGATCTGGTTCTAAACCTGCCTATTGAGGTAGCTATGAATTCATGGTTTATTAAATATTCTCAGATCTACTTTAAGTGAAAAAGCAGTGACAGCACGTTCTATCATGATTAATGAAATATAATAATATATGATATGAAGTCATTTAGGAGTTTAAGCTACCATTCAGAAGAACTAGGACGTTTCTGACTACATTATGCTTAGGAAAATATACCTTATTTTTGCACTTAAAAGAGTGACTTGCAGGTTACTATTCCAGTGTAAATTAATAAGAAGAAATCCCTTGTTCTCTTTATGCTGAATGCTCTTTAGCTATTAATCTAAATATTCTGAAAGAGCTGAAACAATGCTGCACAAATTGAAATCAAAGTTTTCTACATTGGATAGAGGTTTATTTTGCACGTTTACAATTTGGGCAAGAATTGTGTGCATTAGATACTGAAATGTGAATGATGTACAAAGGGAAACTATTACATAAGAATCATCCTTCAAACTCACATGCAGAACATGCCATCCTTATTCACTGTGCTTGTTGCTGACTTTGTATGGTTTCCTGAATGTCAAATTAAGCTGAACACACAGAATAGGCATTAAAAAGTGTCAAAGAACATTTCTAAGAAAAATAATATTGACAGAGCAACATGGCCATTTGCCACTATAAAAGGACTGAGATTTGCCATTTTCATGATCTGACACTTCAGACAGATTCCCAAACTGAGAGAATGCATTTTTATCTAGCACCATATATTTTTTTAAAAGGTTGCCTTCTTTCTGATATTATAACCATTTATTTTAAAAAGCACATGATTATTAATTGCCCAAAACAGACCTTTAAATACTGCCTTTTAGATAGTTAAGTACGAATTCTATAGAATCAAACAGCAAATCACACTGTCATTTATCATGCTAGATTTAATACAAAACTCCAAAGTCAACTCTAATTTCCCATGCCCAGCAAAAAAAGCAAAAATCTGACCTATGGGCAGCCCATGCTTAGTACTTACCATTCATAAGCACTTTGAGCTGCTTGTCATAGAACTCTGCTTCTTTTTGAGAAATGAGAGCACATTCGGCGCACTGGCGCACAGGATCAACAAAGCACATACGAGGAAGAGGCACTTTCTTGCTGCAGCATTTGTCACAAAAGCACTTTCCGCATCTCCTGCAGTGGTGCTGGGGGGAGGGCAAGGAGAAACAAAGGAAAAACTGTATCAGCAAAGTTGGAGCTTTGTGTTAAAACCGATGGTTCTAGCATATGACTGAAACGCAGATGAGAGATAAATATAGTATGCAGTGTTTGAGGGATGGAGGGGATAGCCTCGAGATGCCTAGTTAAAGAGTGCCAGAATGATTGTCAAAATGAAAACTATGGAAAAGTGTATTTTGATCTAAGTGAATCAGGAATCGCTGCCTTTTCAGATTTATAATGCACAACAATAATTGCTTCCCCTCTTCTCAAGTCTACTTCATTGAAATTGTAGTTATCAAGAACATTAAAATGTTCTCCCTTTTCCCTGTTCTGATAAAGCATGCAACATTCAACATGCTTGAAGTGTCAACACTGTGAAATTCATGTTTAAGCACTCAACTTCACTGCAGGGGAAGAGCAGAAACCTGCAAACTATTGTCAAAATGTAATATGCTACAGTGTGTTCCCTATCTTAGTCTCTGAACGTCCTATATAGCACTCTAAGTGAGTGGGCACTGGTTCCCAGGATGACGTAAAGTGAATAATTATGTTTTTTAAGTCTGAAAAAAAAAGCTGAATATAGATGAAAGATGTGTCAAAGTTGCCCACTCCAAGATTTTAAAAATAGCAAAAGATGGCAGCCTTGTGGCAATATTTACTAGTTACTGTGTAGTAAGGTAAAGGCCACATTTGTGTGTCATGCTAAGCCATAGTTTAATAAAACATCAAGACATTGCAATGTACCTCTGGTTCATGCCCCCCCCTTTCATTTCCCTACACAGCTGAGAGGTGGCATTCATAAGTTTCTGTTTTGTTTGTTTGTTGTAGTCAACAGCTTTCCTCAGGAGACCCACTGTAATAAATGGACCCAAGTTAGTCAGTGGCTGCATTCTGAGTAGATGTTAGTTGAATACAACCCTTTGTCACAACTGACAGTGGCTAACAGTCATTATAGTTTAACTGAAACAAACTATAGTGCTGACCACAGTTTGTCTAGAGGTTAAGGAGAAGTGGGATGATTCCAAACTTCTCCTGGTCATGAAAGAGGATGTTTTTTTCTGGGAGTGGGAGAAGTGAACAAGTCCAAAGCTCACTGCAGCTCATTCAAATTTTGCTAAACTATGGCAACTGACAATTGCTGTGAGTGAAATACGCACATAGGAAGGAGCTTCAATATAATTCATACTGCAGCAGCTCAAGGTGGACAAACCGTAACATAAAATTAAAGAGGGGCTTTTGTCACTAGCTATTATAAGTAAAGTGCTCAGGGGAAAACTACTCCTTTCCTCCCAAAAGCAGCCCAACTGTAACATTCATATGCCTAATTCTGGATCATGGCCAGTGACGATGCCAATTTTACCTCAGAACAAGGTTTCATATTTTGGTGTATATTTTGCGTTTATCTTCTTACCTTTCTGGTTATGAAGTCAAACTTTGCATTGCACTGCATGCATCTGGGACACTAGAAGATAGTAATGGAAAATATGGGAAGACTTGTGCCCAAAACTAAAGGAATGCATTTAGTACTTCATCAACATATTTATATGCATTTACTTCTATTGTGTCCTAGTCTCGTCTGTAGAAAAACACACACAAGTTAGAACTGGAATTACTGAAAGGTATTTAAAGAATAACCTCATCTGCCCATTACTTTTCAAGTAGAAGATTTCATAGTACAACTAGGAAGGGGGGCCCAGGACCCTCCATATATTGTCGAACTACAACTCCCATCATCCCTGACAACTGGCCATGCTGGCTAGGGCTGATGGACTTAGGAGTCCAACAACATCTTAAGGTTCATGTTCCCCACCCCTGCTTTAGAGCTGTATATACAGAATAGTCCATATGGTAGATTCAACTACAGTGGTGCCTCGCAAGACGAAATTAATTCGTTCCGCGAGTTTTTCGTCTTGCGGTTTTTTTCGTCTTGCGAAGCACGGTGTCGGAAAATTTTTGGAAAAGCTTCAAAAATCACCAAAGTCTTCAAAAACCTCAAAAAGGCTACCACACCGCAGTGCTATGAGTTGCTCCTCGAAGTCAAGTCGCAACTGTATTAACGGTTTTAAGAAAAAGGAAACAAACTTGCAAGACGTTTCCGTCTTGCGAAGCAAGCCCATAGGGAAAATCGTCTTGCGAAGCAACTCAAAAAACCAAAAACCCTTTCGTTTTGCGAGTTTTCCGTCTTGCGAGGCATTCGTCTTGCGAGGTACCACTGTACACAAAGCAGACAAACTACAACAGGGAATATGCAAACTATCATGAAGTTTACCTGTGACTTCTCTTTCTAAGAGACCCCTCAATGGATACTGTTATTATCGATAAAAGATACTGAGAAACTGTGATTACCAATAAATTCATTTCACACATTCTTTTGTCTCATATAAACATGAAGTTCCTGGAGAACCTGATTCCTTTGTAAGCAAGATAAAAGCCAATTTTTCTGCTAACCGGGTGCAAAGGGTTCTCAAGGCTCAAAAAGCCATTTAAGCTTATGCATAACCTGACATTGTTATTGAACGTGGAACAGTATTCTCTCAGATTCAGCCATGTCTCATCTCACCTCAATACCCTCCTCTGAGGCCTGCATTTGACCTTACTCCCTCACCAACATTCTTTATTATCTCTGTTGGGTATTCCCTTTTTGACTGCTTTACACATACCCAACCTTCCTGTTGCTCTGTCTCTTGATCCTCCCATGCCTTGCAGTTCCCTGATGCAACAGCTGCCTCAGAAGACTTGTCTGGTCTTCCACCACTTCTACCTACTTCTGAGACTCCACAGCTTCTACCTTCAGTCTTTCTCAGGTCTTGACTTGCTCATGAGTCAATAAATTATGACCACTCCTTCTACCTTTTTGTTGAAAAATGGTTTAAGCTCCACTCATCCCCCATCTTGATTTACAGCAACTGTTTTCTCTCTGACCTTCTGTTAACACATCTCCAACTTCTCACCTCTCTCAGGAACTCCACAGCCAAAATAACCCGCTACTTAGCCTCTCCTTTAGATTCCTGTGCTAGCTTCTCATCAGCTCCCACACCCAGCACAAACTGCTGCTGATCCTTAACTCGGAGCGTGTAATTTCAGAGTTGGTGCTTGGTGAGGAAGCAGCCAAATCCACACACATTAGCAGAATGAGGTGGCCGAAGAGAACAGGTCAGGTTACCACCAGAATAGAGTTCAGATTACAGGTGGGATTATTAGCTTCCGAATGCTCTTCCCCATTCGCCGCACTAACACACACAACAAAAATCCTCCCTGCAAACAAAAAAAGCTAGCACGTCAATTTCAAGCGGAGGAATGAGGAACTGATGACCCTCCAGACATCACTGAATGCCCAACTCCACCCATCCATGGCTGGGGTTCATGGGAGCTGGAGTCCAGCAAACCTTCTAAGGGACTCCTTGCCACTCCTTTCGGCACCTCCTAAAAACATTCTTGTCCAGACAAGACTACCCACATGCTTCGAAAGCCAAGGTCAAAATCTTTCCTATGCTTTTAAGCATGGAATTTTTCTAGATATATATATATATCGAGAGAGAGAGAGAAATTTCATGCTGAAAAGAATGTGTGTATGTACACACACACACACACACACACGAAAGTGCTCCCAGCTGCAGCATACACCTTGGCGCAAGGCGCTGGCTTTCTACTTGCAGGGAAGCTACCGTGATCATATTTCATAATTGGAAGGGACCGTAAGGGTCAGCTTGTCCAACCCCTCAGGAACGCTATTGTGATGTTCTGTATTATGTCTTGATTATTATTATTATTATTGTGCCTCGTAAATTATGTTCTTAATGCTGTGCACCGCCCTGGGGTCTCTGGATACAAAGGGCGGCATATAAACCGAACAAATAAATGATATATATAAAGCGAGGACATTCCGCGAAGGGCCCAACCGGGGGGCTGTCAGGGCAGGGTCGTCCTTCTCCAGCCGAGGCGGGGAAAGAGAGACCCTGAGGCGGGCGAGGCGAGGGAGAGCCAAGCCCAGTTTAGGGATGGTGGTTTCTTTTGGGGGGTGGGGGTGTCTCCCCTTCCCCCGAGGTTCCTCAGGCGGGATTTCTGAGGGGAATCGCTATGGGGAGCGGCTGGAGCCTCGCCTTCCCCGCCCTGCGCTGCCTCCGTTACCTCCTTATCGGGCACCCACGGCGGCTCCTCCAGCCCGAAGGGGCTCCCCGCCGAGCGGCTCTCGGGCACCATCCGGAGCCCGCTGGGAGAGCGGACCAGCTTCTTGGCGTCGAGGGCCTCCCGGCCCGACATCTTTCGCCTCACAGCCGCCGCCGCCGCTCGGCGACTCGCCCGAAGCCACCAGCTCGTGGCAAAGCCGCCCCCGCCAATCAGCGCTGCTTGGGCAGAAGACGGGCGTCCAAGCCGCCCAATGAAACTCTTTCAAAAAGCCCTTGTCCCTTCCGCCCCGCCCACCAACCTCGGTCTGTTGTTTTTCCCCGCCGCGGGGAGGCGCTGAGGGACGTCCCCGCCCGTCCGCCCGTCGACGGGACTCTTTTGAGCCAATCCCGTCGGCTCGTGAAGGCCCGTCGCGCGCGGAATGGGAGGGGGGAGCTCCAGCGCGTGCGCAGTTTGCAAGAGAACGTTTGCAGGAAACCGTACTTTCTTCGCCCTTTCTGATTGGCTGTGAGGTCTCTGAAGCGTTCCCGGATTGGCTCGCGCGCAGCGCGGGCTACGATGGCCCGCTAAGGGGAGGTTTGCAGGTTTGCAGTTGCAATGCAAGTCCTGCTCTCTGGCGTTGCGTGAGTGCGGCTGCAGTTGCATTTGCGGTAGGTTGTTTCCGCGCGTTGTAACGTGGTTGTTCCTCAGGGACAAGGGGGAAAAGCACACAATTTAAATTAGGGGCCAAGGGATGGAAAGATCACGAGGCTCCAAAAATAACAGATTGGCAAATCAAATTACAGGAATTGGTGGAGACGGCTCAATTGACTTGCAAACTCAGAGGAATCTCAAAGCGAAAATTTGCAGGAAAATGGGATGGTTATAGAAGATATGTTCAAAAATACAATAATAGTTTTGACTCCGTGCTAGTGTTAGAGTGATAAAGGAACTAAAAGGAGGTGGACAACAATTAAGGATTTATTATGTTTTCAGAATGTATTGGAAAATTTATATAGAAAGATTTATTGTTTTGTGTATATTCGATTGTAAGATAAAATATATGCAAAGGGACTTGACAGGAAGTCAAAGTTGAAGAAAAGATTTTGTAAGATAAAAGGGGGGGAAATATTTACTTTCATTATTATCATTGTGGGTGTCTGCACATATGTGTGTTTTTGTATGGAATGTTTGGCAGGAAATAAGATGGTAAATAACAAATGACAGACTAAATATTGATATATGTAATTTTTATTCCTTAATTATATTTAGTGGTAGTATGGTTGTATTGTTTTTTGTAACATAAAATAATTCAATAAAAATTAAAAAATAAAAATTAGTTGCAGAGGACCTTGGCTTCTGCTTGGGGGCCTTTGGAATTTTGGTCTCTTGCATGCCTGATCGGCTGCAGTTGCTGCACATGCTGAAGAATCTCAGGAGGAGAAAACCCTTATTGGCTTCATTAGAACATGCAGAGGCTACAGCAGGCACCCCCAAACTCGGCGCTCCAGATGTTTTGGGACTACAATTCCCATCATCCCTGACCACCGATCCTGTTAGCTAGGGATGATGGGAGTTGCAGTCCTAAAACATCTGGAGGGCCGAGTTTGGGGATGCCTGGGCTAGAGAGTGCTTAGGACCACAAATTTACTTGGAGGTGAGTCGGGTGGCTAATTTGAAACACTGAGAGCATGACACAAGAAGTATGCAACCCAATCCAAAGTTTATTCCTAGATATGTTTTTGTATATTTATTTTCTTATGCTTCTACCACAGGCAGGACATGAGCACAATAGCACTTTAATTGCTAGTGAGCCACAGCAACTGGGATTCAAAGAAACACCTTCTCCTATACAGTGGTGCCTCGCAAGACGAAATTAATCCGTTCCGCGAGAGTCTTCGTCTAGCGGTTTTTTCGTCTTGCGAAGCAAGCCCATTGACGGATTAGCGCTATTAGCGCTATTAGCGGTTTAGCGGCTATTAAAGGCTTAAAGGCTTAGGGGATTAGCTGCTAAAAGGCTATTAAAGGCTATTAAAGGCTTAGCAGATTAGAGAAAGGGGGGGGAAAGCGAAAAAAAAATCTCTAGACTCGCAAGACATTTTCGTCTTGCGAAGCAAGCCCATAGGGGAATTCGTCCTGCGAAGCAACTCCAAAACGGAAAACCCTTTCGTCTAGCGGTTTTTCCGTCTTGCGAGGCATTCGTCTTGCGGGGCACCACTGTACTGGAGGAAATATAAGCACTGTGACTAGCAGATCCGATAACCTTAAACTCCCTGAATTCATCTAATCCGCTTTTGGAGATATCAAAGTAGGTGACCCAGGTGGCCTGTGGGTTACAGGTGGCACTGTGGGTTAAACCACAGAGCCTAGGACTTGCCGATCAGAAGGTCGGCGGTTCGAATCCCTGTGACGGGGTGAGCTCCCGTTGCTCGGTCCCAGCTCCTGCCAACCTAGCAGTTCGAAAGCACGTCAAAGTGCAAGTAGATAAATAGGTACCACTCCGGCGGGAAGGTAAACGGCGTTTCCGTGTGCTGCTCTGGTTCGCCAGAAGCGGCTTAGTCAATGCTGGCCACATGACCCGGAAGCTGTCTGCGGACAAACGCCGGCTCCCTCGGCCCATAGAGCGAGATGACCGCCGCAACCCCAGAGTCGGTCACGACTGGACTTAATGGTCAGGGGTCCCTTTACCTTTACCTTAAGAAGGTGACCATCAGAACATATTGTGGTAGCAAATTGCATCCTTTAAATATGTGCTGTGTGAAGAAGTCCTTCCTGGATGAAGGAGCTAAGAATTATTATATTATTATTATTATTATTATTATTAATGCCCCGCCCAACTGACTGGGTTGCCCCAGCCACTCTGGGAGGCTTCCAACACATATAGAAACATAATAAAATGTCAAATATTAAAAACTTCCTGATACAGAGCTGCCTTCAGATGTCTTCTAAATGTTGTGTAGTTCTTTATCTCCTTGACTTCTGATGGGAGGGTGCTCCGCAGGGAGGGCACCGAGAAGACCCTTGGAGCTGGACTTCAGTGTCCAGGCTGAACAATTGGGGGTGGAGACGCTCCTACAGGACTGAGGCCATTTAGGGATTTAAAGGTCAGCACCAACACTTTGAACTGCGCTCAGAAACGTACCGGGAGCCAGTGTTTGTTATGTGGTCCCGGCGGCTGCTCCCAGTCACCAGTCTAGCTGCCGCATTCTGGATTAGTTGTAGTTTCTGAGTCACCTTCAAGTTGGCATACTTGTGTCTCTAGGAGGTCTCTCCAGGCACTGGGCCAACCCTTGGCTTGCTTAACTTCATCAAGATAGTGACCTCATGTGCCTTCAGAGCATGCCCTGTGTACATGTGCATAGAAGCCAGCCTTGAAAGGAAAGAGGAAGTGATGGTAAGATCTGGTAGTGATGCTGACAAAGGAGGTTACCATCTTTTTTTTCGGGAACTTTCTTAAGTTTTCTCTTAGTCATATTCTTTTCTTCTCCACGCTTGCCATAGCTGCTGTGTTGCAGGATATTGGCTCAGCATTTGTGACGAAATGGACTGGGAACAGCTTGACATGAACCCCAGAGTGATTGCAGCAATTAAGAAAGGTAATTTGGCTATTTACTCCTATTCTCATGTTTGCACATCACACAATCACTGTACAGGCATAAAGAGGTTTTTTTTTGGTTTTTTTTAAAGTCTCTTGCTACATTTGACATAGGGGAAATGTCCTCAGACTAGATAGGTTGCTGTTGCTGCCACCAGGTAATTGCACATGCAGCCCAGACCTGTTAGAAATGTTCCACTCATTTTCCAATAGGATTTGCATCTAGGTAGATGTGTGTAGGATTACAACTTTGCAACCCAAAACTTATTGATCTCAGTGGGATCAGACATATATAGATCTGTATTTGGTTGTCTATAAATCAAACTTCCCCATCCTGGTGCCTTCCAGATGTTGGTGGTGATAAATACAGAAACTTCATCTCAGAACAGTAATTGTCAGTGCAGTCGTATACCATAAGGTGCACCTAGATTTTGGAGGAGGAAAACAAGAAAAAAATATTCTGAATCCCAGAAGCCAGAACAGCAAGAGGGATCTGGCTTCTGGGATAGCCTCTGGCTGTTCTGGCTTCTGGGATAGCCGCACCAAGCCTCTTCAGGGCAGCGGGATGAAGGCTCCCCCTGCCTGAAGAGGCTGCGCACGGCTAAGGCAGAAGCCAGGACAGCAAGCGGGATCGCTGCGCAGGAGAGGCGCTGCACAGAGAGGGAGAGTTGCACAGCACCCCTTCAGCAAAGCGGGAGGAGGAACAGAAGGAGCCCCTTCTGTTCCTCCTCCCGCTTCGCAGGACAGGCACGTCGCTGAAGGGGCGCTGCGCAGTTCTCCCTCTCTGTGCATCGCCATTTGCTCCATAAGACGCACTCACATTTCCCCTTACTTTTTAGGAGGAAAAAAGTGCATCTTATGGAGCGAAAATACGGTAAATTTCTGTTCAGAAGTAAGGCTGAGGAGTTCAACAAGTTTTTACTCCCAGGTTAGTATGTGTAGGACTGTAGCCTAAGGGCCTAAAATACAACACATGCCCAAGAGCTGTACTCCGCTGCTACTACTACATTTCATATTTTTTTAAAAAATCTAAGCAGGTTATGTTCAATCACTTTTCTCATTTCAGCAAAAATCAAATCTATCCAAGAGATTATGAACCTTTCAGGAGCAGATTTGCAAAGGCTGACAAATCTGTCCCGTACGGATGTACAGTACCTGCTAAGGGCCATTTCTGGTGCATTAAGGAAAAACTCTGTGCTTACAGGTAAATAGTTCTACTTTTTCATGATGTTTCTTTAAATGCACATTTAAAGAAATATCATGAGTTTGCAGCATGGATATGAATGTATGGCTTTATCCAGTTATGTCCTTCCCCAATTGGGAGTTCTGAAAATGGAAGATTCTCTGATCTAGCAGATGTGAAGGGATCAACGTAAATTGTGATAACATTTGGATCTGTTCAGGGAAGTTTTTAATGTTTGATGTCATATTCTGTTTTAATTTGTTGGAAGCTGTCCAGAGTGACTGGGGAAACCCAGCCAGGTGGGCAGGGTGTGTGTGTGTGTGTATTTATATAAAATTATTATTATGTTTGATATGGCTACACAGGGATTGGGGATGGAAATACCAGCTTTTTTCTTTCCTGAATCCTCCTTTTAGCTCTTCAGCTATTCCAGGACAGAAACCACAACACTTCCCAACACCAGAAGCTAAGCCTGGGCTGCCCGATTCTGGACAGCTTGCTACAAGGCGGCATTCCCCTTGCAGGAATCACCGAAATTGCTGGCGAAAGTTCTGCTGGGAAGACCCAGATTGGTTTGCAACTGAGCCTTTCTGTGCAATATCCGTACAAATACGGTGGACTGGAATCTGGTAAGAAACATACATTTCTGTACATGTGTTTGGCGTGTCTAGTATCTGTAGGAGAGGTACTGCATGCTTGAAAAACCTGTGCCCAAATAAATCAAATTCTTCAACTGGCACATCTTAAGTTCTCTGATTTGTGATAATCGTGCACTACTTTTATTCTGCATAGTGTTTATTCTGGCTTTGCTTATCCTTTGGAAGAGCAAGAGGCTCTGCATTGGGCTTCAACTACTTGCTTTGTTATGGAGAGGGGCTTGAGGCTCCACTGAGCATTGCCAGCCCACTTTGCAACATGACTTTTCCATTCTTGTTCAGATATACCGTATTTTTCTGTGTATAAGACTAGGAGTTTTTTTAACCAAAAATTTAGGTTTACAGTTGGGGCTCGTCTTATACATGGGTAGTGCTGAAGGGTGTTTTCTTAATTTGGAGTCCCCCCCAAATAGGGGGCATCTTATACATAAAAAGGTAAAGGACCCCTGACAGTTAAGTCCAGTTGCGAACAACTCTGGGGTTGCAGCGCTCATCTTGCTTTACTGGCCGAGGGAGCCGACGTTTGTCCGCAGACAGTTTTTCGAGGTCATGTGGCCGGCATGACTAAGCCGCTTCTGGTGAAACCAGAGCAGTGCACGGAAACGCCGTTTACCTTCCCGCCGGAGAGGTACCTGTTTATCTACTTGCACTTTGACGTGCTTTCAAACTGCTAGGTTGGCAGGAGCTGGGACCGAGCAACGGGAGCTCACCCCCATCACAGGGATTCAAACTGTCGACCTTCCGATCAGCAAGCCCTAGGCTCAGTGGTTTAGACCACAGCGCCACCCATGTCCCTTGAGTTATACATGGGGGCGTCTTATACACGGAAAAAATATGGTATTTTGTACCACTTGCTGTGCCCACAAAATGCAAGTCAACCAGCCTAACATTGAAACTTGTGACAGGTTGACATACCACTGCTTTTACAACAAAAGTGCTGTTTCCTCTGTGTGATTTATCCAATGAAAACCAACAGCCTTGGTATATTCTTCCACCCTGCTGCCATGATGGAAAGCCTGTCATTCCAGGAGTTCCCTTCTGTATTTTGCAGGTGCTGTTTACATTTGTACGGAAGACGTTTTCCCAAACAAGCGCTTGCAGCAACTGATTGAGCAGCAGCCCAAAGTGAGGGCTGACATTTCGCCTGATGTGGTGCAAAAAATAAAATTTGGAAGTGGCATTTTTGTTGAGCATGCCGCAGACCTGGTGAGTAGCAGAGCGAGTTTCTGGCTGGTAGGTTACATGGATCTAGGGTAGTTGAACCGAAATCTCATTGAAAGCAATGGGACAAGTTAGTTATGACACCTAAAGGACCCATCTCTGCTTTGTGCAAAACACATAGAGCAGTACCATTTGAAATCCCACAGCTGGTACCCAGTACAGTGGTGCCCCGCAAGACAAATGCCTCGCAAGACGGAAAACTCGCTAGACGAAAGGGTTTTCCGTTTTGGAGGTGCTTCGCAAAACGAATCTCCTATGGGCTTGCTTTGCAAGACGAAAATGTCTTGCGAGTTCCTGCGGGGTTTTTTTCCTTTCCCCCCCCCTTTTTCTAAGCCGCTAAGCCGCTTATCCGATAAGCCGCTAATAGCGCTAATCCGCTAATCCGTCAATGGGCTTGCTTCGCAAGACGAAAAAACCGCTAGACGAAGAGACTCACAGAACGGATTCTTTTCGTCTTGCGAGGCACCACTGTACTTCAGCACCTCAGTTGGGGTGATAATTCATGGGAAAGGCTGCAAAAATGCGAAGTCCTTGCTGGATGCAGAAATTAGTTTTTTGGGAACCTGAACTTTCATGGTTTATTGTTTTTCTTTCAAAAACAAAAGTTTCTAGACATTAGGGCTATGAAAAGGTACTTGAAAGTGTGTAGGTATTGCTGCTGAAATCTTGGAAGCTATGAAGTGATTGACTAAAGTTTTTGCTGCCCCACATATCTCCTTGTCTCTCGTTAGCACATTCAGAATATTATTTTAAAAAATTAAAATTGCACACAAACATGCATAATTTATGAAAGTAGCAGAATTTCACTAGTATTTTTTTTTAAAAAAGCAGAATCGGCAGTGTTTTGAATTTAATTTTAAAGTTATGGACGTTATATTCTACCAGGGTGGATAAAAATCAATGATATTTTTTAAAAAAAATATTAAAAATCGGATTTATTAAAATTTAAGTTAGATTTTTTTTCAATTTAAATTGGATTTTTAAAATAAAAAATGCTTTTAGAGGAAAAATCTTTCTAAAGATAGTTTTCTATTTAGCCCAAAGGCTATTCATCTGGAAATAAGGATTTGTTTTAAGTTTTTCATGTGTGCTAAAACTCAGTCTAAATCACCCTCCCCCACAAAACCGTTTAACATCAGTTAACAAACATGGATACATATGCTATAATGTTTTAGTTAAATAATTTGTTTAAATTGTTCTTAATGATTATTTTTCTCCTTCCAATAAAGTACAGCAGAAAAGTTGTCCAAATATAAACAGTTAACTTATTAAACCTCACAATAATTTCATAATTATCTATGTAGCATGTAGTATATAGCCAAATCAGTAATTTTTGATATAACTGTAAAAACTACTCTGAAAACTTATTATTCCAAAAATGAAACCTTCATCTGGTTGTAAATATTAAGATTATACAATCAGCAAGAATGAGTCTTTCTGTAAAAAAAAAATTTTTTTTTTTATAGAATATTTATTCCAGTTTTAAAGTTACAAAAAGTATAGAAAAAACAAACCACACACATCTTACAAAAAACAGACAATAAAAAAGAAATAAGAAAAAACAAAGAATCACAGTCAAAAATAACAAAAATCAAATTAGACCTTTACAACCTTTTTCCCTTTTACTTATTTCCATGACTTCCTCTCACCTCCCTGCTTTGTATTCTAGTTTAAATCGTATCTCCAGCAAATCCTTCTAACCTTCTTATCTTTTACTTATTTTAACATTCGAAAGTATTTAATTCTCCTCTATCCTCATTTTACGCTTCATATTTACTTATTCCATTGTACCATGTCTGCCAATACGGCCTAATATTCTTCTCCAACCTTTTTCTAACATTCTTTTATATTACAGTATTTCTGAAGATATATTTTAAATTTTCTCCAGTCTTTTTCCATCAACCCTTCTTCCTGGTCTCGGATTCTGCCGGTCATCTCAGCCAGTTCCATATAGTCCATCACTTTCATCTGCCATTCTTATCGGGTAGGCAATTCTTGTGTAAAAAAAATTTTTTTAAACCAAGTCTTCCTGACTAGTTATTTAAATCAAGTCTTCCTGACTAGTGATTTAAATCGATTTGATTTAAATCAAATCCACCCTAGATTCTATAGTCTCCCCAGTGCTACTTAGCTTGAAACTTATTAGTCTCTCTTCCTCTGACATCAGACCAGTTAAGCCAAAAGCAGCCTGCTTAAGCATCCTGTGATAACAGACTAGATTGTCCATTCAGAGCTGGACAATCTTGGCTGCTCATTGGCAGTGATTATGCATCTCTGCAGATCTGCTTGCCAGGGTCAAGGGTGCAGGGAAGCACCTTCCAACTGTGGACAGAACCACAGAGACTTGGGGCAAAAAGGGGAATTGAGCAAGAGGGAGCAATCAGTTGCATCAAAGGTGGCAGCGAGAGCAAGGGAGGTGCAGAATGAATTGTGCAGTATTGTACCGCTGCACGCCTAAAGCCCTGCACTACTATAAATGCCCAGAGTTTGTTTCCTGTTGTAGCTGTTTTGTTGCATCATCCTTCTTGTGAAGAGACGTCAGCCTTATATAATCAATTACTTGGCAGAAAATCAACATTCCCTCCAGCATGTTCATCATTCCCTCTTTGTAAGCACAACAATGGGATCAATTTGGTTTTCCAATAGGGCACAGTGTTATCTTTTTGCCTAACCACGTTTGCTTGTTTTTCTTCTTTTTACAAAGTGCCACGATGCATTCTTATCTGCCACATTTTTTCGTATAAAAATCTGCCATGCGTCGATTTTTATTTTTAAAACATGTTCATGCTTAAGAGGCGTGAAATGCAGCAAGGGGAAACGTATTTGCTAAATGCTGCCCAGCGGCTGTGGAATAGCTTGGGCTATAAAATTAATGCTTTTTGAATTAGTTTAAAAACAAAACAAAACCTTGCTTCTGTTTTAGCATTGATTGCAGTGGGATACAAGTTCAGCTTCTGTTCACTTTCAGTGGGGCTTAGCCATGACTGATCTTGGCATCCCAAGTTTTTTAGGATCTTCAACTTAAATCCCTTTCAACTCTATAGTTCTATTAAATCCTTGTTGACAGCCAGGAATGGGGAACCAATAGTGCTTCTAGTTGAGGTCCCTGTCCTGTTGAACTTCTGGTGCCATCTATAGACTTAAAACATAAAATAGAGAACTACTCCTCAATGAGAAAGGAAAGGAATTAAGAAAGAGACCAACAAAAGACAAGGAAAAGGGCAAGTATAAACAACAAGAAGAAGAAATGCAGAAGGGACATGGAAGAGACTTAAGGGCCTCGGACATAAGGCTTCCAGGTTGATGGACCAGATGGATTGGACAGTAAGGACTGACACGATCCGAGACCAGGAAGATGACACATTGGATGAAGATTGGAAGAAAATTTATAAAGGAAACTTTTTATTTAGGGAATTAGCTAAAAATTAATGAATATTAGGGAAAATGTTGGAATGAAACTATATGACTCTAGCAGAAATGATATCAGAAATGATATCTATGTTGTTGCTTTTTTCTTTTGTTTTTCATTTTTCTTTTTGTTTTTTGTTGTTGTATTGTTTCTCTTTTTTTCTATGTATTATAGTGTTGTTTTTAATTTTTCTTTTTTCTGTATAACTTTGAAACTACTAATAAATATTATTTTAAAAAATAAAAATAAAAAATAAAATAAAAATCCAGCAGACATTTAAACCAAATCTGGTTTTTATAATTTAACTGGCTTTTTCATTGTATTGTGGGTGGGGTTTTTTTTGTACACTGCTTAAGAGACAGTAGCAACTAAGCAGAATAATAATAATAATAATAATAATAATAATAATAATTTATTATTTATACCCCGCTGATCTGGCTGGGTTTCCCCAGCCACTCTGGGCGGCTTCCAACAAAACACTAAAATATAATAACCTATTAAACATTAAAAGCTTCCCTAAACAGGGCTGCCTTTAGATGTGCCTTTAAATGGTCAGAATGAAATAAAGAAATTAATAACAGCATTAAAAATGCTATAAATCAGGTGTGGGGAGCCTCTGACCCCTCTCATCAGCCCCAGCGGCCAATGATGATGTGCATTTCCTGGCACCTACTTCAAATATATAGTGTGTGATCACAATAAAACAGGAAGCAATCCATTTGTGGAGCTCTCATGATTTTAAATTGACTTTGGGGTGGGTCTGTTGCACTTTGCACCCAAAGGTCATCGGCTCCGTCCCTCGAACTGGACCTTTGTTTGAGACGCTGCAGAAACGCTGCCGGTCTTAAGATTCAAGAGGAGACAGTTTCTGGCGGGATGGACCAGTGGTCTGACTTTCAGCTCCATTTGTTCAGTTCTCCAAACAGCAACAAAAAAAATAAACTGTCTCATTCCTGGGCTATGTAAAAAGTTGCTTGATGTAACAAAGATCAAGATTGTGTTGTATCATACGCTATAGTCCGGCCACACACCGCAAGTTGAGGGACTCCCTTCCAGATACCATTGTATTGCCTCCTACGCAGGCCACATATTGGGTGTAAGGTATATGTATTTTAATTTTGTATTCTATTCGCATTTTTAAAAACGATTCTATGGTTATCGTTGCTCTATTCTGCTCACGTATCTGGTTATGATGTGATGCTAAAGGTACACCTTGCAATTGTGTGCTGCTATTTTTGGTACAGATTTGTTGGCAGTTCTGTGTTCCCACTGGCAGAATGAGCAGGATGCAAATATGAGGAAATAAATACGGTGTTTCAGTGGGGCTTACTGCAAAGTTAACGTGCACAGGTTTGCAGGATTACAGTTGCAAATTGCTGATCCAATAACTCACTTTTTAAATAGTGTATTAGTGGATTGCTATGATAGCGTCTCAAGCAAATACAACAGCTGAAAGGCTAATGCTAATAGTTGTAGTAGTAGTAGTAGTCGTAGTAGTAGTAATAATAATTTATTTATACCCTGCCCATCCGGCTGGGTTTCCCCAGCCACTCTGGGCAGCTTCCAATAAAAGATTAAAAATGCATTAAAACATCAATCATTAAAAACTTCCCTAAACAGGGCTGCCTTCAGATGTCTTCTAAAAATCAGACAGTTGTTTATTTCCTTGAAATCTGATGGGAGGGTTTCCACATGGCAGGCGCCACTACCGAGAAGGCCCTCTGCCTGGTTCCCTGTAACTTTGCTTTTCACAATGAGGGAACCGCCAGAAGGCCCTCGGCGCTGGACCTCATGGTGGTCCTGAATGATGGGGGTGGAGACGCTCCTTCAGGTATACTGGGCCGAGGCCATTTAGGGCTTTTAAGGTCTGCACCAACACTTTAAATTGTGCTCGGAAGCGTACTGGGAGCCAATGTAGGTCTTTCAAGACCAGTGTTATGCGGTCTCGGTGGCCACTCCCAGTTACCAGTCTAGCTTAGGCTCAAGATGCTTCCAGCTATTAGCTGAAGTATAGCAGAACAGACCCAGTGAGGTTGCAAACTACCCCTTGCAACAGTGCAGGCCTTGACCTCCTCAGTCTGATTTCTGAAGGTTCCTTATTATTGCAGGAGACTTTCCACGAGTGTATTACTAAGAGGATTAACTTGCTGGTCTCAAGGGGCATGGTTCGCCTGGTCGTGATCGATTCCATCGCTGCCTTATTCAGATGCGAGTTCGCCGCCAAGGATTCCGTCCTGAAAGCCAAATATTTGCAGATATTTGGAGCCAAACTTCACAAGCTAAGCAGCAAGTTCCGAGTCCCAGTGGTATGCATTAATCAGGTAAAGCTTAGAATTTATTTGATTTCACCATTGTGGGCATGGATTTCAATGGATCCAAATGTGCCCAATTGGATTTTGGCTTATCTGGCAGTTCTGGGAAATGTAAGCAGAGCTGATGCACTGAAGGGACAGTGAACCAGAATATTACATCAGATAAGAACATAATAACAGCATGCTGGACCAAGCCAATGATTTGGCCTAGCATCCTGTTCTCACAATGGCACAAGCGAGATAGGGGTGGAACAGGATGGCATGTATGTGTGAATGCAAAAAGCCCTTGGGCTTATTTATTGCATTCTCAAAAGTCGCTCTTTTTTGGCTGATTTTTTGGGAAATAGTGAGAGGTCGCAGTATTTTTCTTCTTCTCCATCAGCTGCTTAGCATGGAATATTTGGAGCACGTTATCCGAACTCACTTCCAGATGCGATTGCAGTTTTACGTCCACATACCTGGTTTTGAAATGGAATTGATTTTGTGTATCTGGAAGCAAGTCCTGCTGATCTTCACATTCCAATTCAAAAGCGTATTAAGCAGCCCCATCTAAACATGCATCATGGTACATTGATTCCAATGGAAGTTGCCTCCAAATAAAAAAATTGCCCTTATGTTTGAGCTTTTTACCCAGATACCTCAAACTGGTATTGGGGATAAGAAACATTCAGTTACAAAGGAGTTTCTCTCTCTCTCTCCACCTTCTTGTGCAGACTAACTGAAGCTGCAGTCTCTCAGTATAAATGCAAGGGCTGAGTAGCTCAGTTGGTAAAGCATGAAATGCTTTTTCTTGGGGTCCTGGGTTCTAGACTCACATTGGGCAAAAGATTCCTGCATTGCAGAGGGTTGGACTAGATGACCCTCATGGTCCCTTTCAACGCTACAGTTCTGTAATTTGTAGTTCTAGTCCATCACTGCTTAGGTGCAGACCTTGCATTTAAACATTATTTATCTGGTAGCCGCCATAATAATAATAATAATAATAATAATAATAATAATAATAATAATACTTTATTATTTATACCCTGCCCATCTGGCTGAGTTTCCCCAGCCACTCTGGGCGGCTTCCAATCGAGTGTTAAAAACAGTACAGCATTAAATATAAAAAACTTCCCTAAACAGGGCTGCCTTCAGATGTCTTTTAAAGACAAGATAGTTGCTTATTTCCTTCACATCTGGTGGGTGTTCCACAGGGCAGGCGCCACTACCGAGAAGGCCCTCTGTCTGGTTCCCTGTAATCTAACTTCTCGCAATGAGGGAACCGCTAGAAGGCCCTCGGCACTGGACCTCAGTGTCCAGGTTAAACGATGGGGGTGGGCAACAAGGAATTGAATGCAGATAATAAAATGTTGATGTGGGCTTCTGGAGTCTTGTTGCCTTGTCTGCCACCACCACTCTTTCCCTCCTTTGTGGGGGGGAGGGAGAGAATTGTACAGCCTGTCCAAAATCCTTTATTGCAAGGGGAGTATTTTCCTCCCTATTCCCCTCTTGGCAGTGCACTGTGGAAATATTTTGCTTGCTCTCTCTTTTTTCCGCATTCTAGGTAACTGACACAATGGATGAGAAAGGAGGTTCTGCTCAGAGTAGTCCTGGGTGAGTACCACACAACATGCATGCATGCAAACACACCCACCCACCCACTCAGCAAACACATTTGAAGAACATACGAAGGGTAGTTCATCTCTCCCCTAGCAGCAATGGACTTGACACACAAGTGGCAATATTGCACCAAGAGGCTCTGATTCTCCACAGCCCCCTTTGGTACATACTGAATGCATAGGGTGGGATGGGGGTGGTCATCCAATTTGACATATTTTGTGCCCATGTATTGTATGGGGGTGGTGCTGAGTGCTCTGGTGCACCCAAAAAACCACTCAACACTTAACTGACATTAAGGCAGGGATAGAGAAACTGTGACCCTCCAGCAGCTCCCAGCAGCCCTAGCTAGGGCTGGAGTGGCCAGTGGTTAGGGGCAAAGGGAGCTCAAACACCACCAAAAGGGCCATAGGTTCCCCGTCACTGATTTAAGCCCTCTGTTCCACAGGGCCAAGGCCCTAGCATAGCCCTATAATTCCTGCATTGCAGGGGGTTGGACTTACATGACCCTTGGGGTCCCTTCCAACTCTGCTATTCTATGATATGCCTCTGGGTCAACTCAAACTCTTAACTTGGGGTGGAGAGCCTGGCAGATTTCAGATGTTGTTGAACTCCCATCAGCCTCAGCCGGCATGGTCTTAGTAAGGGGTGATGAAATTAGTTGTCCAGCAATCTCTGGAGGTCCCCGATCCCCGACTTAGCTGGCAAGTCTGCCCGTCTTAAACTTAGCAGGAAGTTTTGTTAAGACACAGGCTTTATTGTGTTTTCAGATGCGCCACCAAGAGAGTAGTTCCGGCACTTGGAATAACTTGGTCCAATCAGCTGTTGATGCGGCTGATGGCAAGCCGGAGGACAGACCAGCCGCTGGCTGCCAATGATGCGCCACACCAGGGCAGAAGTGCGCTGCGGACGTTAAGGGTGGTTTTTGCCCCTCACCTGCCCTCATCTTTTTGCTACTATGCAGTCAACTTGGAAGGTGTAAAAGGAATAAAGGAGACACCACCAAATTTATGAAGAAAACTGTGAAGCTTCTTGTGTGCTGCAGATTTATTCATGCTACAGTATAATGGAATTTAGCTGCTGTAGTAAACCATGGTTTACTACAAACCATGGTTGCATGGTTAAGCTGGGAAATGCAAGCAAAACTAGGGAGTAATTTTTGGACAAGACCAGCCCAGTTTTAAAGCAAGTGCAGAGGCAAGCAGCTAATAAATAGCCTAAGTATTATCTCAATCCTCTGGAGGGTTAACTCGTTAAAATTTGTCGAGGCAAAAACTTAACAAACAGCAGCCTGGAATGAGTAAGTATCTTATATTTATTGGTCCTAGGGTAAGAATATCCTTTCTCTAGAACCTGTGTGTGTGAATATTTACAGTTGGTTTCATCTGTTAAGGCTGAACGTAAGAGTTTGTATAAGACCAAGACACTACTTTAATTCAGTTTATCTTTGGAGCCCCTTTGTACGTTTCCTTGTATATTCTGACGAACTATAATGAGTTTGGTCTACAAAGCTTTGTCTTTTATGCCTTTTTTTTAAAGAACAGGTTATTTAATATTTGCTTTTAAAAGATAAACAGAAATATTAACTGCTTTTGTAACACTCTTAACATAAAAAGCCACATTTGCAGAAGTCTTTTTCTTTCAATATTTTATTTTTACACTTTGAAAATGTCAAGGACGCTTTACATGTTAAACAGTTTCACAACGGACCACAGCTCTGTAACAGGTTTAAAAGAAAAAGATCAGGAATCATTTCATGGAAATAAGCTATACATAAGAAGCAATATCTTTTGTTCTACGTTCTAAGGCTGCTTTCTATGGAGACGTGTATTTAGAGAACTAAACCGCCAAGTTGAAAGCACAGTAATTCTAGTTAAACATCCAGAATATTTTAGCATTAAGAGTTAATGGCTTAACTACTGACCTCTCATCTTCTACCGTGCAAGAATGGGATTCAGAATTTCAGATTTAAGCAGGACCTAGCCAAATCAGGTTTAGGTTGATCAACGTGCAAAACCCTTTACTCATTCTTCAATGATTTAAATTTATCTTGCATCAATTTTTTAAAAGTATATTTCTAATTTAAAGCTGAAGTGCAAGTCTTAACTTATCCAGTCAAAGACTTCCCTTTTTTTAAAAAACAAAACAAAACATTGCTCCCTTGTCAACTCTTCACTGACCGTAATTGCCTCAGTTCAGTGCTTTAAAGTGACATTCAGCTATGCCTGTTTGTTTAGATTAAGCATCCAAAAGGTAAGTGATCCAAAAACTCCGCATTATTCAAACTGAAATACAGAATTTCCTATTACAGTACAAGAAACACAGGTCTGCCATCAAAAACAACAGCTTAAATGCCATGTCGTCTGTCCTAATCTACAGCACCATTTAACCTGGAATGTCCTGACATTACACTATCCTCCCATTAGCCGCTGCTCTTGTCATCAAGTGTGGGAGAGCAAACCAAGCATATCATCTATATGTAAGGATTTTGGAAAAGCTGTTGGGGTGGGGGAGCTGTGCTCTTTGCTCTTTCTGGCAGCAGCCCTTTTGCTCCTTGCAATGTACAGACTGAGAACAAATGTGCAATTGCCTCAGTTTAGTATTTCCTGGGTCTCCCCATCTCAAAATCACAAAGTATTCAAAATCAAGAGCAGTATTTATGGGCTTTTCTGAAGTATGCATGATGCCAAATTCCATTATGCTAGCTTGCTTTATGAGAAGCACACATTGCATATGACTTGAGCACAACAACATAGCAGCATTCAGGAATATATGTGCCCTAGTAAACAATTCTGTACATTTCAACTTAACATTGTAAACCGTTTCAGTACAGCACTGCACTTTCAGTTTTCGGCTCTTACGTACAAAATAACCGTATTTCATATACCAAAGTCAGTGGAATCCTGTTAGTTTTAACTCCAAATAGCCCTCAGTTTTCCCAGCTTGATTATTTGCATCCCGCTCATTGCCCTGCATTATCCCTTAGTGCGTTCCGATTTGTCCCTTGCCAAGTTACATTTTGCTGACATTGGCAGAAATAGCCCTATTGGCTTGTATTATTTGTATACCTGACTGGGGCTTGCATTTAAATAGCACTTGGGTCTTCTTCAGATTTAACCTTTGCTTCCATAGAATTGCTCTTGTAAAGCTACACTTAGGGGAAACCTTGTCCGATTAGTAATACACATGAATTTTCTGGAGCAAGAGTTGATTTTTGCTGGCTCCTGCTTAAGGAACAGTCACACAACCATACATAGTGGTGATCAAACAGTGTGTGTGTGTGTGTGTGTGTGAGAGAGAGAGAGAGAGAGAGAGAGATATTCCCTAAGACATAGGCAAGCATGCTATCTAGAAGTTACCCCACTTAGAATTCCCTTTCAGGGAGTTTTGCACAAGTGTAGGTCCTGTGATATTAATAGGGCATCTTGGAGTATAAGGGCAGGAAGCAAATGATATAAAGAAATGACCATATTTAATATTGTGAGCTGAACACCAACTTACATTATTGTGTAGATGCTAGGTGCTTTCACAACAGGTAGCTTGTGATAACCACCTGTTTGGTTCTAATTCTAAATTGCCAAACATGGATTTTCATGGCCTTCATTTGCAAGAAATTGCAGTTACGTGTACGCGAGGTATTATTCAGCGAAGTAATCTTTAACATTGTAGCAAAGATGCTTACTGAGAAGAGGGCAAACAAAGCAGTGTTGCAATTTGACTTGCAATTCATGCTATATTGGCTGCAGTGCTTGTTATAATTGCTTGGGGGGAAAACAGAAAGCTTCATAGTATTGTGCGCACTGGAAATGACAATTCAACAGGATTTCTAGGGGGCGTGATTTAACCCAATTGGCATAAGTAATAGCTATCAAAGGAAGCAGTCCTCTGGTGAGAGAAAAACATTCATGTCATACAATGGAAGTTGTCACTCAAACTGCTTCTGCAGCGGATAGAGAGCTCTGATCTATAACGGGAGATATTTGCATATCACAGTTCCCATCAAGCATGCAGAGAAGTTGCACAACTTCAAATGGAACTTAGTCCTGCACCCAACACAAGAGCTCAGTACAGGGAATGGAGCATTTAATAGGGGGCTTGTGTTTTAACTGACAAGTTGTGCAAGTGAAAAGGCTGAACTGACGCCTGTCTCTTCATGCACCATGGATTAAAGGGATGCACAATCTATCCATGGTGTGGCCAAAACTGTGATCTTAAGGCTCCACGGAGGGCTGCTTTACACAGCAGCATGAGCCTGCCACAGGCTTTGGAAATGGCATAAGCTACAGAGCAAGTGACTGAGTAAATCACCCCTAGGCTGCTCCTCCAATCTCTGACAATTTGCAGGTACATTTACAAGGCTGGCTAGCCCTTTGCACGGCACGACTCCTGCAGATCCTAAAAGGCAGTTTTGGTTACGCTGGAATGTAAGCCATTAGCATAGTCTTAAAGGGGAACGTCTACAGAATGCTGTCATCACTAAATTTTGTGCGCACCTTTGCTTCTCCTGCTGTGCTTAGGCCTGCCTATAGGATCACTGCAGAAGACAGTGTTTCTCTCCACCGCTAGCCAGCCACACATTATGTTTAATTCACCTCGAGTTTCAGTTCTTAAAGCGCATGGCCAAGTGTGTCATCAACTGTAATCGGATACCAATTGAAAAGTTAAAATGTGAATGGTTCCATCTGAAAACACAAGCACCTATGGAGTTGTGGGACAAATGTCATTCTCAACTATGTTAACAAGCACAAACAAACCTCCCTGTGTATTTCTGCAACGTACCCTTCGCAAAAAAAAAGAGCTCCAAACAACCGGAGAGGATTGAGGAGATAAGAAGGAATGAAGGAAGGGTCTCTCCCCCCGCCCCAATTCCTCTGTAATGCATACACCAGCTTGTAAATATACAACACACTGGCCATCATTAGCCTACAACAATTTCATTCTGAGGAATTATACAGATCTACAGTTTTAGTTTAATGTTACAACAGCATATTTTCTTCAGAGTCTAAAACTCTGTGGAGTGTTCCATTTGTGTGAAATTTCTGCCTTGGTACCAAATGGCCTAAACGTCTCAACTGCTATAGGAAAGCACAGGAACATTAGAAGCACCTGTGGCCTTCAGAGGCAGGAATGCCAAATGGCGACATCTTCAAGGAACAATGGGGGACAATTAATAGCCCAAGCATACTACGTTTATAATAGTCCCAAGGTCTCTTGACAGTTAGGGATGGAGTGCTTGTACTAGATGAGAAGTACAATTAGCTTCTCATTACACCAACTTGCCAAAGCCAATTTCTATTATATGCAGGACCAGGGTGGTGAAGAATGGAAGAACCCCTATTACCAATGTAAAATTCTCTCAAAGTTCAGTGGTTTGCAACAATCTGTCCCAAAATTCTACCCATTTAGCAGCACTGGGTCTCAGGACATTACCACACAGCTATTGTCATTTAAAATTCAATGGATATACCTCAACACACAAACCTTGACAGATGCACTCTCTGTAGACAAGTCGCTTGCTTATTTAAAAAAAGAATTCTTCAAAATAGGTAAGCACTTTTAGCAACATTAAATATCTTCAGCTCAATCTAATAAAACTGCTTTCCTCTTATCCTATGTCTAAATGATGTTAATTTTGCCTGATTATTCCTACTGGCCAGAGAGCAACCTTTGCTACCATACAGCCGTGACTCACAAAGACTTTCTTTCTCTCCTTTCTGCCTTCAATTAATAGCTCTGCAAAATGGAGACAGACTTGAAAATTATACACATTTTATTAGACTGACTGTAAAACCAAAATGCTGAAGCATTTCCTCTTCCCAAGTTGGTCCCCTGAGAATAGACAGTGCATCACCCACAAAGTATATCAGGCAATTAGATTATTAATAAACAAACAGCCTGCCAGTAGCAGCTATCCAGTACAACTTTGACATTATTAGTAGCAAATTTCCAACAAGGCCCCTATCCACAGCAGCTGCTTCACAGCGTAATTGTCCAATATGCTTCAGTTTCCTCCTGTTCCCATTCTGAGCAGTGGCAGAAGTTTGAAACTCAAGAGACAACAGTAACAATATTTCCATCTTGGAGAAAACAGGAGTGCTCTGAGTGACTGGAAAGACTCAAAAGGTGGTTGGTTTCCCAACCAGCCTATTCCTTGTGTTCTTCCCTCTCAGTTTAAAAATAATTGCACCTCTTTCCACTGATTTTTAGGCCCAAGAAGGCCACAACCACCATGTTGAAGTGCTGTCTTTGAGCTTCTCTATTCCACTAGTACTTTCTTCTACTTATTAAAGAACCTTGAAGCCCAATCACTAGTCAGACGTACTCTGCACATTCTGATAGCTGATGGTGCAAGGCTAACTGTACACAATCCTGGTTTTATACAGTGATAAACTTAATTCAGCTCTCAGTCATTCCATCAACATTATAAATAGTCCAACACACTGTCCCCTTAACAGCTTATAAAACAGTACATCCCAAGGATACATTTGCACTCCTTTAGATTTCAGTACATTTTCATTGGGGTACATTTCCCCCTTGCTTTTGGAGGCTGCAACAGGGAGATCTGTAACACAGCTTTGTCAAATGACTGGACTCACCTGACGGGTGTATATCTGTGCCACCCAGGTGGGATTAGCATTGGCCACTAGCTTGAGGAAGGAATTTAGTCGCCTCCTAGGAACTTTTGTGGTTGGTGCTCCCGGAAGCGGCTTCAGTTTGCGGTTTTGCCAAGCTAAGATAAAAGCCGTAACTAAGGATAGGTCTTAAAAAGCAGAGACATCACCTTGCCAACAAAGGTCCGTATAGTTAAAGCCATGGTTTTCCCGGTAGTGATGTATGGAAGTGAGAGCTGGACCATAAAGAAGGCTGATCGCCGAAGAATTGATGCTTTTGAATTATGGTGCTGGAGGAGACTCTGGAGAGTTCCATGGACTGCAAGAAGATCAAACCTATCCATTCTGAAGGAAATCAGCCCCAAGTGCTCACTGGAAGGACAGATCCTGAAGCTGAGGCTCCAATACTTTGGCCACCTCATGAGAAGAGAAGACTCCCTGGAAAAGATCCTGATGCTGGGAAAGATGGAGGGCACAAGGAGAAGGGGATGACAGAGGACGAGATGGTTGGACAGTGTTCTCTCAAAGCTACTAACATGAGTTTGACCAAACTGCGGGAGGCAGTGGAAGACAGGAGTGCCTGGCGTGCTCTGGTCCATGGGGTCACGAAGAGTTGGACACGACTAAACGATTAAACAACAACAACAAGGATAGGTCAGGGGTAAAGACAGTGCAATTATTAAGGTGGTGTGTGCCAATTATCTCCCTGAACTTCCCAGGCATGCCAGGCACACAGTAGGGCATGGGCCCTGGGTCCAAGATGCCATTACCTTTCTGGTGAGTGCAGTGGACCTGTCTCCCATGCTGGCCTTCTGGACCCTGATGGGATGTTCAAAAGGTGATCGTGTCTAAGGTGGTAATGGATGTCTAAGAAAGAGGGAGCACACACTGAAGTAGCTGCTGTCCAAAGGCCACCATGGTTGTGGTCCATTTTGAAGTGTGGTGTAGATGTTTTTGGACTGGCCCATGTAGGAGATATCCAGCGGTGGAGCATTTGCTGAAAAGGCTGCTGCGGCCGCTGTTTAATTGGAACTGTGTTGTGTTTTGGCAACCTGAACCTTTGGCTGTCATAGGCCATAGATATGGAAGCCTTAATCCACCTGGCGAGGGCAGGGGGAGAAGACTTCCTAGCTCAGATTCAAGGGGAGGAAGAAAGCGAGTAAGAAGTCGGTCTAAATAGATGAGTTTTGGCAACAACTCTTAAGGCTCTGAATACACTCAAAGAGTGCCGTGCCCTCTCTGTGGAATGAGGGGGGTGGGCAACAGTTGGTAGGATGATCCCGATGCTCATGGAGAGTGAGTTTATATTTGGCACAAGACCACTCCATCACTGTGGAAGAAGCCTCTTCCTCACTATCAGAATCACCCTACACTCAGCATCACTCAGGCCACTCTTGCTGGGAAGTGTCCAAAGTAAAAGTAGAAGAGTTGTCTAAAAGACTGAGGGACTTCCCAATTCTGCATGAACTGTACAGTAGACCAGTTCTTATGCTATTAACTTTGCAGAATGGTTTAATTAAACAATCAGTTAAAAACTTCCATTGGTCCAATCATCTATTCTGCGCATTTCGTCCAACAATCCTTAGGTAACCATCAGCGTGCACACCAAGAAAGAGAGATAGAAAAACATGGAAGCCAATGAAATGTCAATGCAGCTGAGCTCCCAAGCAGGATCATAGGGGAAAACTCCATGGTGTGGGCTGCAGGATTAGGAGAAACAGGCCTTGAAAATATAAGCCTGAGAAAGATTCTAGAAACCAAGTACGCAATAAGCACTGAAGTGAAAGGAACAAAAAACAAGCCTTAAAGCAGGAAGTGGAGAGTGTTATCTCCAGTGCTACTGCTTCAATCAATTGCAATGTAATTGTATCATTAAAATTCATTAACTTAATTGGTTTAATGTTCAGAAGCACACACACCAAGTAGCAATTAGATCACAAGGAAAGTAAACATAACACGACAGCCACCAATACTCTGGTTGTGGCTGGAACTGACCAGAATTACGAGAAGTCTTTGTAAGACAGGGTGGAAGGGGTGCAGAAAGAAAAAGGAGCATTTTAAAAACTGAATCAAGGAAAGGTGATCTGATCACCAAAGAGGAGAAACTCAGCCAAAAAAGCAGGTGAGGGGAAATAGGAGAGAATGAACAAATTTGGGCCTTAAACAATACACCCCAGAGAGAATTACCAGAGGAAGGAACTTGAAAACTGAACAAACTTCTGGGAACACCCATGAAAAGTTTCCAGGAGGCAACTAAATTCCTGGTTTGAGCTAGTGGGCAGTGCTAATCCCACTTGGGTCCAAGGGGTCAGCACAGGGTATCTAGCAACCATCTCTATATTTGACAAAGAAGCAAGTCTCTAGGGGCCTTTTTTTAATGTCACATTTTAAGAAGGCCTAGGAACAACAGTCCTCTCAACGACATCTCTAACCTAGATGGTTCTAGAAAGACCGTAACAGGGAACCCAAAAACTTTAAACCTCAGTGCTTTGTAATTCACAAGGGAATTTTGTTTAGCTAGCATCTGTCCCAGAACCTCAGTGGGCCAAATCAGTGTGACTGGCACTCAGAGCTCTTGAGTCTGTCAGACAATTAGTTCGTCCCTGCATGGGGAAAAAGAATGGAAAGAGTTTATGCACAGTTTAAAACAATCCCAACCATTTAAAATACAAACACTGGAGAAAAACAATAGAACAATGAATAATAAGAATCAAGAATAAGAACAAAACAGACAAGTATTTTTCATTTACCGTTAGCTTAAGCTTTTTTTAAAACCAAGTTTCAAAGTGGTTTAATATATGAATAGGAAACTTTGCTCCAGTTTGGAATGGTAATAATTCTTACCATCTTTATCAGTGCCTGCGTTCTATTTCTACTCCAAGCAGGAATAGAAAGAGCTGTGAACATGAACAGTTAGCTCTCCCCACAAAGCTCTGGTTTGGACAAAATGCTAAGCCATGGTTTAGCATTCAGAGACACAAGCCCACTCCTCTCCCCTCCCCTCCAGTGCATCAATGTCCATTTTCAACCATGGTTTATCTGAACAAGCCAGGTTCGGAAATTAAAAGTTTGGCTTGTCGGGACAAACAGTTCGTTCTACTAATTCTAACACAGTTGGTTGAAAATAGATGCTTCCAATCTCATGGCCAGACAGCCAAAGGCAGTGAGTGTGCATATGAGTGACAAGTCCTCTCCAACCTTCAGAACTGTTTCTTCCAGGAGCATGAGGAGGGGGCCGCAATAGAGCCCCCACTATATATGGTCTTTCGTGTCACAGCCCTTATGAATAAGCCACTTCCTAGCATGGGAGACAGATGCCTTGTAAGTGGTGAAATTCAGAGCAACCTTGGCCAACTTAAGAGAATACAAAATGTTGTACTCTGAAAGCAGTAGCAGCTGATGCTTCACCTTATCCAGTACAATTTACTGCAATTTTCTGTGCATATGTGCTGCGTCATGTACTTGACTCAGAAGGTGAAATATTGCTCCGACAGCCATTTTTAAAAAATACAGTTTTCTGCACAAATAATCTCTGTGTAAGAAGAATGCATGTTTATTGGAACATGTTCAGAGTAGCACAGATCTCATCCATGCCATGAGATCAGGTTGCCTCAGCGGTTAATTTCTCAAGGCAGGAATCCTCCCAATTACACCTCTCTCTGGTGTTGTATTAAAGATCTGGTGCTGATTAAAGAATTCAGAATAAAAACCTCTCAACTGCCATTTATTTTTTCATACGGTAAGATAACCCAAATAACAGCGGAATTTCTTTTCCTCAAAGTATTTGGATTGTGTTTCATGGATTTATTTTTGGAACTTAACACAATAACGTTTTGAACAACTGGAAATGCTACTTTACAGACTCGCTCCCTTTCCTTTGTGTAAACTTTTCGACAAGTGCATCAGGTTAGTACTGAAGCAGTCGCTACTTCTTCACACAAGTTAGTTGCAGTTATGTGTTAGTTAAGAGGCACAATACAGAACACTAGTAATTTCGGTGAAGGTGTTATATGAAATACAGGCTAGGATCTTGGCACATGAGAAGTGTATTTCATGCAAATGGTATGCAAGGGCTACTGTTTTGCAGCCTTGGCTTGCCCTAATGTCACCCCAGTATATTTTTTTCATCAGCAGGCACTCAGTAAATGAACTTTTAAAAGTAACCCTTATTTTAAAAAATTGCTGCCTAGTTTCTAAAGAGGCCTGTGTCAGCACAGTTTCTTCTGCATTCATTCAAGGAAGCAGTTGGTATTCCTTGCCATCTATAAAACCATGTGCTGGATCAAATTGCTCTGGAAGCCCAGCTTTTTCAGGTGAAGGCAAGGGCCTCCAGTAGAGATGAAAACTGAAAAACCCTAGTACCCAAACTGAATTCTGGCCACTGTCACTTAGAACTCATTTTAGTTCAACTGTGCAAGTCTCTGTCTATGCTCATTATCTGGAAAGCTCACAGCAACTATTGCTATTTGACATTTATTAAGCTGCAATAATGTCCCGTATGCTGTTCGCAGGCCAACTTTTCAACACTATACAATGTGGAAGAATACAGCATGCAATTACTGTAACACGTCCCAAAAGGTGCTTATCTTTTCACAAAATTGAGAAAGGGAGATTGAATTCCTAAGCAGCCAAGAACAGTTTTCCCATCTGCTCTTGGTTTTCAAAGCTTAGGGACAGGGATGTTATCCTGAAATGGACATTCTTGACTCTCTTGATAGCTCACAGCATGAAGTGAGCCACAGCGGCCTCTCAGGCAAGTGGGGCTCAAGCTTTCAAAAGCTCAATCAGCCTCTGTTAGCACTTCTAATATACTACAAGACAGGTGTGGCGTGTCCTGCCTACTCCCACTTGTGCAAGGGCAGGTAGCTAACTTCTATGCCAGTATCAAGTCTCTGATCCCTTATTAAGAGCAACTCCAGGTGGAGCAGATAAGAGTAGTTTTAGGCCTGAAAAAATGTAAGCTTGTTCACTCCAATGGGACTTTTTCAGATTATCCCAGGAAAACATAAACAAGAAATTCATATCCATGGGATTTTCATGTGAGCAGAGCTAATAGATAAGAAGCATTCACCCATGCAATTCCCAAGTGTATCCTGAGGTGTAGAGTTTGGGAACAGTTTTACCATCTAGCCCACTGTTTTCCGTAAGGCCCAAGTATCTGGTGTTTCTGCTAGCTGCTATGGGACTCTACAGGATGCTTATAGGAATATTTTTGAATTACTTACAGTATCAGTACATGACAAGACCCATTCACACATGCAAGCAGCTGTTTACAGAGTTGCCACTTTTTCTTTTTAAGGAGTTTGGCTCACATAGCAAAAAATGTGCAAAGCAGTTCATCACAGTGTACTGCCAAACATTGCGTCATATGGTCCAGTCTCTAAACAGCCGACTGAATGTTTGAAATCAGAACCAGGAATAATCCAAAACTGCTGCCATTTTAGTGACCGATCCAATTCTTCAATCCAAGCCCTGCCAGTACCATCTACTTGCATTAAGAATATGATAGGGCTTCTTACTTGAAAGTGATCTTCAGTTGCCTTGCCACCCATGTTAAGAACATTCAGTGAGCTGGCACGCTTCATGCTGGACAGTGAACATGCAAGGATAAACCAATCAGAAGGGCTGAAATGGAGCGCTTTGAACACATATGTATACAACAAGAATTTTACTGCAACGTAACTCCTAGTATCTTCTAAAAGACAACATTTGGCGCACATGCATCTTCCTTAATCTAAAATACATCAAAGCTAAGTCACCAAAAACATTCAGGAAACACTAGATGTCATTCCATCTGCAGAATGTCAGTTACTAAATTGGATCTTAATCTGAGAGGTGTCCAGTCTCTTAAAAAAAATAAAAATCAATAAGCTACCCAAGATAAAGTTGTATAAGTAGCATTAGCAAACCCATCAAAAAGGAGCATTTAACCAGAGCCCTTGGTGGGCTTCTACATAATTAAGGCTTGGATATTCAAAGTTTTGGCATGATTTATAACTTTAATGGAGAATGGGATAGATAATACAATCTCTTGTCTTGCCTGGATTGTGGGGTGAAACTGTGCAAGGCAGTGAAAGCTCTGCTATTCTAACAATCGTCAAATGAAGCTCTCAGTTTCAGAGGGTATTGTTAATACACTGCCACATCAACAACTAACAAATTTATAGCTGCAATATATGTATTACAAAAGTATGTGAAATTATACCCATAGTGGTTCAAGGATTTTTTTAAAAAAAGTTATCCAACATTTAACCATATTTCAATTTAAAGTGCCTAAAAAAATCTAGGTAGCGTTCATTGTAAGATGAGTAGCCACCACCTATATGCATGAGCAATTAATATTTCTCCATAACATTAGCTTCCAAATCTTTTTCTCAATGCTGCATCAAAACGGTCACACTAATCCCAAAATGCATTCCTTGCAGGCAGACCCTTAATGTGCAACTAACTTTTACACAGAGTAGACTCACTGAAATTAATGGACACATTTAAATTGGTTTCAGTGATGTCAATGAGTCTATTATGAGTAAAAGTATACTATTTCCTATGTGTAAAAGAAACTACCTGTGTCAATTGACAGCTCTAGGAAACAGGACTGCTCTCACTAGCCGCTTTGTAAACTGCAGGACAGGGAACCTTGCTGAGAAACCTACACTGAAACCCCCTTGCACTTTTGCTAGAATATGGCGATCCAAATTATTTAGTCTCACAGACAAATTAGGAGAAGGGGACATGCTGATACAGGTTAATAGGAAGGCAAGGGTCAGGCCTGACAAGTGTTCTACCCAATTGCTTCATACTGCAGGGTGTAAAAGCACTGTTCTCAAAGAACAGCCTTCTGTGCCACATAATATATTGTTCTTAAAACTGAGACTCTTGCTAGCCAGGGGAGAAAATGAGCTGGTTGTTCAAAGTGAAAATGGCTCAGGGTTCGTCCAAAAGTCCCAACAAGAGTGTACACAACACTGAAGTCAGTGAGATTTCTCATCCTTAAAAATTATGCAGACATTTGACTATAATAAATCTGTGACCTGGCAATCAAAATAAAGATTATGAATGAAGTTATACATCCTTGTATAGTTGGGCATAATCTTTACGGCTGCACCTACACAGTGTCAGTGCCACTATGATTTTATTTAAGCAATAATTTTTTTTAAAGCCTCCCAAAACTACAATGCACACGTTTTTCAACGCAACACAAGTGTTAGCAACACAAAGAAGCAGCAAGCCATGCAGCGTTGACACCTGTGTTATTTATTTATATATAAAAAAATTATACAGTAAAGCGAAAAAACGTTAACTAAATATACATAACGCACCACATAGAGCATGAACACAAAACTCAAATTCTAAGCAAATAAAAAAATAAAATAAAAAGTAAAAATCCACAGATGCAATGCTGAAATGTTAAATAATGAACAAACAAAAATACAGTGTTTCATCATGTCCATGAATTGTCCCTATACAAATTTAGTAATTTTAGAACAAAAGTTAGCTAGCTATATGTGACCATTAAAAATTTGGCAAGTGCACTTGTACATTTTTCAAGTTTGAGGCAAGACTGAAGAGAACTGGTTTATTTATGATTTTCAGCATTTCCCTTTGCATTCGAATCTACAACTGGTTAATAGCACTAGTATTATTGCAGCACATCTGAAATCTCCTTCGAGAAGGTGTCACTGAGGTAGGAGTCTTGCTTGATTATATCACTACGCTCACGGAGAGTCTGGGTTTCCTTAAATGTTCAGAAGAACAGTAAACCAAATGTTAACCATGAAGCAGGTTCCAGCTTTCGGTTTTAGGGATTAGTAGTTAATCAGAAAACTATACCACCACTTTGTGGGGATAGTAGTTAAAAGTTAATTGAGTAATAGTTGATTACAGACATGAAGGTGCTGAGAGAGACTGCTTATCTGGCTCCTTCCTCAATTCAGCCTGACACCCCCCTCCCCCGCAAATATATAGCTTAGATCCAAAGAACCACACAGTGAGTTCTCTGCACCTATGGACCTTGGTTGCTCATCAATAGCACCCTAAAAAGCATGAAGGCTCTTAAAAAGCCAGGTGTTTCAAAACCAGTTTATGTGATATGGCTGGGGGGAATCAAAGTCAAAACTCCTTGCTGGGAGTGTTGAAATCATTTTGCAATGGCTAAAGTGGCTCTTTGTATCCTAGTCTATACCTGAGGACATCTGGAAAAGTAGGAAAGCTTCTGACTGCACACATGGGGTGGGGGATCTAAAATGTTTAGCTAAAATTCTTCAGAGCAACACCAATATGTAACTGTTCAGAGTTCTATATATTTGTAGAGACTGGTAGAAAACCGCTTTCATTAGGACAAATCAATATTCACAATGAAGAATGCAAGACTAAGGTTACACACTGGATAATACACAATCTAGCCGTTCATGTTTTTCCCTATCTTTAATTGAAGATACTTAAAATAAAAACTAAGAAGTTTTGAAAAAAGAACTATCCCTTTGGGTGGTATGGAATTCTAGACGAAGCTTCTAAACTGTTGAATTATGTCCAAATACTTGAAGAACTTTCAGGTGGATGAAACTGCATTCCTGAACTGCAGGGGGTTGGACTAGATGGCCCTTGGGATCCCTTTCAGCTCTGCAATTCTATGAGCCAGATTTATTTTCTGTTGCTCCAGAGGATAGGACCGAATCAAAGAGCTTTAAATTACAAGTGGATTTGGGCTAAATATTATTCAGTTATTGAATTTGTATACTGCCCTTCATCCATAGATCTCAGGGCGGTTCACAATATAAACACAAAATAATTAATAAAAACAAGAACAAAAACCAAACAATAAACCCTTCTCCTCCGTTAGGAGGGAAGCACTTTCTTACAAATAAGCAGTTCAATAGTGGGAAAGATTGTCTTGGAAAGAAGTGGACTCCCCTTCTTTAGAGGTTTTTAAGCCACCTATCAGGGATGCTGCACTACACTAGCATGGGATTGAACTATATTACTTTCCAGGACCCTTCCCACTCTATGATTCTATGAACTTCCACAATGATCTGCAGACAAATGCGTAATAATATAATTCAACTCAAAACAACTATTTTTTCCCTTTTTAGAGGATCTCCTCCCGAACCGCCAACCTGCAGAGTTCTGTGTAACACTAAATCTTGTACACTATATTATGAGCATTGGTTTGTACTAATCAAGTGGTCATTTTACAAGGCCGGCTGACGTCTTACAATAAAACTAACACTGCAACTTGTACAGCAGTGATAGTATTCAACTTCAGTGAATACAAGCATCAAAAATATCTTCAAGCCTAAAAAAAGGTTCCTGCTAATACTGATTAGTTCCCATTTAGAGAACAGTGGCTATTTACCTGCTACTGCAGTTCTTCTGAAATTAATCTCTGCACGTACACATCATGGATAACAAAACTTGGATAGCTGACTGTTTTGCACAACAAATCCAGTCACATGATCCATGTATAAGCAAGTTTCAAGAGGAAGACTTATTGGTACAGTACTAGTACCATTCATATTTCTGGTGTATGCCAAGGAGTGGCTGATGTATTTTACTTCATTTTCATTTCAACAATAATTTACACTTGTGTTCTATGCAGAAAGTAGAATGGCTGATATTAGTATGTAAAAAATGTTGAATGAAAGTGCAAATATTTATCCAGTTAAGTAAACATGAAGCATTTCAATAACCTATCGCAATCACATTTATACACACACGTTCATAAATGTATGTTAAGTTCTTCTGAACCAAATATGCCCTAACCCTGTTCTCAGAATTAATATTGTTAAAGGGGAAACTGCTGAAATTCAGCAAAGTGCATCAATATTTTTCCTGTGTGGCAAGACAGAATAGGTAATTCTGGGGCAATTCTTTCTGGAGTTTACATAACATTGGAAGTTTTGCTTTTACAGAGCCATTGTTTACAATCACATTGTTAAGTACAGAGAACAATCTTTCCAGCTGTTAGGACTAACTTATAACAAGTGCTACAAACATCCTTTGTATTACATTTCTGCGAGATCTGCCGTCAGATTTTATGCTGCAATTCACGCACGAGATACAGCAGAAAAAGCCATTATACAGCATGATGGATACAGCACCAAGCGTTCCAGCACATCTAGAAATAAATAATTACCCGGGGTTCTTTGGTTCACTCTCTCGTGAACTTCCTCCCTTCAGCTTTCTAACCAACTTCTCACTGCTGCGTCTAATTGAAGCACGAAGTTTGCTAAAGGAGCCACTGCGTTTTAGAGATCCAGTACCATCCTGAAAAAAATGAGCACATTTAAAACTGCAAAAGCTTTGCCCTTCTGTCACAGTTCAGCAGTTGCTACAACTACAGTCCAATATTCTTACTTTGCTACCATTAAATGGTAAGAACAAAATTGTATCACTTAATTTCAAACAAAATTTAATGGCGTGTTTTTTAAATTTGCTGTTACCTTCTCTGGTGCTCTGAGATGAGCACCAGAAATCTAATGAAAAGCATTCTTTGTATTTATCAAGCATTCTTCCGGACACAGTCCAATATTATCCCCCCTATGTCAGCAGATTCATTGAGATGAGAAGTTACACAGCTCCACAACATCTCAATGAAGCTTACTCAGGAGAAGGTCCTGAAGGATTGCATACACTTCCTTAAAGAAACAAGAGATTAAACTCCTAACTCCCTCACAGATAAAATACAAAATTAACAAATGTATATTAAAACCTTACGGGCAGGTGCCCTTTCTTACAGGATACAGTGGTGCCTCGCAAGACGAAATTAATTCGTTCTGCGAGTTTTTTCGTCTTGCGAATTTTTCGTCTTGCGAAGCACGGTTTCCCATAGGAATGCATTGAAAATCAAAAAAGGCTACCACCCCTCAAAAACCTCAAAAAAGGCTACCACACCGCGTGCTATGAGTTGCTCCTCGAAGTCAAGTCGCAACTGCACCTCTTCAAGCAATGCACCCTGGGTACTTTATTAACGGTTTTAAGAAAAAGGAAACAAACTTGCAAAACGTTTTTGTCTTGCGAAGCAAGCCCATAGGGAAATTCGTCTTGCGAAGCAACTCAAAAAACGAAAAACTCTTTCGTCTTGCGAGTTTTTCGTCTTGCGAGGTACCACTGTATATAAAGTTTTTATTTGCAGGACCACCACACCACTCCATGCTAACCATGAATATAGTAAAAGACCACCACCAAGCAGTAGCATTACATGTTTAATGAATTCGTTCACTCTAACTTGAGCAATATGTAATAAACATGCATATAAACAAGAACAAAAGCATATGCAAGCATTAAGTTCCATAGTGAAGTTATGCTAGTTTGTGTCCTTAACCATGTTCCAGAAACATAAAACGTGAATCTAGAGCTTGCTTCACATTACATTAGTTTATTTTATAGTACAGTATTTGGAGACAGTTTTTTTTAATAGTTCTTATTTTTCCAGAAGTCAAGTTTGTATGGCCAAAGACCTATCATATTTATTGCTTGACAAAGAAACCCATGTGCACTTAACTGCAAGTTAACAGTGCCTTGCAGTTTCTAGAAAGCCTCCTTTCCTACAGTAGCTATGCAGAATTCAAAGTACTACGCAGCAGACAGAAACAGGCATCAGTTGGAGTGAGTTTATTAGAAGTTAGAAAGACAAATACACAAAGTCACCCAACACCAAGATTAGTAGAGAAAAGCATAACTGCTGAACTTTCACATGAAGACTAAACAGCACTGCTACTTTAGGATAAGCGTAAGTGAAGACATCCAGAGTTCCATATTGATGTTAACCCATGTTATAGGTCTCTAAATACACTTTAAAGCACTGTGAGCACATGCCTTGCTTTTTTAAATAAAAAAACCCACCTGCATATTCTGTAAAGGTCACCATCATGCCATTTTAATAACACCTTGTGTGATAATTTAAACTACCTTTCATCATAGTGAAACAGCTACTTATCAAGTTCATTCTTAGTTTTGTTAATTCTCATCTGTTACACAGCAAATGGTTATTAACACCACATTTTGTAAGACTAGATACATATCTGGCAAAGCTAAACATGTACAGGAAAGAAAGAGGAACCCTTGCCCCAAAGAAAGAGAGACACCAGCACTGAAGAAGTGGCCATTTTTACAAGAAGTGCAGCTCTGACAAGGATCTTAAGGGATTGCTAAATACACAGCAGTCAGTAGTGGAGAGAAGTTAGAGCTTGAAGATGCTGCACGCCCGCCATGCAGGAGACAGTGTAAGAATCAGAAAAGGCATCTAGGCCTGTCGGACAGAAATGGAGAGAGAAAAAACTGAATGAAACTGTTGTGGGGAGAAGTTCAACAGTTTTCCATTTTGAGCTTGTTAGTCTTAACAGTATTTCTAGGTCACTCGCTAATGTTGCGTACAAATTCTCAAAATCAGCAGAGACAACAGCTTAAAAAATTCATAGTATCCATAATGCAAAAGAAAGCCAATGGAGGACCGCAAACCTTCTGTTGTCTTTTATTCTAGGTTCTATATTGCGCAGGACTTTGAACTTTTAAAGGAATCAATATATTTTCCTTAAATATATATAAAATCATATTCCTGCGTTTAATAAAGGAAAGCAGATACATTATTTTAAATCAAAGGTGTATACTATGGCATGCGAGATTCCAATTTTTAAAACTACACAAGCCAAACTAAAAAGTGATGAAAAGAAATCAATTGGGACAAGGTGCATCAATTTAAGCTTTAACTTCTATAAAATAAGTGAGATGTGCCCACTCCAAAAGCACTATCAACAAACCCATATTACAAAGCTTTAGTGTTTCATTAGAGTGAGGATTTCCAAACCTTGTTCCTGGGAATGCTGGAGTTCCCTAGAATTTAGTAGGGGTTCTTTAATGAGATTAGAAACTGCAGAGGAGCTCCCCTTAGTACTGAACGTATTCTAAGCTCACATGAAACAACAGTGAGATCTAAGGGGACTGCCCAGTGCCTATGTGTCCGCAAACATGCCACATAGTTATCTAGACTTTTAGAAGACATCTGAAGGCAGCCCTGTTTAGGGAAGCTTTTAATGTTTAACAGACCACTGTAGTTTAATATTTTGTTGGAAGCCGCCCAGAGTGGCTGGGGAAACCCAGCCAAATGGGTGGGGTATAAATAAATTATTATTATTATTATTATTATTATTATTATTCACAGGTGTTCCTTAGTGGAGAAGATCTGCTGAAAAGTGCTTTCCTGGAGGTAAACAGTTTTAAAAACCCTTACACAATCATGCCAGTAAATGGACTGAGATGATTCGAGATCGTAAAACAATGAATGCTAATGCAGAAAAGAGAATCTATGGCAAGGACCCAAAGAGCCTTTTGCATGCAGCTGAGGCACTTCGACCCATACATGGAAGTTTCCATTCAGCGGCTATCAAACCACTAATGCTAATCATTAAATCACGGGCATCCAATATTGTGCCCTCCAGGTGTTGTGGGCTCCAATCCCCATAATCTCTGACCACCAGCCGTGTTGGCTGAGGATCCACAAAATCAGGAGGGCACCACATTGGCTACCCTTGCATGTAATAGTCGTAAATGAAAAGCACCAAGTAGGCAAAATCAGCTTTGGCTTATGGCAAATGGGGTCACTGTACTTCAGTGGTTCTGTTCCTACCTGCAAAGTTTTTTTCAGAGAGTAGCACTGGGGAACTGCCCATCAGCCCCCTGGCACTTATGCTACGGGATGCCACAGGCTGCCAACCTGGCCCCTCCCATGCTGTTTAACATTGATATGAAGCTGTTGGAAGCTGGAGATTTGGAGCGAAGTTTGATTAGCACATCCAAGTCAGGTTGGCTTGCAATCCCAAGGCTAGCGTTTAAATGCTGCAGTAGACTGGGTGACATTTAGATAACTTAAACAATCCTGGCAAGACAGAGTCCTTGTGGGTGAGTGCTTCATCTGGGGTGTAGGCCAGTTACCAGTTCTGGATGTGGTTACATTCTGGCTTGAAGAACAGGCACATAGATTCAAAGTACTCCCTGGGTCATTCATTGGAACTAGAGGCCCAAGTGGCCTCAGTACCTAGGAGTGCTTTTTACCATAACTGGTATACTAGTCATGCCCGAATAAGGACAGTATGGCCACAGCACTCTATGCTTTGGCAACCTCAACACTAGAATACTGCTATGTGCTCTATGTGGGGCTGCCCTTTGCCTCAGTTTGGAAGCTACTGGGCTGTTATGAGCATTACGGAGAAAGAAAGGATGGGATACAAAATGAGATAAAATATTAATAATAATTGTTAGATTACTATCATGGTGAAGAAATGAGCAGAACTGAGCACCTGCAAAATTAGAAAAAGTAAGAATGCCAACATGAAATGGGGGAAATGTAGAAGAAAACCAACTTCAGTTTAGAACTTGAACATGAAAGTAACCAAAACGGAGTGAAAAGGTGGACATGCAAACCTAAACAAAATAGAAACCCATTAATGCCATATTATTTTAAAGGTGGAACATTCCACTCTGGAAAAGTTCACTTTCTGAGTTTTATCAAATGTGAATGTCACTGACCTAGAAATACTGTGTAGTTATTTTCTTGAATGCCCCTGTCAACCCCACATCTGCATGCTTTTTAATTAAAACACAAAATGAATGGGAAAAAATGTTTCCCTCACACTTGACAATTTGAAGGCATGCCAACTACAGAAGAAAAAAGGGAAGAGTACAGTACACAGTTCTAGTGCCAAGGGGACAAATTAAGGAAGTATTAAGGTGATAATATTTGTATTATATGCTGATTGACTGTCTTAGGACAATACACACCAAAGCCAATCTGTGAAACAGTGGAAAGAGAAACCTTTTTCTGCATCAAAAGAGCAAAAAATATAGACAGCTACAGCAGCCTTTAGGATCCTAAAGCTCTGGCAAATGACAGAGTTATAGCTGATAAGTATTCCACTATGAAACAGAACCTACACACCACAAAACAAACTTAGAAAAACAATGACTACTGCAATCTGACTAAACGTGTACTGCATAACTAAACCACCACAAGGCTGACACTGGCAATTTGCACCTCAGAGCACTCCATGTATGTGCCCAATGCCCAATATAACCAAAATCAAAAGTAGTAACCCTCTCAGTACTACCAAAATCTTGAACTGGTTTCACTTGTAAAAGACACCAAATAACAAGCAGGTTCACAGACACATGTTTCCAATGATGGAAAGTTTTAGAAAGGTTTTGTTATTGTAACCTGTAGCACACCTTCCACGTTAAGCAGTGGAACTAGACGTCGTGAGATAGGAAAGGCCTCACTTTAATCAAGGATCTGGCAGGCTTCCATAGGTAAGTGGAAAGCAGCAATTTGTCATCAGCAGATGGGTAGATTTTATGTTTGCACCATCATGATGCCATGACACAGCAAGAAACTTGCATCCAGAAACCTATGTTGTGTGTAGTTTTTGGTTTAATTCTCCATACCAGTTCCATTTAATTGCACAGCAGTGCTTTCTAGTGAACCAGAGAAAAAGGAAATCTTCTGAAACAAAGGGGGATATTTTAAAAAAAAGGGGTGGGAGATAATAAAGTAAACAAATTGCCATCCTGTTGCATCCAGTAATAAAACAAACCACTGGTAAGGATTAGGTCCTATACATTAACCAGGACATTCAATCAGCATTCAAACACTTCTATCTAAATCCAAATTTTAGTGAGTTTTTCTTAATTTAAGCTTAATTGGTCAGAACTTACCCTCAAAAGCAATATCTTATTGCTTTTGCTTACATTCGAAACTACAGGTGCTTATGAGCCAAGAACAACCCTGAATACACAACAGAATGATAACTTAACTGCTATGCCAATCTAGGTTTGGTTTTTTCCTTACACTGTGTACTGTACTTACCCCATTCCATTCTACGCTCATACTCACTTCCTCTCCTCCATCAGGGCCACTCTCATACTTTACCACGTCGACATTGAGGCTCTCGCGGCTTCGCCTTCTCTCTATACTTTCTGGGTCATTGAGCACTTCAGCAACTCTCTGTTTGTGAACATTATCAAGACCCTGTGAGCCAAGTAAAGGGGAAACAGACATTTTACTTTGCACCAAGTAGTTCAGTGCCATGAGTGAGAAGCTCAATTATCATCAAGTTACTACGGAGTCTACAAAACATTACCGAATAAATAAGCACCCATTAGCTGTATATGAAGCATAACCATGAAGCACATATTACAGAATTACAAAGGTAAGTTTGAGGAGAAAATATTGTTTGCATATTATCTACACCCACAAAATGTTCTAGTTAATGTTCTAGTAAAAGTAACATGCTTTGCCTAATTTGTCTGAAGGTGATAATTTCGCCAACAACCCACTATATTCGAACTAGGTTTGTCAATTCTGTTAACTTAGGCCGGGTTCAAGGGGCTGAATATGGAATTCTCTGCAAACCATTTGTGTTTTAGTTTCCCACCCTTCCACTTCAGCACACATGCACAGGTGCACACACACAGTCCAAAGATGTTCCTGAAGGTCAGGAGACCCTTTGAAGCAGGACAAAAGGCTGCAGTTAGATAGGAAACATTGTAAACCCCTCTCCTCAAGTGGAAGTGCTTTGGGCTGGCATACACAACTGCTTGGGTCCTGGCCTTACTTACTTCCCCAGTTTAAAAATCCTCCACTAAAGGCAGTTTCAGGATTTTTGTCCTTGTTCTTAGTAGCATTCTTTTTGAGGTCAACCCAAACTGCACACGATACTGCAAATGTGGCCGTATCAAATATTTTATATAAAAGTTATTATTACTCTCCACACATTTTCTTAAAAAGTGAGAATATTTTTTTAAACATAATATCATTAATGGGAACATTTTTTAAAAAATCAGAGTAAAAGAATGAGTTATCTAGTTACATATTTCTGAGTGTTCATACTAAACTTCAGGGTGTTCCCCGCCCCCCATGGAAGTTGGAATTTCCCCTCTGGATTATTTTGCTAATATCTCTTCTGAAAAAAATTAAGGCAGTGCAGACAATCTTCTAACCATGACATTTCCTCCTTTCTCATCTGCGTAAGTCCACCCTCATCTACAGTATGTTTTAACCAGGATACAGCATTGCCACAGGATCAGTGTTAAATCACGATTTGCATGAAGCAGGCTTCCAAGCAGAGGTACAAAAAGAAATTCTAGACAGTTCAGATTCACTGTAGTTAAATTCAAATTCTTTGTAACAAAATACTAATAATTGTAGCTTAACACTATCAGAAGTGAAACGCTTGATGAACAAAGCACTTGCCTGTTTACGGGACCTCATTGCTGCCTCTTCTAATGTTTCAGCAGCTTCAAACTTGCCCTGGCGTCTGTAAAGTGCTCCAAGATTCTTTAATGTAGTTGTAACTGTTGGACTACAAAATATGTGTTAAAAGTTAGATTCCGGCAGGAGACCATTGCCTCCCAAACTTGAAACAATTCTGTCTAATAGTACAGCAGAATATTCCATTAAAAGCCAATGCTCATCATAAATTTATAATGGGCACTTACTGCTCACAAAGAGTTCTGAATAGGTCTGCAAATGCATAAAAAGTTATTTACTAGAAAGACCTTTTGCCAGGGTACCATGTATTGTTGCAGCTATTGCTGTCCGTTATATAACTAGGCTAGTTCTGAAGCAGTAACCTTGACAAAGACACAGATCACATATTCCTAGTGTCCTTCTTATCAGCCCTGCTCAATTTTCCAGTCCCAAAGGTTTACAAAAAAATGTCTGCTATATAACACTTGAGTCTGATGCATGATTCTCTGGTTTTTGCCTCTTGCTGTTTGAATGCAAGAGAGAACACCCTCCTCACATATGCTACTATTTAAAAAGCTATTATATAACACAGATAAATTAGCAGAAACAGAGGGATATTGCAGCAATGAAAGAACTAAGATTACTGAAACTGTGACAAGTGACAATTCCTCTGCTGCCCCTTCCCACTCCCCGAAGGAGGACAAGTCCATCCATGCATCAATATACCTTTAAAAATATTGTTTATTATTTTATTAAATTTGTATCTGTAGATCTCAGGGCAATTCACACAATACACAGAATAAAAACAAGAACAAAAGGGAAGCAAAACCCTTGGGAGATTGTGGACTCTCTTTCCTTGGATGTTTTTAAGCAGAGGTTGGATGGCCATCTGTCATGGATGCTTTATCCGAGTTTCCGGCATTGCAGGGAGTTGGAAGAGATTACCTTTGGGGTTCCCTTCCCACTCTACAATTCTATGATTCTATGAAAACAATAATCCCCCCTCCCCACCAACACATTTAAAAGGGTATAGGATGCTAATCAGCCATAGGCTCCAACCCAAAATAAATCCAAGACCCTGAGTCCATTCTGAAGTTGGGAAATGTAGAAATGGTGGGCTTAATTTGTAGCCAGTGATTTCAAACCACCACCTCTATAAAAGGACGGCCAGTAGGGTTTTTAGCAGCCACTGAGCATCTCTCCTGACATGTTAGGAAGCTCCAGCCTTCCAGCCAATACTGCACAATATTCCAGTCACTTTATGCTTCTGTTTCCAAATTTTATCTTTCTAGGTATTTATGCAAAGCCAAGTCTCTCTAGGTAGTATTGCAACACCAGTTTCTTTGGATGACTGTTTCAGTCACGATCAAGACATTTCCACCTGGAGAAAAACCTGTTCTGGGCATTCTCCTAACACCCCCAGCGAATTTGGAGGGGTGGGAACCTTGTTGCAGTGGCCAAAGTCCTTGTGCAAGCTTCCACTAGTGAGACCAGTTAACTGAATCTGGTTAATTGACCAGTTAATTGAATTAAGGTTATATTCAATTAACTTTTACTCGGAGTAGACTCATGTAAATTTATGACCACTAATTCTGCTGAGTCTACTGTGCATAAAAGTTAGTTGAATACAAACTTTATTAAGTTTCTCCATAAGGACATTTACAATTATCTTCACTATGGAGGTTTCCAGAATTCAACACACTATCAACAACATTATTATTTTAACACTTTAAATGTTTTTAGGAAAATGTACCTACCTATCAACTTTGCAAGCTTTATACCAGCCTCCATATTCACCAAAAGTAGTGCCATCTTTTTGCTTTCCCTAAATTGCAAACAGTGTGTTAAATTGTTATCTTTAACGCTATAAGGACAAAAATAAATTTCTGCTTCAGGTATCCTCTTACTTTGCATTCTTCTCTTTCTTCAGCATGCATCCAGATTGGTTTGTTTTCATCTATGTAAAAATAAGGTAAGGGATACTGTGTGAAATAAAATGACCACATTTGGCCAGACCAGCATTGTGAAAGAATGCTTACCAACACAATCCTATATCCACCTATGAGGGAGGAAGCCCCACTGAACTTAGTGAGGATTACTGCTCAGTAGACATGTATAGGATTGTGCTGTAAAGAAACATTATGGAAAGCTACAGAGATATCCACCCCCAATGTTCCCAGTTCTAGGACACTTTATTCACTGATCAGAAGCCAGTCACAGTGCTATTGTATATAAATGATACAAACCTTGAGTTTATCAAATAAGCTAAACAGAGCAAAGGGTCATCTTATCACACTGTGACAGAACAAAGACATATTACAAGTAGATGTCTTGTTTTTTTCACAGCCTAAGGATAGGAAAAAAAGAATACCTAGAAATCAGAGTTACAAAATGGTTGCAACTGCTCTTTCAAAGCAGCTTTGATGTTAACCGAATTGCAAGCAGCACATGCAAACAGAAGCTTAGTTGCCTGCTAGAACATACGGAGACGTCACTTTTATCACAATGACAACTTTGACACTTCAAGCAAGCTGCTTACATAATTAACTCATCACAAGGAAGCCAGTGCTCTGCAACTACTGCTTGCAAATTATATTCTGCCAAGTGTATTAACAATCCAACCAATTCCTTAAATCGCCCAATTAAAATGTATGATTCTTCAAGTCAGTCTTTTGGGCATCATTATTATCAGGATAACCTAAAACCCTCTGAAGAATTCTGCCAAGATTTGTAAAAGGAAGTCTAGAGCCAAAGAGCAACTGCAAGCATGCCCAACAGGATTAGACTTTGCTTGGACTAAAGAGCCAAGGGCTCTCCCCACCTTCCCCCTAGGACAGGCATAGGCAACCTCGGCCCTCCAGATGTTTTGGGACTACAACTCCCATCATCCCTAGCTAACAGTGAAGGGCCTCAGAAATAGAAATTCCAGCATGCTGTTCTCAAAGTAACTGTTACAAGACGGGCAAGACCATAAGCAAGCAGACAAACAAAGCAACTGTTACAAGACAGGGAAGGCTGTAGGAGGCAGACAAACAAAGAATGAGTAAATTAAGAAGTGTTAACCTTCAAAAGGAGAAACATGGAATGTTAGAGCCTGATTGGATAAGAATGTAAAGTCTCACTCTCTGTTGTTGTTGTTTTTGTATAGTCTATAAAAAGTGGGTGCACCCTGATTGGGGTGTGCAGATTGCGAGATTATTGCGCTGCACCTTTGCTTTGCATATGCATTTCAAATAAACCCTGTTATAATCTGCAAGGTTGTTTGCAGCTTTGTGTGAATCTGTGCTCCGGGGACCCTATAGCAGATACGGAACAAGTCCAACAACAGGACCAGTGGTCAGGGATGATGGGAGTTGTAGTCCCAAAACATCTGGAGGGCTGAGGTTGCCTGCCCTAGGGGCTCAGTTTGCATACCATATTAAACCATGGCTTAGCACTTGGTGCACAAGCTGGAATATGCGTGTGCTGGGATGAACCCAAAGAAAGCCTTGAGTTTGCATACTCCCTGCTCTTCTTCCCCCACTCCTGACCCACAGGTGGTAGGAGGAGGACGTCTGCAGAACTTAATTTCACTTTCAATATATCCTGGCTTATCCTTAACATACAAACTACAAGTTGTGGTTTAAAACAAAACTGAAGCAGTAAACAAGCAAGCTTCAGCCATGAGTTATGAATCTGGTTTGTTCAGAAACTGACTAGAGTTTGTTTCAAACCAAAATGTCTGGTTAATACTTTAACAACAAGCAAGGATTTGTGAGAAATGAAATTATATTGTGCAGACGTTCTTCTGCCACCAGGGAAGGACAAGGGAAAGAGGGAGCTCAAGGCTTTGCTCATGCTTTTGCCAGCTTCTGCACATAGAATTAAATAATGATTTAGCATTACATGCTTACTCAATTTATCATTATCAAAAACTGCTTGTGAAAATTCCTCTCAATTTTAAAGATGGTTTGCCATACAGCATGGGGGGAAAAACCTAGAGAAACAATGGCTAAACAACTTGTCAAAGCATTTCCTGTAATGATTTCTAAAATGATTTCTCAATATGTTCTGCCATTATTTAAAAGCAGCAACAACCCATGACCTCTTACAATTAACAAAGGACTTGAGTCTCTCCTATTCACAACCCCTAGTTACTCCAACATGAACTAACTTTCCTTCATAATACAAGCATTTACCATCCACAGAGCCAAATTCCCTTTCGTGGGCACGAGTAAGGATCTCTTTGTACAGAGTTTCTGCTTGCTTAAATTTGCCTTGTTTCAAGTAGCAGGATGCCTGAAAGGGATGACATGAGCACAGTCAGATTTGAAAGAAGTTCAGAAACATGATATCTGAAGGCAACTTGCTTAGCACATTACAAAGGGTTGGATCCAAATGTGTTTTTCTGCCTGCATAACAGTCATTGGAAGCTAACTTAAACCATTGGTCTTATCTAGCTCAATATTGTCTATGCTAATTGGGCAGCACTACAGAAGGTCTATGTTACATGTCACACTAGAACATGGTGTGAAAAAAGTGACACTAGATCCAAAGTTGTACTTCATCTGGGCAAGCAGAAGCACAGTAATTGTAAGACACAGTATAATGTATCACTGCTGAAAGTCTTCCTCTAGCACATGTGCAAGTCTTAGTGTGGCAATACTGGCACTAGGAACTATTTTCATTCTGCTCGGTGTTTTGGATCCAAGCCCATGTTTTCAGCAAATGAGAAATACAGTAGCTCATGTCTCATTATTATATACGCCACTGTGCAGACATACCAAATTATTCTTGGTTTTTGCTACGTTTGGATCATCCGGCCCCAGTTTTGTTTGGTAGATCTCAAGTGCCCGTTGATAGTAGTATTCCACTTCTTCATATTTACCCTGGTTCTGACATAGTAAGGCCAGATTATTTAACTGTTTGGCAACATCTGGATGGTCTTTTCCCAGTACCTAGAAGTAAAGGAACACTAGGTTACCAGTGTATCACTTCCTTTTAAAATATAAACTTTTTTTTAAAAGCCGTCACAGTCATATTTACACTAGCATTGGTTCAACTAGACTCAAGCCCCTATTTATACTCCACCTCTGGAAACACTGTATTAAACAAATTTAGCCAGAATTATTTACGTATTATACAGGGGTATGGGAAATATTCCAGATCACAACTTTCCAGTTATAAATCCTTCAAACCTCCACAAGAAACTTCACAAAGAACTTCTGCCTACACTATGGGAGGATTACTACTTTCCACACTAATTCCTTTCCTTTTCTGTCATTCACCCCAATTCTACATGTGCAGACTTCTGAAAAGTTAGGGTGCTCCCCAATGCCTACTTTTCATCTGTTTTGCATTCCAAATCATATGCACAAGGTAGATTTCCAAAACATATTGCTGTTTTTGAAGACAGAGAAATAGCATTCAAAGCCAATAGTATGTAGTGCAGGGAAAAGTGGCTCAGAACTGTGATGTGTGACAGCTGTCATGACACTGCGGGAATAAAATATCCCATCTGAGATGTTGAGATGTTCCTTGATACCTGATCTCCCTGCCTGGTAACAAATATGGGGTTTCCTGTCTTTTGAGAGCAGGTTCTGACACATCTTTAAAATACAGTGAATTGATTTCTAAAAACTTAATAGATCATTGCAATAAAATCCTAAATGTGCACAACTGTACGCACAATCTCTATTTTAACCAACACACACACACAGCCAATATCATGACAAGTCTGAGACTGAAAAAGCAGAAGTCAGCAAAAATAACACAGTTGTTCTGAGCTACCTTCTCTCTGATTTCCAATGCTCTCTTGCATAATGGTTCAGCTTCCTTGTATTTTCCTCTTTTTCCATAAAGCACTGCAAGATTGTTTAAAGTTGCTGCAACCTGCAAAATGAGGACAAAAGCTATGTAAGTCTACTAACATACCTGCTGAAATTATCTGGAGAAAAATTAAGCAGCTCCTAGAGCATTCATTTATTTGTAATTCAGATGTTTAAATACTTGTGAAACTAAGAAACATAAAATGTGTCTTAACTAGCACAGTGATGCCCAACCTTTGGCGGCCTACAAATAGTAGCAAATTGTTGTTGGACGGTACATATTTACTAGGTTGTTAAGTAGAACCAAGTAGTAAGATCCAGCAAGCATGGAATAAGTCATGCTAAAGGACTAGGTCTATGTTTTGAAAGTACTGGCCCAGAGCTAAAACCTTATCTGGGACAAGCATGTGGACAATAGATTAGTTATAACATACTGGCTGGGAAGCACTGGGCTAGGAATATTAGGAAATGCACAATTTTGCTCGATGAATATAGAATACTATATTCAAAAGATATATATTAGAAAGTGACATAGTTTCATATTATAGAAAGGACATCTGTAATTATCAATGGAGAGTATTTAATAAATGGCTTACACTGAACAAAAGTTTTTACTATTGCTCCAAAAAAGCAATCCAAAAACACATTTGAAATATTTCAGAATTTCAGGTAAATTCATCATGTAAATGATTCAGAATCAGACAAGTGTGCAAGAAAGTAATTTAAGTGGACCAATGTTGAAAGAGTTTTGTGCTTAATTATTAAAAGTGCAAGACATTATATTGAGAGTTACCTACCTGAATGAAGTTAACGATAAACCAGGGCTTAAAAACCTTCCTGTTGAGTTAATATTAAAATGAGTTTCAAAGGAAACCAAAAGGACTTGATACTACAAAGAAGGAAGAAACAAAAGAAGGAAGAAACAAAAGAACTATCTAATATACAAACCGCTGGATGATCTTTGCCCAAGGTCTTTTCACGAATAGCCAAAGCATCATTCAGTAAGTTTGCTGCATCTTTGTATTTATTCTGGTCCCTAAATTAGAGAAGTCATGATTAACAACCATATCTCATGAACATATTATCTAAGAATTCAGTCAGGAAAATCAGCAAGAATTGGATTCAGTATCTTAAGTATATGAAACTGTCAGAATCCAGTGCAGATTCTGCTCTTTTCATGTCTCAACCCATGAAGTGCCTATTATTCAACAGAGTTACAGCACAGTGGCTAGGTACTAGAACAGACCATGCTGATAATCTGAGGCTGCCCTCTACATCTCTATAAAGAACAACAACTACAGGATACTATGGACAGTATACCCAGTTCTCCTCCCAATCTAAGGTCATCAGATGCACCAACCAGCACCAAAACAAAATGCAGATTCAGTTCCCAAGCCACTAGCAGCAAACTACTGCTAAAGTAAGAATGTCCTCAGCCCAACTCAAAATATCTAGGAATATTATTCAAGTTGCATGACTGTCTCCCTAAAAAAGCCATGTCCTCAAACTAAAATACAACATTGTTACTCAAAACACCACCACAAGTACTGTATTTTAGTCTAGCTGTAACATCAAACACATTAGAAAACCGTTTAAATACCAACCTGTATACCAATGCAAGTATATTCAACATAGTGGCAACATCAGGATGATCATGACCTGATGTCTTCTCCAGGTCTTCAAGTGCTTGTTTACAGAGGGGTACAGCAACTTCATATCTGCCTTGGGAAGCATACTGAATGACAAGATTATGAAGGGTCCTTAATCTTGCTGGGATTTCATAGCCACCCTGCTGGGCAGCTGCTGCTGCACTGCTATGTGGTTGTTGAACTAGAAAGAAGAAAGCTGTATATTAAAATTAATATGTAACTGGCATGAATGAATTGAACGTCTTTAAGACTACACACTCAAATGTTTTAACTGTCAAAACTATGATTGAGTTCCATGAGATTATTATACCTAATCATTCTACTCTTGTTTTTTTTTTTTAAACACACACATTACTTTGCGCATACTCTGGCACATGTTTTGTTAGCAAGTTCTATTTCTTTTATTCATTACACTTGAAAGTCTCTGGCTTCCCAGGAGAATGAGATTGGATATAGCCAAACTCATGGAAAAGCAGGAAATCAAAAGTTCAGCCACCATGGTTGCTGATGCAAGTTTTTCCCCTGTCATCTAGCAAGCCAATGTAACCTGGGGAAAAGCCCAAACCTATAACCATGGGGGAGACTTGTTCCTAGCCTGCTTAGCTTCAGAACTGGATCCTAGCCTCAGTATAATTTGAGAGTAAAGTATGATTTCCCCAGTTCAGACATGATAAACCGTGGTTATCACTAACTAGAAAAAAAATCTTCACACTTAAGTACAACTTCTGATTGCCCATCAGAAGTTTCAAGTCTATCATTTTTATTGTTTCTGGCAAGTCAGCTGCCAGGCTTCAATACTGCAGCTACTCTTTTATGCTGTGCACTGTGCACTAATGACTTAAAGAAGCAGCTAAACTTCCACTAGTCCCCACTCACTCTGTATAATGTATAAAGTTACATTCACTTACTCCCTTGTCCTTGGTCATCTTCATCATTGGGGAATAAATCATCCAGTGGCTCTTTGGTAGAATCTGTGTCTTTATCCTCCTAGACAAATCCCAAGAAACAACAAGCAGTTAGAACCACTGAATCAATATGGATATGTGCATTATGCATATCCACAAATTGCAAAAGGCACCTTTTGTCTCATTACTGTCTCCCCACCCTACTTCTCAAACTAATACCATTACTGAAAAGTGTATCATCTACTAAGCATGATATTTAGAAGTGCAAAAAGAGAACTCTAAGTTTATGACCAGATGATCTTGAGAAAAGGGTAACAAAGGTGATCACAGGGCTGGACAACTCTCCTATGAGGAAAGGTCCCAACATTTATAGGGTAACGTTCCGCAGCAAACAGAAAAAAATTAGGAAGAATAAAATGTGTTTTAATGTGAAGCTACTTACTGAAGGAGATATATCATCATCGTATTTTTTTAACTGATTCATAAATTCTAGGTGCTTCTTTTCTTCTTCCAGCTGAGCCACTGACTGTTCACTCTTTTGTAATTTCTGCTGGGTATTGGCTAGCTCATCTCTTAGCCATTGATTTTCCTGGCATAGCCTGCGAACCTGAGCTCGTAATTTCTGCTTCTCTGATTCCACCGCATTTAAGTGATTTGACAAGGCCATCATTACCTAGAAAGGACCAGAAATTACAAGTATTATTCCTCTTGTCTTACAATATTTGAACATATATGTGGGTTAGCATCAGCTGCATCGCTGCTTTACAAATCCAACATTTGAGATTTTAATTGTTAACATTGTTAAAAAACTGTATCAAAGCAAGATAACACTTTGACACCAGACTAAATAGAAATGGCTTTTCACCTGTGCTTCACTGAGTCCAAGTTCCAGCATTTCCAGAGACTTGCGAATCATGTTTGATTTTTCTTCCACCAAATTTGTTTCGTCATCTTTCTTCAAACACTTCAGTGTCTCCAGTAAACTCTGTAAGATGGAATTGTGCTCATTCTTCAAAGCTTCTAGCCCTTGAATCACTTGCTTAGTCTTTGAAATAATTTCATCTTGAGTGAGTTTCTCCAACTTGTCTTCCTTTAGATACACCATTGTGGACATGTTGTCATACATTCTAAGAAAACACAGAAATGGTAACTTTAGTTTAAAGCCAAACAACATATTTTAGAATTCTTATTGGTCTTAATTGAAAACTGATGCAGTAGACCAAAGCATGCCAAAATGGCATAAAACATATTGGTATACATACTCTAGATTTTGAATATAGGTGTGTCTACAATAACTCCTGTGAAATTTCCTATTCAAAACAAACATTTTCCACAATACAAAGCAGTGCTTCAATATTTTGTATCTTGTATACAGCTACAGATTCGTGCAATAAAATATTGTCAATACATTTGCAGTAAACATTACTATCACAAAAAGGCTATGCAGTCAACAATATTTTAATTTCTGAAAGGTTTGGGTAAGCTTTGCTGGCCAGCAAGATACATATATTTTAGTAGATGAGCCTCAGGGTCCCTTCCAAATCTACAATTATATGATTTATGAATTATGAGTTATGTAGCAGCCCATCAATAAATATTCACTGGGCAGCGTACAATAAAACAGTATTAAAAATACAGGATATATAATTTAAATATTAAGGCAGTACAAAAACTTCCTTACAATAGGGACAGCATAATTTACGATCCATATTTTAAACAATATTAAAATATTATCCCTGGGCCATATTATTAATAATAAAAAATAAATTAACAATATTCAACTAAGTCATCACACTAGTGGAAGCCAGTGCAATAGCCACAACATGCCCTCCCCAAATCTGCTCTGGAGAGTAAGCAGAATCCCCAGAACAGTAAGGGCAAGGAAGGAGAGACTGCTGTCAAGCAAGCAGAAACGCTTGAGTGATGGACTGATCTCCCCAGCATTACACTGAATACGGCCCCATGGTCTCAAAGCTTTTGAATTCTGATATCCTTCCTACACGCACACACACACGGACCAGAAAGCACTTAACACCTGTCTGTTTCAGTATTGATTTGTGTGAAATATCCATTTATTAATCCTGTTTTGCAGGCATACATTGTCACCCAACCCAAAGGGATGGGAAATTTTAAAAATGACAAGAATATTGAAATGGCTGAGTAAGGGAAACTAATGAAAGACAGGTAAAAGGGATTTTTCCTGTTATTTTATAATATAGCAAACCAGTGCATTCAGCTCTAAAAGCTGCTGACAGAAGCACTTCTAAATGACTTCCATGGGTCAAAAGCAGTTTACTGCTCTCTCAATAACCTGTAGAGCCTGCTTGGGCACAATTCATTTAACCAGTTCTTCCATAGATTTACAATTTCAGAGAGGTATTCAAATTTCCTTTGAAGACATGTTTAGGAGGGAGGGAACCCAGTAAGTATATGGTTATCAGGAGAAGTAATAATAATCATGGACCATAAGGGATTATCTCAGAACAGTAAAGAAGAGCCAGCACCTTTATGCTCCTCCTCACTCAGGACAGAGGTAGATGAAACTATAGTCTCCTGCCCACATGCAAGATGAATCACATTAAAACAATTGAAGTAAACATTAAAGCAGCAGCTACCGCGTGGCTTCCAATGTTGTCCAATTCCCTGATGGAAGAAAGGGGAGAGGAGCAGTTTCTAGCAATTCCCCTGCTCCCCCTCCATAAATCTCATTTGGAGGACTGAAGGGACCCTGTGCAACAGAAATTATTTTGCATCAGCTAGAGCAGGCTTCCTCAACCTTGGCCCTCCAGATGTTTTTGGCCTACAACTACCATGATCCCTAGCTAGCAGGACCAGTGGTCAGGGATGAGAATTGTAGTCTCAAAACATCTGGAGGGCCAAGGCTGAGGAAGCCTGAGCTAGAGCAAATATGGGGAACTTGTGGCTATCTATATGCAGTGTTCAAAACTCCCATTGTTCCAGGCGTATTTTGCAACACGGAACTGCATTAGCGAGAGCAGTTTCTGAGCTCTGGGCACAGTACTGTGCCTAAGATTTCAGATTAAAACTGCAGAGTGGAAGGAAAGGAGGAACTTTTTCTGTCTCCCCACTTCCAGCTGCTCTCTGAAGACTGGAGAAGAGAACCTTTTAAGAATATTAGGGGGGTCAGCAGGGAAAGGACTAGACCATGTGAAAAATGAACATAATACTTTAGCTGCAGTTCATTCATTTTCAGCTTTGTATTCTTGTTATAAAAAGTGCACCTAGACATTCCATTCTTGTGCCCATAACCTAGGTTTAAGGTGCCATTTAGCTGTCATATCTCAGTTTCTAACACTATATGTTGCTGAACAACAACTTCTATAATCCATTGCTATTGACCATGCCAGCTTGAGTGATGGGAGTTGGAAGTCTAATGACGTCTGGAGGACCACTGACTCCCCACCCATGAGTTAGAATGGGTAGGATTGAGCTGTCCTTTCTCTGAATCTGAAAGCAATACCAAAATACTTAGTCACCTCCACAGATCTGAAAGCAAAAAGAAGAGTTGAGAGACTTGTCACACTTCCCTAATTTGCCAGGAACTGTTTCCTGAAAAAACAAAATTTCACACCGCACAGTCAGACACACATGACTCACTGGGAGGTGGGGTTGGGGTGAGAGACTGCAACTGAATTTTGAAAAAGGCACAGCAAAAACACAACAGCAATTTCCAACATATTCAACACAGAATATATTCTAATTGTAAAGGACCACTCATTAGCAATTAACCAATTTTCTTTTCCCATTATGATACTAAACTTCAACTTGAATCACGAGTGCTATAGACAAGCACATTCACCATTCATAGCTAGTACATATCATGGCTTGGATCCAGATATGTCTTGCAAAAGCAAAAAGGGACTTCCACAAGGCAGGCTTATATTCTCCAAGTTTCCCTTCCCCACTGCAGCCTGTGCTCAATTAAAACCTATTCCAGAAGGTCCGTCAGGAATAGCTGTAATAAGGGTAACTAAGGTAAAGGTAAAGGGAACCCTGACCATTAGGTCCAGTCGTGGCCGACTCTGGGGTTGCGGCACTCATCTCGCTCTATAGGCTGAGGAAGCCGGCGTACAGCTTCCGGGTCATGTGGCCAGCATGACTAAGTCGCTTCTGGCAAACCAGAGCAGCACACGGAAACGCCGTTTACCTTCCCGCCGGAGCGGTACCTATTTATCTACTTGCACTTTGACGTGCTTTCGAACTGCTAGGTTGGCAGGAACCGAGCAATAGGAGCTCACCCTGTCGCAGGGATTTGAACCGCCGACCTTCTGATCGGCAAGTCCTAGGCTCTGTGGTTTAACCCACAGTGCCACCCAATAAGGGTAACTATTAGCTGCCAATTCTCTGTTAAAGCAAATACCTCTGTACCACTCACAAAACTCCTTCCCTAGGGAGGCTAACCATGCACTCATTCTTCTCTTTTGGCACTGTAAGAAGATCTGCTTTTCTGAAGCCTTTTATGCTTCATGCTTTAATCTATTTTAAATGCACCTCTGTTCCTGGTTTGCTGTGTACTATTGATTTCATTGTTCTATGCATTTTATTGTGAATTGCCAGGGAGCAAATTGGTTGCATACAAATATGCAAAATATATCAGAAAATAAATCTAAACAACAGCCTTTGGGCCATAACATGTTTCCAAACACTGGGTTGAGCTTCTTATTCCTAAATCTGAGCATGTGCATACCTGTGACAGAGCTAGAAAAAAGTATGCAAAGTATTGTATCTTATTTCTCTTGTTCTTCAATGGTTCTACTTGGAGCACACCTTTACTTGAAGTAGGAAAATAATATTATGAATTTGGGGGGATGTTGCAGACTACCCATAATCCTAAGTTTAGTAAAGGGGTAGAATTTATCTGATTTTGGAGTATGAAGGGAAGATACCAGTGAAAAATAAAGGCTGAGCTAGGTCTCCTGGTTCAGGAACTCACTGATACCAATGCCATTAAGATCACAAGGAGAAACAACCACCAGGCATTAAAAACCAATTGACCATGCATATGTTGTCCTTCCCCCAGTTGTGTGTTAGTTAGCAGAAGACAATATCAGAGTTGAGCTATTGGAGAGTTACAGCGCCTGCTGTGGCAGTAGAGACCGAAACGAAAAATACAGGATCTGTTGCAGCTGAGGCAGATGAAAGCGTTCGGTTGTGCTGCCGCAAGTGTACCATGGTGTTTCTTCTTCCAACGGTCATTCCTCCTCAGGTCACTGCTGTGGATATACAACCTGTTTGTCTGTCTCCAGGCACTGTGGTCGTCTGCAAGGGATTCCCACACCACAGGATTAATGTTGCCAGCCTTCATGTCAAGTTTGCAGACATTTTTGTAATGAAGAGTTGGTCTGCCAATGGGCCCAGTGCCTGAAGCAAGCTCTCCACAGAGCATGTCCTTGGGGATCCTGCCATCTTTTATTCTGTGGACATTACCAACCTAGCGTAGATGTTGCTGAGACAGGAGTGCAAACATGGTGAGAATGTGGGCTTGGGAGAGCACATCTTTGTTTAAGATGCTCTCCTGCCATGTGAATCCCAAAATCTTCCTGACATGTGTAGAAGACTACGGTTATCACAAGGACTGATGCTGGCAATTGTCCCTTTAATGCCCCAGCATAAGGCCTAACATGCATGGACTTAGCTTTGTTTGCTATTTGTAACCTGTCCCTTCCAGAGTTAATATAAATCTTTGTCAGCAGCACAGCATTTATTCAGTAGAAATTAGCAAATGTCACAAGGCTTGTAAAGTATGATAAACAATGCACTAGCTGGAAGAATCAAAGGCTGGTTGTCTGTAACATATAAGCTGAGTTTCTCACACAACTGCTTTTAGTTTGAAGAACGTAGCTGCTTGGGATCTAGAGTATTCCCTTTTCCTCCCAGGAATGCATAAAGAAGGTAAAGCCCAGTGACATATAACTCATATGTGTATTATGAAAACATGAATTAGCCTTGTCAGCATAGTGAAACAATACATAATAGGGAGCCAGACAACTGGCAAAACCACAACTCAGCTGCTGAAACTAAGATGAGGAACTTAAGAGATAGACCCAGAACTAACAGAGATGTTTCACCCCGGCTGTAAGATGCCATGCAGGCTATTGCTTGGTAGCCTTACGCTTAACTGTTTGTAGTCTTATGCCTTATTTAGTTTTGTGAGGGTTTAGTTAGCTTATTGTATAATTTATACAATTATTATGCTTTTTTCAGGCTAGCTATCACAAACCTTGTTTGTGATTTTACTTGCTGTACATGAATAAAATTGATAACAAGCACACTTTTGGGTGAAGACTGTCTCCAAATCCACAAAGAACATGAGTCTCCTCTATTTCATCAGCTACATGAGAATGGTACCGAGGCATCATGATCTGTGTACTTGAAGATTCCGAGAGATAGGAATCCTGATCCCCATCAAATCCCTCTGTTGTGCACTTTGATTTTCAGTTTTCTAGCTGTGGACTGGACAACAGTGTCTTGCTTTGTGTAGCTTGGGTCCATTTCCATAAATAAAATTGTCTACAATATCTTCTTTTGAATGACTTGCATGGCAGCACAGTTCTTCCATATGTTCCTATAATTTCACTCATAGAACCACATTAATTGTACACAACTATTAACTTCTGCAGCCTTGCTTCATTAACTAGCTTCAATTTACATGGTTTTAAGCTTTTGTTACCTCATTCCAAATCCAATCACTTTAAAGAAGAAAGCATGGCTTGTACATTCTCATTTCCTTCCTGAACCTTGAAGGCTGAATCTTCCCTCGCTTAAAAAGGCATCCAGTGAAGCAAAGAAATCCAGATACGGATTTGCACATAGTGATCATAAATGAGCTAGCTATCACACATCTATGTAGTACTTCAAACTACTCTTTGATTGCAAACCTACTTCCATCCAAACATTTGCTTTCAGAATTTCCTAGAAGAATGAGTAACATATCCATGTCATAGGTGCACATAATAATGTAATTTAGTGAAGTACATGACATTGCAAGGTAATAAATTAAGTCAATTATATATCTTCGTCTTGTTTCTGGTCAGTCACTGCCAGTTCAGACTCCACTAGCATACACATGGAAAGAAGGAACATTCCATCAACTCATGTGCAATCTATGATAGATAGCTGTCGACTATGGATTCTACTTTTAAGTGAAAACTGTCAGTTTAAAACGTGGTTGCATCTATGTGACCAAATCAGAGGAACTAATATCAGGGGATATACCTGTAACTCTTTTTTGTAGTGATACAGGAATTGTCACCTTAAATATACAGTATTTTCTTATTTTTCTTCTGACTGTTGTAAAAGATTACACCTTGTAATTGGCTGGTTTGAGATGTAATAGATTCTCACAGCAATGAAGTTGTCACAAGCTTTATTTCCCTTGTGGAACATATTCAACAGGAAATCAGCTGTAGGGGATGGTGCAGCTTTCTTGTAGCCATTGTCTCTTGAGACAGATGGATGCCAACAACCATGCTGAACAATGAGAGTTTGATGTATGCTTCAAAGGGATACAAACTTTCTTCCATCTTTCTTTGATCTTTATCATGACGATAAACTGTGCACGATCCTTCCTCATATTAGTTGCAGTTCAGCAGTAGTATCTTCTTCTTTGTGGCACCCCAGCTCTTCAAAATTTGGTTTTACTCAAAATGCTTGATCTTAGTAAATGACTTTATGTCCAGCTTTGTCCAATAGATATGGGTTGGTAAATGCTAACATTTCTGTTAGATTACTTGCAGCATTAGCATTGCCTATCTGTTCCAATCTCATGTCAACAGCAGATCTTGGGATTTTTTTCCCTTTTCAACATATGCACAGAGCTGCTTGCCAGGGTGAGGCTCTTACATTTTCAGCATGTTGTCTTGCAGTCAACACAGGCCATCTTGCATAGGTTGGCTGACTGAAGAAAAAGAACAAGCTGAACACCTGACCAAGGCAATGTACAAGTAGGCCATGTCTGTCAATATGTTTGCTACAGGAAAATGTGTGAAAGAGGTAAATGAGTCAAATGCTGGTAAACTAGTATGATGCCATTTCACCATGCTCACCTGACTTAAGTTTTCCTTGATAATTCCACGTATGCACTGATGAAATGTCTTATATCATCAGTCAACTATTTCCTTCTGAAGGCATGTCTCAAACAGCCAAACTCCTCAGGTTATTTCAGAAGGACAAATGTTACACAGACTCATCTCTCAGCACTGGTAATTCCTATAGCACATATACTAGCAACATCATAAACGTTGCATCATACAATGTTGATTATTTCCCCCAACTGTTCTCATTGTGCACAGAATTAAACTATATCAGCATATTTATTTAAGTACAGTTTGTGTAGCTATTTAACAACACTATGGCCCAAATCCATCAGAACACAGAGTCATCAAAAGATGCATCTAGCCAATTTAATGGGGTCCAAATGAGCATGTCCACAGATGGGAATGCACATCTTTATCAATAGGGTGCATGCAATCCTGCTTCTACATGCAGCTCTCCTTTCTTGGAACAAGGTGTAAATGGCTGGTGCAATAAATGAAAAATACTTAACAGGTGCCATACATCTGTATCCCAATGAAGCCAGTGAGCTGTCTATTGGGTGATATCCAACAGTCACTGAGATCAACAAAAATAAATTTGCAGCTAGTTTCAGTTGGACTTAGTGGAGATCACCCATTGTCAGCACAAATAACACTTTCAAGATTAAGAATTCCCATGTTCAGAGCTATTCCCCTTCAAGCAACCCGCCCCCCCGCCTTAAACAAATAATTCATCTTGAGTCAGTTATCAACATATCAACATGATATTTATTTTGTTGTTCAGCATAAAAAGTAGACATTTTTAGGTCAATGCCACTGAACACAATACTATAAAACCATAAGTATATAGAAATACTGACACTACCCTTGAAATACAGATTTTTTTAAAGCTGCAAGTGTACAGTTTTCCTTTACTCAAATCAAAACTATTGAATGTTCTTACGTTGGTAATATTATTATTATGGAATACTGAGAATTCATCAAGGGCAGATAATCACAGAGTGCCAACAGCAAGGTCATGAGCCACATGGATGGCAATTTGGAACACATATGAAGACTGATGGCAAAATAGTTTTATAGCCCTAAAGGTTAGTGAGGTAAGACAAAAAATCATGAGAATCGTTCAAATTCTCATAAAAACATTAAAACTGGCAGAGATGGACACTCCAAAGCAGACTGGAGGGCACAGGGGGCTGCAGAGGGAGAGGGATTTTTAATCACACAACTTTGGGTGCACCATATGAATCTAAAACAATTTCAAAACCTCTTACACACTTACTTCAGCTCAGAGATCATGACTTGCTGAAATCACAGTTTCCTGTCACAGTCAAACCGAGAAACTATGATTTTAATCTTGGTTTACTAATCAGCATATGATAATTCCCTATGCTAGTTAGTAGTCAGTAATCTAACCTCCTCATTTCAATGTAACAGAAAACTATTGTTTAAATAAGCCATAATCTCTAAAGTAAAGTCAGTATATGAAGGAAGATTTCTTGCCATGTTGCGCTTATGCAATTTTATTGGACTAAATTATATTGGTAAAAAATATGTTTGAAAAAATGTATACAGGCAACATGATAAATTAGTCACTTCTCAGCAATACAAACACAAAGGTTAGTTTTACGCAAAATACGTCAGTAATTTCAGGTACCATACCTATTGATACCCCAATTATTTTGGAAACCAGATGCTGCGTTGAGTTACTCAACAAATGTTAGCGTATTGGAAAATAAAGTGAATGGCGGGAAAAAGCTGGCAAGTGTTTATTTTGTACTGGGAATGGAAGTACTGAAGTAAAAAAGTACAAAATTTACTTCCTTGCATTTATGTATATAGCATAACAGAGGACAAGATGGTTGAATAGTGTTCTCGAAGCTACCAGCATGAGTTTGACCAAACTGCGGGAGGCAGTGGAAGACAGAAGTGCCTGGCGTGCTCTGGTCCATGGGGTCACAAAGAGTCGGATACGACTAAACAACAACAACAACAATATAGCATACTGAGTGTTAAAAGTGTTTCAAATATGCTGCAAATAATTTTTACAATAGCCTTGTGAGCAGTGGTTTCCCCCCCTAGAAAAATAGGTGTCGGTACTAGCCATTAAGTTGTTACAATAAGTGCCACACTTTTTAGCAACAACAAAAAAGAGGTGCTGGTATTCCGTACCCTTGAGTACCCCCTGAAAAATAAGTGCTGCTTGTGAGATAGGACAGTATTATCCCAGTGAGGGATGAATAATTGCTAGCAGCAAGTTTATGGACAGAAACCAGAAAAGCTCACAGTCCTTGCCGCTGCAATAGCTTCAAATTTTATCCATTACAATTTCATCTTTGATTTGAAAAAGCCTAGAATCCCTTATCTGTAGTGACAAGAGTTTATTTTCTAGAGATGACAGGAAAATTGCACTTAATACAACTACAGAGTAATAAAAAAAATGGGGGGGGGGGGATATTTCCAAATACCTTCTTCTCTGCATCAATGAATATTGCTATTAGAAAAGTTTGACAAAACAATCCATTGTTTCCTAACCCTAACCCTAATCTGTCATCTTAAAAAACCCATTCATCCCCCCCTCCAGGAATATCAATATATTTTGCATGTGCATCAGCAATAAGACATAGAAAATGCAGCATGGTAATAAGGACAAACTTCCTCAGGGGATTTTGCTTCCTATGCTATTTTACATGCAAGCTTATGAGCAATACATCCTGCAAAGAATAAATTAAATTGGAGGCCCTCCATTTCTTGAAGATTCCAAAAACTGAAGCTTAAACATTTGAAGCTTAGTTCCTATTATAAAGAAAATGACATATTTGAGCACCATAGCTGTTTCAGACAGCTTTTGTTTGATGTTGCCTCGTGCACTTGCTATTCTGAATGTTAAAAAGCCTAAAATGTATAGAAGCCATGTTGTCACACTAGACAGGGTTATACTGAAAATTCAGAGTAAAAACATATTCTAAGCTAACTGCGCCTCAGAGGCAGATCAGAAAGGTGGAGACTGAAGAGAAGCTGCACTAATACTCATGTCCAAAGGGAATTTAGCCTGCAGTAAAAAGCCAGAGACTGCATTAGAGGGTACAATGAAACATCCCAAGGGCACCCAACTGAGCAAAAGAAACCAACAGATACAGCACAAAGGAAGAGAGGCAGGTGAGCATTTTGCCAAAGCCTGATGGAAAACTCAGACACAAAGCTAACAGCAACTGATCCCTCCTTTAAAATAAAATCATATTACACTGAAATTTTTTATATTATAACCCACTTCATCTTCCTTTAATGTTCAGATATTGTTCTGTGTTCTTATTTAATATCCAGAGGCTTCGTCTGAGGTTGCAAGTACTATTACTCTTATGCCAGTGACCTAGATTTCTCTTTTAACCTTTCCATTCTAAATCACTTCTGTTTTTTACTCTGCCTTAGTAAGAAGGCAAGCATGGACACTGTTAAGCAGCAGTGGACAGAAGGCAGAATGGAATTTACTGGTAGATCTTTGGCAACTATTTCTGACTTCTAATTGTTTAACAACAGCAACAACAAATTGACTCTAAATTATACTGCTGAAATAAAGCAAGCATTGGATGACTAGGATTCTTCTGTGTCAGGACTGAGAATTCTGTTCAGTTCTAGTACTCAAGAGCAAATTCCTGGGATCAGATTTCTTTAAATGTATTTCTTTTGCATCAGACTCCAGTAGGTGGGTCTCTGGGTTCTAATAAAAACACAATAGCTTCCTCAAGCCCGAATTTTGCCCCCACTTTCAATAAATTAATATTTCACAATTACTTTGGGTAATCCTTTACTTTATTTTACAATAGGACATGCATTTTTAATCAGTACATAATTTTAGCAATATCTAGGATAGATCAATTTTATTTTCATGATCACAAAAATATAGGTAAACATCTGGAACATTATATAAAAATGTTGTTCAGTCTTGGACTTTTTAAAAATAAAAACAATAGATTTTGGCTCCTAAGCATTTCTGAATGAGCTGTGTTATTACCACACAATTCTCAGCTTCCTAAAATATAAATTCATCTCAGAACAGTTTCCTGTTAAGCAATATGCTTGCTATAACTCAGTTGTGCTGCCTCATAGCACATTATAGCTCTGCCTAATGGATCTGTTTTAACTTTACTGTTGATGAATGCTGAATTTATTATTCCAGATGCATTTGAGTCCTATGACTAATGTCTTCCACCATGATGCAACCTAGTTTTCAAAATTCTTAGAAAAAGAACTTCTGTGAGATATTTAAAATCAAAATATGTTCATGTCATTTTAAAATAAATGGTTCTTTGGGAAAGCTGAGAATACAATTCTGACATGTACGCAATAAGTAGATGGTTCAACTGTTTCCTATACAACTTAGCTCAGAAATGCATACTTATTCTATACACAGCACAATCCTATTCATGTCCACTCATAAGTATGAATCACTTAGTTCAAAAGGGCTTACTACCAGTTATGTGAGTATTATAGGATTGTATCACTAATTTGTTTATATTTCATTCTACTGTCATACTGTTATGCTTGAATTGCAAGCTCTACAATATATTTTCTCCCATCAAGATACAAAAATGAAAACTACTTCCTAGATTTTTAAAAGTTTCCCAAGTCATTTGGCAGATTTCCTGTTATTAATGAATAAGGGTTGGTCCTGTTTGTTCAAAGGGCCTCTTAAGCTTCAATAGTTTACATGTAATTTTAGGTAGGAAAAATGAGGGCTAATTAGGCTATAATTCAGTGGGGCTTACTTCTGAGTAGTAATGGTTAGGACTGTGGGTTTACTAATTGCAACCTGGTTTCAGTCATCCTGCTTCCATGCGTAAGTATTGCTTCAAAACAGTTTCAGAGTCCAAAATCTTGAAATCAATTGAAAAGAAAGCCAGGAGACAGCAAGCTGATGAGCCTGCCTTAACAGACTCAAAAGCATACCCCACCCCCTCTCCCTTCCTTTTTTCAATCAAAAACATAAACCCAGAAGGATTGAGCCACCCTGCATCTAAAAATGCAACTGAGGTAACACATTTCCTCATCCCTAGATGTTACTGTCTAGCCCCCCGAAACCGCGAGACGAATGTGAAAAGGAGAGAGGAAAGGAGAAAGGTAGGAAAGGGGGTTGTTGCCTCTGTAAAGGAAGCACATCCCCTACATGCAGGCCGATCCCTTCCTCTCCTGCATCCTTTCCCCAGCTGCAGGTGGGGGAGAAAGGGAAGAGAGAGCGAGAGATTGAGAGATTCGTGTTGGCTACTTGGCTCTTTGCAAATGATCCATGCCTGAACATCCGCGGAATCCCAATGGGGGACCAAGGGACCAACCCGGGACTAATAGGAGCCTGGCTCTGCCTTTTGTTCTGGATGAGTAATCGATGGAAAAATGGGGTGGGGGGGCGGAAGAGAGAAAGAGCCTCCAAGGAAGGAAGACACACATACGCACACTTCCTTCACACCCAGAGCTTGATAAATAAACAAATCTGGCTGCTACCAACCTCCTATTACTCCTTCCTCCGCTGGTCCATGTCCCTTTCCACCATCTTCTAGATCTGTATACAGTTTCAATTCTATCAATGCTCCAATTTTTTGTTGTTGATGATTGGGGAGAGGGGCATGTTTTTTTGCTGTTCTTATATTTTACCTGTAAGCCGCCTTGAGCCCCGTCAGGGGAAAATGAATATATAATAATGACAATAATAACCATATTTTGGAAGTACAGTGGTACCTCGGGTTAAGTACTTAATTCGTTCTGGAGGTCTGTTCTTAACCTGAAACTGTTCTTAACCTCAAGCACCACTTCAGCTAATGGGGCCTCCTGCTGCTGCCGTGCCACCGGAGCACAATTTCTGTTCTCATCCTGAAGCAAAGTTCTTAACCCGAGGTACTATTTCTGGGTTAGCCGAGTCTGTAACCTGAAGCGTATGTAACCTGAAGCGTCTGTAACCCGAGGTACCACTGTACTCCATTCAGCCCACCCACCCAGTGTTACACCCCCTCCTGTAAGCCGCCCATAGTGAGGCTGGGGAAACCCAGCCACGATGGGGTATAAATAAAATAATAATAATAATAATAATCATCATCATCATCATCATCATCATCCTCATTAGCTGCCACAACCCACCCACGCAGGATCTGGCCCTCCCTCCGCAGAGGCTGCCCATCTGCCTTAGGTGCTCGGGATCAGCATCACCTCACGCCTCCCCCCCCCCATTAGATCTAGCATCGCTCCCCACTATACACGGGACACGCATACACACACACCTTCCCATAAGTGGCGCCCTTTCCCGGCATCTCTGAGGGGCGGCGGGAGGGGGCGTAGGGAGGGGCGGCAGGCCGCTGGCTCCTGGGAGGGGGGGCTCGGAGGAGGCAGGCGGAGAGGGAACCAGGATGCCAGAAAAACGGCCACTCACCCCAGCTATGACCTCTCCGCCCAGGCCGGAGTAGCCGGCTGTCAGTCCCGGGGAGGAGGAGGAGGCTGGTCTCCGCACAGCCGCCGACGCCACCGCGGCTGTTGCAGTTACAGCCGCCGCTGAAAGAGACAGAGAGAGAGAGACAGAGGTAAGTCCTTCCCGGCTTTCCAAGGCTGACTGAGCGGCCTCAGCTCCGCCCCTCTCCTCACCGAAAATGGCGGCCCTCCCTCCCGGCCCACAATCCTCCGCGCGGCGGCAGCAATGATGTCAGTGCTGTCAGAGGGAAGGGAAGAGGGAGGGAGAGAGGCTCGCTCGCGCGCGCGAGGCAGGCCTTTCGTACAAGGCGCATGCGCCAAGCTGGGTTGGAGTGGAGATGGGGCTGGCTTGCATCTCCGGCCGCGCGCTGTTCGACCCGTTGTTTTGGCAGGACGGCGCGGCCCTCCGCCTTCGCCTCATGGGCGCCATGGAACGTTCTAGCGCCCAGCTTTATTGACGGTTGGGTTAGGTGGACTGTGGAGCCCGCCTGATTAGGCAGCTGGAAAGACTGAAAAGTGAGGGAAATACAGTATAATGAAAAAAGCAGACACACACATATTCAATATTTTTTTAAAAAAAATTGGGAATGGTCTGAAGCTCAACATCAAAAAAACTAAGATCATGGCCATTGGTCCCATCACCTCCTGGCAAATAGAAGGAGAAGAAATGGAGGCAGTGAGAGATTTTACTTTCTTGGGACCCATGATCACTGCAGATGGTAACAGCAGCCACGAAATTAAAAGACGCCTGCTTCTTGGGAGAAAAGCAGTGACAAACATAGACAGCATCTTAAAAAGCAGAGACATCACCTTGCCAACAAAGGTCTGTATAGTTAAAGCCATGGTTTTCCCAGTAGTGATGTGTGGAAGTGAGAGCTGGACCATCAAGAAGGCTGATCGCCGAAGAATTGATGCTTTTGAATTATGGTGCTGGAGGAGACTCTTGAGAGTCCCATGGACTGCAAGAAGATCAAACCTCTCCATTCTGAAGGAAATCAGCCCTGAGTGCTCACTGGAAGGACAGATCCTGAAGCTGAGGCTCCAATACTTTGGCCACCTCATGAGAAGAGAAGACTCCCTGGAAAAGACCTTGATGTTGGGAAAGATGGAGGGCACAAGGAGAAGGGGACGACAGAGGATGAGATGGTTGGATAGTGTTCTCGAAGCTACCAACATGAGTTTGACCAAACTGCGGGAGGCAGTGGAAGACACGAGTGCCTGGCGTGCTCTGGTCCATGGAGTCACGAAGAGTCGGACACGACTAAACGACTAAACAACAGCAACAAAGATTGTTATAGAAAATTATACATCACTGTTAAACAAAACAGACATTAACCCAATGTATAGGGCCAGCCCAAGCATGAGGCAAGGCAAGACAACTGCCTTGGGCGGCAAGATTCACAGGGGCATCAGATCCCAATGTAGAACTTTATTCTGCCATTTTCCTGATATAGATCTTCATTCACCCCTTTTTCCCTGTTGCAGAGGGAGGCACCGTTTTGTGATTCGCCTCAGGTGCCAGAATGTCTTGGGCCAGCCATGTGAATGTATTAAATAACATGTTTTAAGGGTTATACAAAATTCAACAAAATACAGTGCCTATCAAACAGATCTGGTGATACAATTCGCAGTCCATATTACAATTATAAATCACTCTTGGACAAAAACAGGTATAAAATAAAACCAAAATAAATAAGACAATAACTGGAACTATTTATAGCATAGACATAACGTAAGGGTTAAACAGGATGGGGTTACAAAACATGGACCTTATTATACCAAAGGAAAGTAATTAAAATTATTCATATGCACTGAGTCACTATCAGCCGTCTTCATTTGTAGGCAAATCAGACCAAACAGGTATGAAATTGTCACTTTATCTTTGTCCCCTAAGGACTCTCAGCTTATTAGTTCATTTTTCCAGCAGGGCAATATCCCACACTTTAGTGTACCACATAGTAAGACTGGCCCCCATCAAAACAAACATTCAAATCAGTCAGCCAATAACTCTTTAAATAAAATCAGTCAACACTGGAAGGAGGGAACCAAAATAGACCCAGGAGAGCAGGTTCAAACTCAAATATTATTTCAAATATTTTTATGCTTTCTTTCCAGGGAAAAAAGAGGTAGGGGGGCTCACATAAGAATAATGTAAACCATCAAAAGTACCAGTTCAAAATTTAAAACATTAAAAATGATTTTAAAAGACCAGTTATTGCCTGGCTAGGAGGAAGCTCTCTTGAATTCAAAGGAACTTGTGAGTGGATTGCCCTAGAATTTTTCTGCATTCAAAGCCAAGAGGGAAGCTCTGCAATGCACTTAGAATTTTAATTTAGAAACAAATATACCTCCAGTCTAAGAAGTTTGGGGCACACTTCCCAGTGTTGCAGATGACCTGTTTAACTGAGCATTCGTCCCAATCTGTTTGCAGGGAGATTAGACAAAGCTGGCTATTCAATGAGCATTCTGATTTGTTTGCAGGGAGGTTAGATGGTGTCCTTTCAAATCCAGAACAGAACCATGTTCTGGACCAGCTCCATTTATAAGCCAACTTCCATCTTTGATTGTTCCTAGCTACCTTTCATGCTTTTTGGGGTGACAAGTATATGGGAAAGTGGGCTTGCCCATGCCCTGCTATTAAATTATTGCTGGGATGACATTATGTATAATTTAATGTTGATTCGTTGTATGTGTTCATTATGTAATATGAATTATATGTATTATTTATTACTATGCATTGCTTATCATTATGCACTGTATTTTTTACAGTATGTTTAATTTTTTTGTATTGCATGGATGTTAAGTTATTCATTGACATACTGTACATGGTTTATTGTGTTCTTTGCTGTAAACCTCCTTGTGGTCTTTTAGCAAAGGGCAGTATATAATAAATAAATGAAAGTCATGTGTTGTCCTACACTTTCCAATGCATTTTCTCATCACTTTCCTGATTGGAGGTGAGGTTTGTTGCACATTACTGCTATTGTTTGTTTCTCAAAGTGGAGTAAGATAGGTCATGGGCGTGCACAGGATTTACGGTATGTTGGGGGGTCCAGAACCTAACTATTTTTATTGTTTTACTTTATCTGGGGGAACAGCTGCCCCCCCCGGCTACGCCCATGAGCTGGGTCACGGTTGCTGAGGCAGTTGTACGAAAACATAGCATATACAGTGTTATGTACTGAGTTGAATAGGATCCAAAATGCAGCAGTCTGATTGGTCCTAGAACAATAGGATCCAGAATGCAGCAGTCTGATTGGTCCACAGGAGGCACCCAATCCAGCTCCAGGTGGAAGTGAATCCGCAACCTGATTGGGCTACAGCAGAATCCCGGAATTAGCCAATCACGTAGGGCCCATTGTGAAATAATGTATATAAAGCAGACATTCTGGGGGAACTTCCATTCCTCCTCACCACTATGAGCTGAATAAAGAGCATGAAATCCACTCTTGACTCCGAGTTTATTTCATACAGTATATTTGTTTACTCTCTCCACACCTTTCTTGCAGAATTATGTATAGAGGAACTGCTATCAATCGTACCTTTCAAGGACTGACAGCACCTCCCTAGCCTTGTAGATATAGGAGCAGGTCGAGAAATACTTGTTGCACTAGCAACGTCTGGTTTCCAGTTGTAGATTTAAATATCGTCAGACTACACCCTCTTCTAGAGTGACCTGATGATGGCTGAAAATAGGTCTTGATATAGGCAAAACTCCAGGACTTGCAAGGTAATAAATACTATTTCTTAGGCTGTTTACTCCTGTTTACTCTGTATCCAACGTGCTCCTGCCACTGGTTTCTGAAGCCATGTACGCACAATGTTAGCCACAACCCTCGTCTAACACTACTGATGTGCTGAGTGACATGCAAATGTGATTTGAAACATGGAGGTGGAAACCAGCCTCACTGCATTTTAAGCAGGTAATACGTACAAACCAGCTGCAAACTCTTTTCCAGGAGCCCTGTCCTGTCCAACACATCCAGGCAGAGGCTCTTATTTGTCAGTAAGGAAGAGATCTTTATTCAGGCAAGTTAAGAGTACAGGCTCACCAGCACACACAGCGCTCAGGAGTCATGATTCAGGAGTTCAAGAGGGCAAGAAGTTCGGAACTTGACAGAAGCAACAAAGATGTCTCAACAAGTTTCCCTGCCCCTCCTCTAGCTTTTAAAGACAAGGTGTGCTACACTCACTTGTGAGACTCTCTTACTTTATGGGAAGTTCAAGATTGCAATCACTCCCTCTGTCAGGATGGGTGGGTCTGCTTCCATCTCAGAAGGTGGCACTTAGTTCTAGGGAAGAAGGCTGCATCCATCCTGTTCAGGCCCCAGTTCAGTCACTGCTATCTCCAGCCTATCCCCTTGGCTGACCAAAACCTTCCCTAGCCTTCACTGAGGTTGTCTGCTTTGCAGGAAGGTTGGAGAGGAGAGATGGGACCCCTGTTCTCCCTCTGAAAGCAACTGAAGACCTCATTGCTCCTTCAGTCCAGCTTCCCATCAACCATTCCCCTCTTTTGTTCCTTCCTCCTGCATCAGAGCCCGTAAACCCAAGCCCATTCATCCAGGTCTTGCTAACCCATAGTTTGGCATAGCATTCAGTGCAAAGCAGGCTATTACATTAGCTGTTACCTTATATTAGCTGCCATTCTAGCAGTTCGAAAGCACGCCAGTGTAAGTAAATAAATAGGTACCACTGTGGCGGGTAGGTAAACAGGGTTTCTGTGCGCTCTGGTTTCTGTCACAGTGTTCCGTTGTGCCAGAAGCAGTTTAGTCATGCTGGCCACATGACCCAAAAATCTGTCTGTGGAAAAACACTGGCTCCCTTGGCCTGAAAGTGAGATGAGCGCCGCAACCCCATAGTCACCTTCGACTGGACTTAACCATCCAGGGGTCCTTTACCTTTACAGTGGTGCCCTGCAAGACGAATGCCTCGCAAGACGAAAAACTCGCTAGACGAAAGAGTTTTCCGTTTTTTGAGTCGTTCCACAAGATGAATTTCCCTATGGGCTTGCTTCGCAAGATGAAACGTCTTGCGAATTCTTGGGAGTTTGTTTCCTTTTTCTTAAAGCCGCTAAGCCGTTAATAGCCGCTAAGCCACTAAGCCGCTAATAGCCGTGCTTCGCAAGATGAAAAAACCGCAAGACAAAGAGACTCGCGGAACGGATTAATTTCGTCTTGCGAGGCACCACTGTACATTATATTGTTTTGGGAGAGCTTGCTATTTTTTTATATACTTTAACCCATCCATTTGGACTATAACACAATATATTTACTCAGCAGTGAAATGTCTTATTGTTAATTTTTGACTGGACCCTACACCAGCAACCTTTAGCATTCTTTCCAACCGTATTGTGTGCATTTTTTTTGCTAATCCTCAGTGTTGTTGAAGTTGAGCAGAGATATGCACTCACAAGTTTGGAAGTTTGACATCCAGTTAAGACTTCCTCTTTGCCTTTTATTTACATTTAAAAATCTGTCCTTGGCTCCACACAAAGCTTCACAGTAGCACTGAGGTCACAACCCTGGGAACAGGAAAACAATATTTAGCCCACAAGAGAATTCCTGTTTGATAAAAATGATAAGGGAAGAGTTTATTTTCATAAAAGTAGAGGGTACTTTTCAAAAAATGAAAATTGGGGTTATACTGATGTGGAATAATCTGCACACTGAATTTATTTATTTGGAATTATATCTTGTTCCATTCTAGGGCTTTTGTGAGTCTTCAGAAGAACATTTCAAAGCTGTGGGAGAGCCACGAGACCATCTATCCGTTCTATCTATCTATCTATCTATCTATCTTGATCTGGCAGACAGATGATGTACTAAAGTGTTCTTTCATACCATAAAGGTCAAGGTAGAATGAAGGTGGTCTTGTAACATGCTTGATACAGTGGTGCCTCGCAAGACGAAATTAATTCGTTCTGCGAGTTTTTTCGTCTTGCGAATTTTTCGTCTTGCGAAGCACGGTTTTAACGGTATTAACGGTTTTAAGAAAAAGGAAACAAACTCGCAAGACGTTTTCGTCTTGCGAAGCAAGCCCATAGGGAAATTCGTCTTGCGAAGCAACTCAAAAAACGAAAAACTCTTTCGTCTTGCGAGTTTTACCGTCTTGCGAGGCATTCGTCTTGCGAGGTACCACTGTACAAGCTAATGGATATCAGCTACTTGTGGGTAAACTGATATATTATTGATTTGGATTTTATACGTGGTGACAGCAGTAAAAGGGTTAGAGAAATTAATAAAAGGTTTCAGCGTAAAGTAAAGAAAACATCTGAGGTATGTGAGACCACCTCCTTCAAAATAGGTAAATAATTTTGGAGGTGCAAGGTGGTTTGCCACAGCCACCATCTGTATACACACATACCACCCTTCCTCCTAGAAAACCCCAGGGGCAGCAAACAAGTGATACAACAATAAAAACATTTAAAACAATTAAGATCCTTTGAGGAGTCCTGATTTGGACCAATATTTTTGTGGAACAGGCAAGCACTGAATCGGTGATTCTTACTGTGCAGTCAACGGCAGTAAGTAATCTGACTGATTAATCAACTAAACATTTGACTGGTAACCATGTTGTTTTTCTCCTTCATTTGCATATTATATATTTGGCAGCGAAAGCCCAGGATTTTTTTTTAAACTGTGGAATTTCCACATCGTGTACTTTTAATTTGATTTGCCAAGGAGCTTTGTTTCAGGAGTAATATAGAAGTCCTGTCCTGCATGTAACAACAACAGTTTTAAAATAGGAAAGCAACTGGGTGCTTGTTTTTCTTTTCTACTGTCTTTAAAAATGTCATTTGCAGTCTTTAGTTATCACCTGCCAGCCAAAGGAAACTGGGAGTGTAACCTACAAGCAACATGAAGTCCACGAGGGACTTCTTTGCTGTTACCTTGGAAGGTCAACTTGGGATTGCTACAAACATGGAAGAAAAGCAGAAATGTACCCAGGGAAGAAAGATGACAAAAAATGCCTCTTTAGTTGAGAATTAAACAAGGAAGTCCTGTTTTCAGAGGGCATTGCTTTTTTCTTTTAAAATGTTGGATCAAAAAGTATTTAAGGATCAAACTGCATATTCAGTTAGGATGCGGTTCAGTAGAAAATGCAGAGTTATTTTTAGCAAACATTTAAAAACAAACCAACAAACAAACCTGGAGCCAAAATTTGTGGTAAGGACCCCTTGCAAACTTTATCCCCCTCTCAAAAAAATGGGGGAGGTACTCACACAGCTGAAAGAGGGTAGCCTCTTTAAATCACATGAACATGCCTCAGTATCCTTCACAGGTTCCTGAATAGACTCTTGCTACTTTCCATCTCTGCTTCCCGCACAGACTAGCTTGTCAGCAATCCTGCAGGGAGGTCTTGCTGACTCATTACCAGGTTATGTGCCAGCAAAGCAGGTGAAGCCTCATCCCTCTGGGATGCTGACAAACATTGCAGGTGCATATGCCACTGCATTTGAAGGAGATTCTTGTTACAGCAGCCATATCTCATCGCTATTACCAGAGGAGCTCCAATGTTTCCTCTTTATGCATGCATAAAAATGCCAACTACACACTGGTGGAAATCTAGAGCAGAGCTCTCTCACACTTGTTTCTCTCCCTTTTGTCCTTTGTCATCATTGTAGTTAT